AGCGTGTGCAGTAGAATCAGCTCTATATACACCGTCCTCCTTGCTGGTGCATTAGGTATCAATACTTGAAATCTCTCAAAAAGAAGTCAGTTCAAGAAGTACGTGTAAGTATCTCTAGGAGAGGCGAATGGCTAGAAATTGATAACTGACATCTAAATAAATGTAAGGTATGCTTCTTGAAGAGAGAAAAAGTGATTGATCGTATACATTCTCTCGACAAAATGGCCCTAGATCTTATGATAAATTATGCTAAACTAATCTAGAGATTAACTGATGGGCGAACAATACTAATAGTTAAAATACAACGAATGTTTTGTAAGTCTCCTCTTCAACAGTGTATATTGAACGTTAAGCTTTAGGTGTTCTCAATAGACATATGTACCATATGGTGTTTGGTTTCAAAGATGTGATCTTATCTTGTGAGCCACTGCGTTTATGTCCTTTTCAATCTCATCATCGATGACTTTAAACTTCAAAAAGTCCTCATCAATATCTTCGTCCGCGCAGCCATAACAAGACTGGCCGGTCATGCAACGTGATAAAGCAAAAGACAATACAGATCTATCTAACCAGTATTGATAGCATTTTGTATCAACATATCCATGATGCTTTCTGTTGCAATCCATCCCACAGGGTTTGATCACCTCTGGATTCTCCCGATTACTGAACATTCTGTGGCATAGTGCACATTCTTCACTTTCTGGGAGCGATTTGACATTCACCTTTTCTAAAGACTCGAAGTGCAATCTCTTTTCTTCGGCATAGTTGTAGACTTCAAGCTCTTTAAATTCTTCCATTTCCGGGACGTATTTATTAGACTGAGATTCGCAGCATTCCCAATGGGCATAAGAGTAACAATCACTTCTGCACGAAACTAACCGTTTCAATGGGTGAACCTCACCTGTGCATCCTGATTCACATACTCTAGCCCAACGACCAGTAATTGCCTTATTGCATAGTGAGCACTGTTCTCCTTCGGGTATATCCTTCTCAGCTCCCAAAGAGCCATCATCAGTCGGCTCATAAACATACGTCAGACAATGCATGCCCTCCCTCACATCAAGGATCGTCTCCCACCTCTTTTTGAATACGTCCTTCCAATCCTTTGTGGAAGCACATATTCTTATCTGACCTCCCCAAGGGACTTCCTCTTCGTTTTCACTGCATGATATATATTCGGTATCGCTTTCTGTGAAGTAATTTTTTTTTTAGTATTTCGTAAACATCATGGCTCTATGTATTATACATACCTTCGTAGTCGGACATTTGATGGTGTCAAAGTGTGCGAGCCATTGCATTTATATACCTCAGCATTGACTGGCTTCACAGACTTTATTTGCCGCCGAGAGTATTTTCCATGCACTTATTCGCCACTGAAGACGCCAGTCATGTGCGGCGCCGAAGCAAGTGTCAATCTACATTATTTTTCAGTCGTATTTACATCAACGCCGACGATGCAGGATCTCTAAAGATTGCCAATGGCCTTTCCATCTCGTTGTTGATTTTCGCATATGCAACAACTTCTCTGAAGGATTCATTATTTTTACTTGTATAACAAGTAGCTGTTCATATTTTCAAAGCAGGAACTGAAACGCTTTCTACATAGTTGTAATCTGCACTAAGGCTAAAATACGAACGCTGTGCAGGTGCGTTTCACCAGCACTTTGTTACGTAAATTGTTGGATAATGGTCCTGCCTCACCTTTGAAGTAAGCCTTTCACAATTTTTTGGGATTATACTTAAGCTCATATGTGAACAATGAACGGAAACTGGCGGGCTTTCTCAAGAAGTTTCTTATCGGGTTTACGATTCTACACAATTGTGCACGCACATGCCTGTGACTCAATCATCATTGTCACTCAAAATATACGGGATCAACTCATAATTAGGCTTGAAAATTGTTTAACTAATGTACTGGGGTTTAACCTCTATAAAAAATATAGATTGAAAGATGGAGGCATACTGGGTCAGTTTACAATTGTCTCTCATTTATGCAAACTTTCATGGAAAGTGTTATTCGCAGTCAGATACCTTGGTCATTTTCCTGTGTTAACATAACTACTATGCTTATTTTCTTGACTCTTTTGATGAAGTTTAGGTCATTCATCTAATGTGTGGTATTCAGTGGGAACAGTTTGTGCGTCTATTCATCTATTAACTTACCACTACCTGTTTTCTCCACTTTCATTCTCACTATCATTGACTCTTCTCTATCATTCTCCTTTCCATTCTTCTCAGCTACCTCGTTGCCTTGGATCAAGTCAAGCTTCTTCAATTCGTCAAATCCTTCTAGAATCTTAGATTCGTAACAATCCCAATCAACATAACTGTGAACTTCAGCCGTGCATTCTGGAACGCATTCCTTGAGCACAACTGGATTAACCTTGTCAGCAAATTTTTCGTTGCATATGGAACACTCAGTTCCTTCGGGTAAGTCCTTAACCTCCACCTTTTCCATTTTATCCATTTCTGCTCTGACTTTGAAAATCAATATCCACTTCGTCAAACTTGCCACATAGGCGAGGTTTTCACTAAACGTCGTACCATCAGAGTCACAACTGTAAGTTGAGCATTGGTCACTTTCTACATTTTGGTCTTCTAGAAGTTAGTACAAAGACACCGCTATGTAACTATGGAGTAATGCATACCTTCATGGATGGACATTTTCAATGTATTTGCATACGTCCACAAGGGTTACTCGTCGCCTTTATATACCCCGTAGTTGGTCTCTCGTAAATATTATTTGCCACTTATGGGATCCATTAAACATTTTGCCACTGAAATGCCACTTGAACGTGCTTCTGAATTAAATTATCGAAACATATCTTTCTTCCGCTACTTTCACTGTTTTTGCTATACACTCTCTGATAACTGCGTCATCTGGATCATTTTTGAGTGCTCCAAGCGTTCAGCATTTATAAGTTCACCGCATTTCCTCCGAGGTGGATGGCATATTGTCTTCCTCAAGTGGTACGAACCTCAAGTAGACTCACATAGTAATCTGCACCTAAGATTAAATTACGAGATTGTGCAGTTTGCCTAGTTGGCTTCGTAGCTTTAGCTAACGATAGATAATTCTGGAATAACCTTATTGTATGCTGTACTACTTTTATCAGATGACACGTCGTATGATAATTTTACCGTGAAAGAGAACTTAAAGCTACTTCTTACATTCTCCCAAAACAGCCGTATGCGGCTTTCAATTCTTTGCTTGCCATTATTCCCCCACTTGTACAGTCAATCCCAAAAGAAAACGCATGCACGTCGATCGAATCTCGCTCCACCAGAAACCAAAATTGGCGCCTGGGCAAAGAATTTTGCCCGTCAGAGAAATGAAGTTCGCCCTCGAGAAAAGCCATTTCGCGGTTCAAGAAATCGAAATTCGCATTCATGGAATCGTGAATTCGCAACAGACTAGAACACAAGTCATAGGACAAAAAAGCAAAATAGTGATAGAGTGAATTACAAATTCGCTTTTCTACATTTGTTCGTAATTTCAATGTATACTCCAGAGACCTACAATGGCCACACAAAAATTCATCTAAGTGTAGTGCATGAGTGTTCAGTGTTAGTCGATCTAAATTGATTGAGGTGAACAACTTTCCAGTTTTGTACATCGACTAACACTACGAAAAGAGAAATTTATCCTACGAAGCGTAGGAAAATTTGGGCGAATTTGAGATTCATCTGATTACGAATTATAGTTTCTGTGCGTACGAATTGTTGATTCTAGAGGTACGAATTTGGGCATGTGATTGGTTTCCTTGAGAGCGAATTTTAATTCCTCGGAGGGCGAACATTATTCCGAAGAACGAATTTATATTCTCGATGACGGACTTTCAGTTTCTTGACGCGAATTTCCATGAACATGCATTCGAATTCTGCTCGGGATTGACTGTATGGACATCGCCATGGGCTTTAATTCTATATTTACTCCTGAAATTTAACTACTCGCAAATCATGACTTGAATACGCAAAAGGTTAACCCGGATAGTAAGATTTTAGATCCATCGCGAGGTGCAGCCACCTTCTGGATAAATACACTTTAAAGGTCCGCTTCTACGGTTAAGGTTACCACCCGATTCCGAGAGCATTCGCTGTTCTTTGTATTGAAAGGCTCATTCCATCCATGAAGGTATCAGTCCACTACTTAACCAGAGCAGATGAAACTGTTGAGCAGCCTCATACCAAGGTTGATATATGACATTTCTGTTTCTATAACAGAGTTTTCTCTGGTTGGAAAGCAGTACATTCTTCTTCAGAATCCCAACAATAAACTCGAACAGATGCTGTCCGCCGGAAAGATTTTGAAAATATCATTGCCAGAGATCCTGAACTCAATGAGTCTATTTCATTTTGATTCAGCTTTCAACTCTATTATTGCTGATGATGAAAGAGAAGATATTCTAGATCAATGGCGAATGTCATCAAGGCTGGCTAGATGAGATTGGCCCAAATGCCGACTTTTCTGCAGTAAGGGTTTTCTCGGAGCTAGCAGCAATCAAGACCAAATCGGGATTATATCCGCAGCATGCCAGAACATTCTTGCAAGACGTACGCCTTCTGCTTAATAAGCCCAGAAGAAACAACACATCGGCTTAAGAAAACGCCGACGCCGCCACATGCAGAATCGTGGGCATCGCATAGTGTATGCAGGCAAAACGTCATCCCAACGGTTTTTCCATGAGATTTTTTGGAACCGTCTGGGGCCTAAACGTAGTTGGGAAATGGGAAAAAGGATCAAAAAAACAACGGGCCAAGTCAAACTGAGCTGAATGCCCCGGTGTCTTCAAATCGGTTTTCGAAAAAGTCTTCTGTTTCCCACAACATGGCCGGCAATGAGCACGTCGGCTAAACATGGAAGATTCAAGACCCCGGCTGTGTGCACGAACATCAACCATGAAAGCATATTTAAAGCATAAATCCCCGTGGAAATCCAGCAACCAGAATTTCCTGACTAATAAACATGGCCTACCCAGAAACTTTCGAAGCAATTGGTGTTGTCGACTACGACGACTGGAAAAACCCAAAGAGATTCGAGTACAAGCCCCAAGAGTTCAGAGATTATGATGTCGACATCGAGATTGATGCCTGTGGTGTCTGTGGCTCTGATCTTCACGCTGCCAGCGGCAACTGGGGCCGTCCATATGCTCCTGTTGCTGTTGGACATGAAATTATCGGAAGAGTTGTGAAGGTTGGTCCAAAGGCCAAAGAAGGTCTCAAAGTGGGCGACAGAGTGGGTGTGGGTGCCCAATGTGACTGTGACAACACTTGTGCTGCCTGTTTGAGCAAGAGTGAGCCAAACTGCAGAAACCATGTTGGAACATACTTTGGCCACAACAAGGAGACCGGCTTCAACACTATTGGAGGCAATGCTTCTCACATCAGAGTCAACTCGCAGTTTGTGTTCAAGATCCCAGACCTGCTCAAGACAGAACATGCTGCTCCACTTTTGTGTGGTGGTATCACTGGTTTTGCACCTCTTCTCCAAAACAATGTTGGAAAAGGAACCAGAGTCGGTGTCGTTGGAATTGGAGGTATTGGCCACATGACCATTCTCTTTGCCAAGGCTCTTGGTGCTGAAGTCACTGCCATCTCCAGAACAGACTCGAAGAAAGAAATGGCCAAGAAACTCGGTGCTGACCACTATGCTGCCACAGCTGACGAAGACTTTTCCAAGTATGCCGACACTTTGGATCTTATTGTCAACACTGGAAGTTCCTTCTCTGGTTCTTCCATGGACAAGATTTTGTCGATGCTCAGAGCCCGTGGAAAGTTTGTTTTCATCACTGCCCCTCCAGCCACAGAAAAGCTCGAGTTGACTCCATTCCAATTGTTGGCCAACAACACCTCCATCCAAGGCTCGCTTCTTGGAACTCCAGAGGAAATCCAGTACATGCTTAACTTTGCTGCCGAGCACAAGATCGAGCCATGGGTTGAGACCATTGACATGTCGGAGGAAAACCTTGCTACCGCATGGAAGAGAGCCGAGGAGGGAGATGTGAGATTCAGATTCACCATGGTCAACTATGACAAGTGCTTCAAGAGATAATTAGGATATTTATAGATAATAGAGGCGATACATAGAAGAGTATTGATGGGAAATCTTCAAGGATTGGGATGTGCCAGGAAAGTGATTGAAACACACTGAGGAAACATAGAAATGATTTTTATAGTATTTGTAAAGTTTGTTCGCATGAATAGTGGTGCAAGACTTAAAGGTTTTCAGTCACTCACTTACTGAACCATGGATCTTCTCCAAAATAGCTCCTGGTTTTTGAAAGCCTACTTCCTCAAATTGATTGTTCCCGAAGTTAAAACAATCAGCTGATCAAAATGATACAGTAGGTAATTCAACTTCTGCATTTGAAATATTCGAAAGTAGTCCTACCATAGATTGATTACCTCAAAGAGTGGACGAAGCATATGAATGAGCAATTGAGGGTTGACTCTGCTGAGATTCCGTATTTCGTTATTTCATCCACCTAACTACATAGTCAAATACCAAAAAAGGAATCAATGTAGTCCAGCCAAGAAATCACCAATCTTATCATTGGATAAGATCTACACGTAGATCCGACGGATATTCCAGAAAAGATGGGGTTAAACAATTTGCCACTAAGTATTACATTTTAGGACCCAAAAACGGAGGACCCTGGACTCTTTGCCACATTTTTAAATCCGTCGGTAAGTCAGAGGAATCTAACCATTTATTTGCCGTTTTCCGAATGTTTATCTACCATTTCAAAAGGTGTAAATTAAAAGTAAGCAAAGTCTTAGCCTAAACAAATTCTCAAGGAAAGGATTTTACGTAATCTAGATTGTCAGTTTTGATTCAAACGGGTGCTAAATGTAGCCGGGGTATGTGCATAAATGTGGGGTGGACATATACTTCCACGCAGCAAGCAAGCTTCTGCAAGGAACAGCGGATATAGTCCTGAAAGGGGAAACGTCCGCCCGTTGCAGGGACCGCATTGTCTGCAGAACATGCATCAATTGGACGTTGCGGAGTTTATCCCAAAACGGAAATAATTTCAGCGATAAGGCCATGTCACCCAACCGTACGAAATCGTATAAAAAGGCGCTTGCCTGCTGCTTTTTCTACCACAATTCAACTCAAACAAATTCAATTCAATCACAATGGTCTACCCAGAAACTTTCAAAGCTGTTGGCGTCGTCGACTTTGACGACTGGTTACACCCCAAATCTTTTGAGTACAAGCCTCAAGAGTTCAGAGATTATGATGTGGACATTGAAATCGAGGCCTGTGGTGTCTGTGGCTCGGATATCCATGCTGCCAATGGTGATTGGGGACGTCCATATGCTCCTGTTGCTGTTGGACACGAAATCATTGGAAAAGTGGTGAAAGTCGGACCAAAAGCCAAAGAAGGCATCAAAGTGGGCGACAGAGTCGGTGTGGGTGCCCAATGTGACTGTGACAACACGTGTATTGCGTGCAAAAAGAACCTCCAGAGCAACTGCAGAAACCACGTGGGCACCTACTTTGGTGTGAACAAGGAAACTGGTTTCAAGACCATCGGAGGTAATGCTTCTCACATCAGAGTCAACTCGCAGTTTGTCTTCAACATTCCAGACCTGCTCAAGACGGAACATGCTGCTCCACTTTTGTGCGGTGGTATCACCGGTTTCTCGCCTCTTCTTCAACACAATGTTGGCAAGGGAACTAAGGTTGGTGTTGTTGGAATTGGAGGTATTGGCCACATGACCATTCTTTTCGCCAAGGCTCTTGGTGCTGAAGTCACTGCCATTTCCAGGACCGACTCGAAGAAGGAGGTGGCCAAGCAACTTGGTGCAGACCATTTTGCTGCTACTGCCGATGAAGATTTCATCGAAAAGTATGCCGACACCTTGGATCTCATTGTGAACACGGGAAGTTCTTTCTCCGGTTCTTCCTTGGACAAGCTTTTGTCGATGCTTGTTCCCCGGGGCAAGTTTGTCTTTATTACGGCTCCACCTGTGGGCGAAAACATTGAATTGTCGCCTATGAAGTTGCTTTTCAACAACTCTTCCATTCAAGGCTCTGCCATTGGGTCTCCTGAGGAAATCCAGTACATGCTTAATTTTGCTGCCGAGCACAAGATTGAGCCATGGGTGGAGACAATTGACATCTCGGAGGAGAATCTTGGAAAGGCCTGGAAGAGAGCCGAGGAAGGCGATGTGAAGTTTAGATTCACCATGGTTGGCTACGACAAGTTTTTCAAGAATTAGAATGGGAAGTTGAGATTATTAGGAATCAAGAGGTGGGATGGGAGACTGGTGTATAGTAATGGAGGGGATTTACAGTTGCAGTAGATACACATGATTTGACGGCTTTCTACTACTTTTTTGTGGAAGGTAGTGCTAATCGAAGATACACTTCGTGAATAAGGTGTCAATGGCCAGATACTTTTTTAGTCTATCTGAGGACCAAGATGAAGCTCAAGAGAGAGAATTTTTATGATTGAAATGCTCCGATGCCTAAAGTTTTCGTTAGAAACTCTTGATTATGCAAAAAACACTTGTCAGTTTTATTAGCTCTAGCATTTTGATAAGCCGAACGTAACTTGGGTTCTTCAATGTTTATCATACTCAGAATATGCTTCGATCTCCTTCTCATCTACATTAACCTCTAATCCTAGAACATCCACGTCATTGCATGATTAAATTCTTCACTTCGTTTGAAAACTCGGTCTACTATTCACTATGGAAATTCATTCTGGCAAAACTGCTTTCAGAATCGTCTTGATGCCAGTATTCCACAGATCCTGATGTATTCTGTTGCGCACCAACTTTTCGTGTGGTTTTTACACTGTCTTGCATTCGCTCTCTATTTGTCTTTCTGTCAATTCTCTACTCCATTCTCCATTTTGCAATTCTCCATTCTCTTCTCTCTTTTTTATCTCTCCCTTTCATTCTCTTACCTCTATCCTCGCCTCATTCGCATTCTTGTATTTTCGCGCACCAAATCACCAACTTTAACCAACACCTTCTAAAACACCTTTCTTCCTTCATGCCCGTTCCCGATAGTTTCAAAGCCCAAATCAACCAGGGTGTTCCTGGCAACGTCAAGGCCAGACCAGACCCATTGCCTGCAGGCAAGAAGATTGCCCCCAACAAGAAGCTGCCTTGTGAATTCGACACGCCGTTTGATAAAGCCGCCACCAAGACTCCTGTGGGCGGCAGAGACAGTGCCACGGCTGAATCTTTTGCCGAGGTCGAGAAAAGCTTGGCTGAAGGCGACTGGTCCACTGCCATCCGCATTCTCTGGTACTTGAAGTTGAACACCTACATCAACGAGGATTCGGCCAATGTTTGGGCATATGTGGCGTTTGCGTTTGCCCACTTGGGCTTTTCGGAGCACGTGGGCTTTGCCTTCAAGAAGATGCAAGAGGCCGGTTTGGCCCAGACCGTGTTGACGCCGGAAACCATGACCGAGTTGAAGAAAATCTCCAAGTAAATAATGAAGAGTGGCCATCACACTGGTGTCTGAAGCTTCGATTCTTTAGCATTGGTCAAATTCACATTCTGTCAATGTACATTTCGTCTGTAGATGTATGGTGATTGAGCATACAAGTAGTTAAGAGAATGGCTGGATATTCTTAGAAAGGCTATGGTGCCTACACGTTTTCTTCTTATTATTCTGTGGATCTACGATATTCTGAATTTGACTCTTGTAAGATATATCTGACACCATTCAAGTTGCCCTCAATGAAATATTTTGATGTATTCTCGGTACAGAAGATAGAATGGAACCCAGCTAGTACCGTAGACTTGGTGAGTTTGTATACCGCCAATGGATTCAAACTGAATTTGAGTATTTTCTTGATAAGAAACTAGGCCTTGACTTATAGTTCGAATTAATAGCATACCCATAAGGCGATGGAAATGCTTTGTGAATCGAATCTTTGATTTCAGCAAAATCAAGCGGATCCCAACTTCAATCTTGGAAACAGTGATCTTGTGGTAAATCATATCAAAACTGTTTTTTGTTATGTGCTTCCTTGTTATGAAAATTCAATTTAAAGTGCAAAGCTACACCATAGTAATGTTCATCATCCACAAGATGAAGAGCCCTGTTCATGCACAGGCCCATGATTGTGTTTTTCATCAAACCAATCAATTTTCAAAGCATTGCACCAATACAAAATGCCCGAAAAGATGGAAATATAGTGCTTCCCAGAGTGAAGAACCATTGCATTACTCGTACCAGCTTAAAAGGCATAGAATGTGGTGGTGGTTTCAATATATTGTCAACCAATTGTTAGGTTCTGGGTTAATGTATATTAGGTGCAAACTTCTTAGTTCCTTCCAACTACAAACGGAAGCCAGGCTTGTTATAAACGTGGTAAACAGGGGAAGCTATCACATGCGATGAAGCTTCTCAGTAAATATCAGGCCAGATAGAGTTGAGCATAAATCAAGATTTGCGGGAGTCGACGTTTAGTAGCGTATGCTTTAAGTGTAGACCAGAGGCCGAAACTCAGCAATTTCTCCTTGTGGGAATTCTTTAGACGGTTCGAATCGGGCTCTTCCTAGTTTACGATGGAGAGATTTCCACTAATGCAGACCTGTCTTTGTAGGAAAAAGGACGGAGACCAGCTTTTTAAGACAGAGCAGACTAATGTGAAAAACTGGATGTATTTGAAAAACGCAGGCTTGGCTGGGCGATAATTTAGAGGAGGACGTCCGTAAGTTACCCAACAGCCATTGAGTCTGCTGAATCTTATTTTGACAAAAGACACAGGAGTGATTATCACCATTTCTGCAGTTATCATGTGGCCAGCCACAGTATACGGATTGTTCTGTATATCTAGAATGATCTTGCCATATCATTCCAAACGTGGGTGTAGCATTTACCTTGTACATGGTGCATAGTATTAAATCCACTACCACAACTGCCACTATCCCAATGACAGTGTATGGACATTAATACAGGATTCCCATTGATGATCTGTGAAGAGTTGGTGTGACTGGTATCAATGTCAGCCAGTGACCCCCATTCATAATGACCGAATGGACCAGAAGCAGATGTGTAGCTTACGTCTGAGGTTTCTTCAAAGTCGTCTGTTGCTAGAATCGCCTCAAGATCAGTTTGTATCGTGTAATTACTTGAGACTTTGTCAATGCAGTCAGATAGCAATGCATCATTCGTTTCCAAGTCAATAGGGTTATGGTCAACTCGCGTAATCTGAAATTCGGTGTTATCGTAAAGACACATTGTGTAAATAGATGACATATTTGAAAGGCAATCTTGAAGTTGCAGGATGATTCTGACAAATTCGTGGTCGTCGAAAAGTCGTAGCGATATAGCTTTATGGATAATACATAAAGATAATAATAAGCAAAAAAAGTTCATGTTGATATTAAAGATATTAATAAATCTATAATATCACCAAAAACTGTGGTCAGTGGTGGTGGTTCATATATTGTCATCTAATTGTTGATTGACTCGTGTATTGATTGACCATTTATGTTTGACTCATTTGCTGATTTACTCATTTATTGACTCATTTATTGACTCATTTATTGATTGACCCATTTATTGAGTCACTCACTTATTGAGAATCACTCACTATGCACTGATCCTTGTTCTCCTCAATTGTAAGTTGGGAAGGCCCTGCTTTAGAAACCTTTTCTAAAGGTATATAAGATCACCCATCTTACTCAAGGATGGATTCTCCCCAAGGATCCCCATCTCATTGTATCACATCTAAATACAAGCTGCTTGACTCAAAGTCCAATCGTCTTTTCCAGATACAGACTCCTTGAAAGACTCTGGATTGATCTCTAATCTACCAGCTATAAGAAAGAAGGGCGTACAAAGAGCTGACACTAGTGCACTTATAAAAGTACAAATCTATTTTCTGCAATAAAAAGTGAATGTATATCTAAGTGCAAACTTCTTGGTTCCTGGCTTCAACTACAAACGGAAGGCTTCTTATAGTCCTGTTAAATAGTGGATGAGGCTTATCTCCCCCGGGAATATTATCAGTAAATATGGCCAGATAAGGCTCCGTGGCTTAGAGGAACTGACCATAGTCGGAAAGCCGCACTAATCAATTGACAGTGAAGTAAATGTTATAATTTCTTGATAATTTGACTAATAAGTTGACTAATCGTCTGCTTATGAGAACTTTTAAGAATACAAACTAAACACAATAATGGGATTCCCCAAGTTCCAAAGCCCTTCACCTCTTATGTTGGGGTAATGAGTGGGAGGTACTATAGGATCATGGATTAATGCAAGGTTATCGCAATCCATCATTAAAAGTCTACACCATTGCGTCTGATCAGTTTATTTGATAGGGGCGGCAGCGAGTCATCGATGCCGGACTGAATGGCATCAAATCATGGAAAGAAACAATCCCTCAAGGTTTAATAGAGTCTTTACATTTATCATTCTTACCAAACAAAATTTCAGAGACATTAATCGTGCAACATGCTGATGCATCTTGTCTGTTTTCTCGATCATTTAGCTCAAAAGGAACAATCGAGCTCTTTCGTTACAGTCTTTGTAGCTTTTATTAACAAATTAAGAAACCAAATGTTAATTACAGTATTTGCCGTTTTTCTTTGGACCAAACGAGATAAGTTAATTAAGCCAATGGAGAAAACTAAAGAAAAATAATCAAAGAGGGAAAACTACTTAAACCATAATTGTTCAAAGTAAAAGAGCCACCAAATAAACCAGCGTGAAAGGTCAGAGACATTTAATTGATCAATTATGCATATTGCCTCTTTTCGCTTATTTAGCTTGATCATTGGGATCAGAAAAGCAAACAGTCCTCACTATTCCTTTCTACTTCGGCTTTTCAGGTAAACAGGCAGATTGCAACAATTCTAACCACATTCAAGTTTCCTTGCTAGTTAAATAGTTTTTTCTCGTTTGGTTGAAAACGTTAATACTGTTTGATTCATTTCCTTGGTGTGAGTAAAACCCGTAGAAACTGTATACTCAATCTTGTTCATTATCCATTAAACTTCACTTAAAGAAGCAATCCATCCTTTCGTTATATTTCTGTCTTAACCCTTTAAGACTCTATATGCCCTTTGATTTAATATTTGTAGTTTGGTCAATTAATCTGAATAAAACTGTACAAAGTATCTGCGACTCATGGCAATTCACACTTTTCTGTATTTTCGCGCAAAGTATTAAGCCGAGGCACATTATCACCAGATCTTCTTTTCTACCACATCTTCTTTCTTCAACTTTTAAACTTCAAACTTCCCAAATATTTTCTCTTTTCATGGTCCGTGGCTTCTTCCAATCCGTTCTTCACACGCACGTGCCCACCAAGCCCGTTTCCTTCTCCAAAAACGGCGAGTCCAAAACCTTTCCTGACCTTGTTTCTGGAGCGGTTCCAGAACTAGCCAGCGGCGCCTCTTTCTTTGTCCATCCCCTCTTGTCCAGTGGCCATGCCCAGACGGCCTACACGGCGCTCCACAAGTTCGAGTCGGTCGACTGTATCCACTACAAGAGACGCGTGATCAATGTGGAAGAGAAAACATACAAAGTGGGCACCGACAGCATGCCCTACGACCGGTGGAAGGGCCAGTCGACATTCACAATTGACTACGTTGTTGGCGCCGACAAGGCAGATACCGAACACATGCAATTCTGCCCGGAATCGCAGAAAAAACCGCTTCCGCCTCGAACTGAGTACTTGGACCCGCAAAAGGAGCAGCAGTTGTTGGACAACGACCGGCCCCTTGTGATCGCATTGCACGGCCTCAGTGGCGGGTCGTACGAGTCGTACATCCGGGCGTTTTTGCACGAGATCGCCGCCGAGCCCTACAATTTCGACGGAATGGTGTTGAATGCCCGAGGCTGCGCCAACCACACCATCACGTCGCCGCAGTTGTTCTGCGGCTTGTGGACGAACGACTTGCGCTACTTGATCAACGAGCACATCCGTCCGCGCTGGCCCTCGAAGCGCATTTTCCTCATAGGCTTCTCTTTGGGCGGCTCCATCACGGCAAACTACTTGGGCCAGGAGGGCAACGACGTCTACCGCAACATCAAAGGCGCCGCCATCATGGGCAGCCCGTGGGACTTCCCGCAGTCGTCGTACGCTTTGGTGGAGTCGTTTTTGGGCCAGAAGGTGTATTCGCCCACCATGTGCCAGAACTTGCTCCGTTTGCTCGACCAGCACTACGACGGCCTCTTGAAGCTGGAGGACATTGTCAAGCAGTACAAGGAGGACCCGCTGAAGTTCAAGCTCAACACGTTGCGGGACTTTGACGACACCTTCACCTCCAAGCTTTTCGGCTTCAACTGCGCCCTGGAGTACTATCGCCACGCCTCGCCCGACCAGCGTCTTTTGAACGTTCGTGTGCCTACAATCATCGTCAGCTCAAAAGACGACCCCATTGTGGGCAGCAAAGCCTTGCCCACCAGCGAAGTTTCGTTGAATCCATACACGTACATGGCAGTGACGTCTATCGGCGGCCACTTGGGCTGGTTCGACTACAGACACGAGCGGTGGTACCCGAAGCCGATTCTGAAGCTTTTCCACGAAATGAGCCACTGGGACGTGGACGACTTGCCCAAGGAATGCTTGCCGCATGCCACAGACGGCATCTGGAAGCACGACAGAATTGTGCAATAGACCAATGGCGGGACAAGAATAGCCTTAGATGTTTGTCTGCGGGTCGGCAATTCATATTTGGATTAATTCATTACTGTGGGTTAGTATATCTGGGCTAATGCATATAGCTCTGCGTCTCTGATTGCGTGACTTTCAGCACCTGCAAGATCTTATTTGATGGGCCGGAGAAAAGATCTCATTTGATCGGCCGGAGAAAGGAACGTTGGCATTGCGGCAATTCTGTTCTTTGGCCTGCCACGTTTGCAAGTGGTGCCACTTGCGCATTGACAGGGTCCACACAAATTGAATGGCCAACACGGCTCTGTGACTATTTGCAGGCACATAATCATCAAGGACTGTCAGACTTTGTTTGACTAAGACGTTAACATAACGTCCTTTACAGTCATTCACGGGAGAATCGAAATTGTATTCCTTACAATTTAAATGAAAGTAGGACATGACTCAGTACGTCAGTCGACATCTTGCTTTAATCATTAATTAGCATGATTGGAATTTGTGATAGTCCTAGGTCTTATCCTTTATATCATGTGGCATGTCCTTGCTACGGCATTGAATACTGTTCTTGTGTAACGTCGGATTTAACGGCTTTTCGAGCTTCAGCAGAGTCATTGTGGCACTGAAAAGCCGTGTTTTTTTTTTCCAATTTCAAACCGCTTGATAACGTGAGATGGGTATCCGTGTCTGTAATTGCCTTTCTAAAATAGCATGGATAGACTTGTCTATCGAGTATTGAGTCACTTCTGCCAAGTGAGCGAAAAGGACTTTTTTCAAGGCTTATGATACCACTGACTGTCTTACAATTTCAATTGTCGAATCACAAACAAGAATAGCATTAACTAGTCTGTCATTGCTGCTTTCATTGTCGATCGAAAGATTTCGAGACATCTATATTAAAGTGACAATTTGGGCGAATACATTTAATTTTACTCAATCCTTGAACAAGCCGAATACGGTATGACATGAAAGTTGGTTAAACAGCACCCTTAAACATTCAAAAATGTGACTTTCCTCAACAACAGAATTCCTCTCAGTAAAAAGAAGTAGTACATTATGATTATGGTTAATTGGCTCATTCTGTTCCAATTATTATTTTTTTCTTTTTTTTTTTAATCCGTTAATGCTACATCTTTTCACAGTCAATTTTCGTCATGTCTTCATTAATGATGGCAGAATATGCTCTGCCCAGAGTTGTGCAAGCACGCTGTGTACAAGCCAATAAATAAAATCCAGCCCTACAGCATGCCCCTCGTATCCCGTTCCTATATACCTAGCACACCAGCCCGTGGTGGCCTTTTCCCGTGCCCTGAATGTCCTTAGGCGAGCTGGGCCGCAGATTCGGTTCCGTCGGCGGCGTGCACAATTGCTCGTTGAAAGAGGCGCCGTCATGGTAAAAATCCACCGCCACAATCCGTTGGCGCAAGTCCGCCAACGAAATGCGCTCGTTAGGGTTAAGGCAGAATATCTCGTTGAGCACAGCGTTGAACTGCTTCAGAATGGGCAAGATGGTCTGGAGAATGCTCTTGTTATGCAAAATGTAGTTGGAAAAAACCTCGTGGCGGTCGTTGATGTTAGCTATGGGCCACGGGTTCCGTGCACATGTGATGTTGATAAATAAAACGCCAAGCAGCCACACGTCTCCCGCCAACGTCGGCAAGTACCGTGCGCTCAGCTCCAGCTCCGCACGCTCGTCGCTGACAAACTGCTCCATGTCAATGAGCGACCGCACGAGCTTGCTGGTGTTGAAGTTGACAATCCGCTCCGGGGCCATGTAGAAGCTTGAACCACGGCAAGCATTGCAGCAGATCAAGTCTGACGTCATGGCCAAGCCAAAGTCTATGAGGCTAACGTGAAGTTCCTGGTAGTCGATGATGGGCCGCGAGCCCGTTTCGTCCGCGTCGGGACGCCGATACAGAGGATCGTAGCGCACCATGACGTTTTCGGGCTTCAAGTCGCAGTGGTAGACGCCCCGCAGAGCACAGAACTCCATTGCGTCAATCAATTGGAGCATGCAGTTTTTCATCATAAGCTGCTTGCCGTGGTGGCGCGTCAAGAAGATGTGGTTGTCGATGATGTTGCCAAACAAGTCGCCCTGAGCAAAGTAGTCCATCAAAGTGACCACAGCAAAACGCTCTAGGCTGAAAACGTGGTGGATCGTGACGACATTGGGGTGGTCATGCACTTTCAAGTGCAAAGCGATTTCCTTGAGAAACAGACACGAGACGCCGTCGCGAGCAATCAAGCCCAAGTCGAGTTCCTGCGCTTGCAACGGGCTATGCGAGGCAAAGTAGTCGTACATCTTCTCCTGGATGTACTTTTTGTTGTTTGCCGCCGAGCCCGCGCCGTGGGGCTCAGTCATGACCATCTTGGCGGCAAGCTCGAGGCCAGTGACTTGGTCTCGCACGAGGTAGATGAGGCCGTAGGTGCCGGCGCCGATTTTGCGGAGAAATGAGTACCTGTCGTTGAGAACAAAGCCTTCGAGGCTGAAGTCCGGCTTTGGCCGAACGTTGTGGCTCTTGCCATCTAGCAAGGGCAAGATGTGAAGAGTCATGGCAAAAGAAGAGGATTAGCTGCCCAAAAGAGGAAGGGCCGCTGACCGCTGTCAAACGCTAGAGAGCAGAAAGCAGAGGCCGCAAGACGAGACGAGGCAAGCTGCCGGGAGCAAAGAAAACAACTGTCAGAGTGGAGGTCTTGACCGGGAAGAAGCGAAGGTTCGACTTGAATGGAGGACCGAGCGACCGAGTGAAGCAAAGGGAGTCAAGCGGGTCGAAAACGGGGATAAGGTTGAGATGCAAGCAGATTGGATCAGGAGGACCAGTTGAAACAAGAACGCGAGAAGCACGCCGCAGCAAAGAAAGAAGTTTATAAAAAGATGTTGTTCCGGGTTTTTACGATAAGCACAGTCGGGACAGAAATGGCCCCACGATGTCGCATGATGGGTGCAAAATGGACATGCGCGCGGCATCACACCACCAGCTTGTCTGCAGGAAACAACCGCACCCAAGTTCCACCGCTGTATGCCGGCGGTATTTTGTCGCCGGAGGTAATGTTCCAGTGCCAAAAATGTCAAAGCCAAAGACAATGTCGTCAGAGGACAATGCAATCCCCACACTAAACCAGAAAAACCAGGCCAGATAAACCAGAATAGATAGACCAGGCCAGATAGACCAGAATAGATAGACCAGAAAACCAGACCAGATAGACTAGACCAGATAGACCAGACCAGACCACAAAAGACCTCAGTCCATGAAAAGGCACGTGACATCGCCCAAGTATCGTAGTAATCATCGTTAAACACCAAGACAAAAGCATCTAGACCGTCAAGATGGCCGTCCAGGATATCCACTTTGTTTTAGAATCGGATCGAGACACGACCTGGCATTATGGAAATAGGCCAGGAACCGAGTCTATTGTATCTTTGAACTATTGTCTTGAGTTGATTGGTGTTGATATTTTCGCGTTCTGTTTTGCCGCCAGCTCCTTTAACTGTCCTTTCCTTGTCTTGACATGTCTTTGTCTTGACCGATTGTCTTGTATGGATTGGTGATTGATTCTTCCTTTATTGCAATTGTTACCACATTTTTCCTTTACAACTCTTCTTTTTTACACCCTTATTTCTCATTCTTGTTTCCCTTTACATTCCTTATTTCCTCTTACTCATCCTTCTTTTTCTATTTTTTATCTTTTTCTATTTTCTATTTTTTCTATCTTTTCTACCCTCTTCTATCTTTTCTTCTTCTTTTCTTCTTTTCTTCTTCTTTTCTTCTTCTTCCCTTCTTTCCCTTCTTTGGCAGCCAATCTTCTTATGCAGGACAGAACAACGGCTAAGCTCGGCTCGCTCTTTGCTTCCGCGCTAATGGCAACTTCTCGGCAATAAGCTCGCGCACGTGATCGGCCCGTGCCTGTCGGTTAGCCCACCTTCTTCTACACCCGGATCGATAATGTACCGTGACGACATTTGCTCCTTTATCTCGTCTGCTACTGGCGCTTGCAACATTGGCCAGTCTTGACTACATCCACTGGAATCCACTTGCTGGCAATTCACGTGCGCGTCCGGCAGATAAGATACGGGCGTGGACTTTGGCAAATTGGCTTTTGGCCCGCCGACATTGTCGCGGGCGGAGTGTGACGACATAAGTCCCACTAACCTCCACTTCTGAGCCCTGCGACGTACCCCACACTCAACAACTGAGTATTATGGCGTGATATGCAAACGTCGGAGAAACACTGGCCGTACACTGGCCGTGGCAACGATGTCACCAAACCCAATGTTGGCCTTGCTTCCCGTGAACCTCCATGCGACACTGGCCAACCCTAAATGCCGAAATGTCGTTACATGACCAAATGTCCAATGGCCGCCGGCACCTCTGCCGAGCTTTGCTCGTGTGCACCTACGGCGGAACCAATTTCCGCTTCGAGCCCCAAGGCGGGTAACTACCACACAACAGCCTGCAGACAATGCTGCGCGCCTAATTTACCTTTTTACCTCCGCGGAAAATACTCGAGAGAAACACCCGTACATCCCGCGCCTCTTACTAATAGGAGAAGCATCGGTTCTTTTTTATGCTTTTTCTTCTTTAACGAGAATGGTGCTCATTCACTTTACCGCCCCTTGACTATGGGCGAGTGGAGGGGAAAGAGCATCTAGATTGATGCTATCGATTTACGTCTCATACTAAACTGTCTATCTTATGGCACGTTTGGATTCTGCGTTGTCGACACAAACTTTCATTGAGGCGTGGTTTGGTGCCCGTAGACTAAAGCAATATTACAATTTTGCACGCTTCGCAATTTTACAAAATGACACGGTAAAGCTCACTGTATGGGGTATTCATTGCAGTGGGACTCTATAAGAAGATGTGAGAGGGCATAAATCGTTGAAATGGGCCGCTGCGTGGCAAGAAACGCCAGAACGCAAGCAACCGGGCGGATATGTTGATGCACATCCGAATCTAGTTGATGTTGTAGCTTAACATCATGCAATTGTAAAGGAATTCCGAAGCGCCTCAATACTATATTGAGTAACCGCCCCACTTATTCATGAGGCAGCGCAAACGAAAAACACCGGCTTTCAAGAACCTTGAGGCTGGGACTCAAAGATGCCTCTCTTGGCCTTTGACTAGCAACCGGATCTAAGTACGTTTTGTGGACCGAATTTTTCAAAACCGACAATTGGAACCGCGAATTGAGTTGCTCTTCAATTTGCAAGAGCTTGGTATCAATTTGGCTGAGAGCGGAATCGCGCTGTAAGCTCAAGTTCTCAAGATCGTGAGACGAGCACCATCCAGAACTACTCAAACACTCTTTCGTAGCCTCGTATGCTGATATCACTGAAGCCTTGTGCTGGTTCAAAAATTGCAGATATTCAATCAATTCATCTGACGTCTGCAAATTACTGATGCAGCGATCAGCAAACGAAGATTCGGTGTTCGAGCACAAGCTGTCGAAAAAGGATTGTTCCACTGCCAGCAAATGCACTTTTGTAGAACTCAAATTATCAGAGAGCATTATTACTGGCAGAGGAAGCGAGGGTGCTGATGAAGTCACATTGGAATTGGATAAACCTCTGCTGCGATTCTTGGGAGCGATCAGACTCATACTGCAATTGTAGTTGGGCAATTGCGTTTGTTCCTGAGGCGTAGTGCTCGTCGAGGAGATATTATGGACAATGTTCGACGACATCACCTGCGAGCTGAATGTACTGCTGGACAGGCTGTTTGAAGACAGAACTGTTCCATCTAAAGACGCCGGGTCTGTCTGCAATGGAGTTAAGTGAGGACGCAACACAGGATGGTCCAGAGAGCCCAGAAGCGTAGTCGCTGCGAGCTGGGCGCTAGCAGTCAATGCAGAAGCGGCAGCTATCGTGTTGTTGACACCCAGCGATAGGCTCGATGCCAGCAGCGAGCGGGTGGGCACATGCGATTTTGACAAAGAGAGCTTGCGGATTCCATTGCGCAAGCGCTTGAGAGGTGACGTTTGTGTGGGGCTGGGTTGAGGATGTTGCGACAGAGGCTGGGGTTCTAGCTGTGTCTGGGACTGCGAGAGATCATGAATTTGGTTTTGCGTTTGCGTTTGCGTTTGTGTTTGTGTTTGAGTGTGCGTTTGCATTTGCGTTTGCATTTGCATTTGCGTTTGCATTTGTGTCTGCTGCAGCGTCTGCGCTGGCGCAAGCGCAAATGGGTCTGCAAGAGGCGCATGGTTGAGCGCCTGCGCATCCAAAAGCCCGTCCAAGTGCAGCGAGAAAACGTCGTTCAGCACAGCCTGCGAGTGCAGCGGCGCAAGCACACTGCGGCCATCTTCTGGCGGCGTAGCACAGCGCAGCAGCGTCTGCGAGCTTGGACTGGCGCCCGTCAGCGACTGGGCGGTCAAAGATGCGGGGTTTTCGTCCGGGAGCGGGGGCAAAAGCGCCTCTGTGTCGTTGTGGAAGGAATCTAGCGCAAACGCAGATGGCTGCAAATGACGGCTGCTCGATTGCGACCGCAGCTCCGGTTCTTCTAGAACTATACCTAGACCGTTCATTGGATGAGAAGTGTGGTTTGCGTTTGTGTCATGGAAATGCTGTAAAAAAGATAAAAAGGGATAACCGCCACTAGTTTTGTTTTTCCTTGCCAAGTTAACAAAACGGACAAGAAGGGGGGCAAATAATCGACAAGTATGGGGATGTCACAAAGGTGGTGCTGGAAATATCAGATGCGAATGGACAAACAAGCAGAATAGTTGAAGCGACCTTGAACAAAACAGAGGAGTGGAAATCAAAAGCTTTTTGGGGGGAAAAAAATAAAAAATAAAAAGGGAAAAGGGAATAGCAGAAAAACGGAGGGGAAAAAAGATGTTGGTGATTGGAGTGAAAAGGTTTGGGAGAGACTACCGTGAAAGGTGCTAGGAGGGATTTGATGTGGTCCGGCATGTGGAGCAGTGCTGCAGTATTGAAAAAAATCTCGATGCGAGACCGCATCTGCAGGCGCGCCTTAACACTGCCTGCATACTGTGCAGGACGATATGGCATAATGGCGAAGTGTGCGCCAATACGGGCTAGAGGGCGGGCACGGGAAAGGCGCGTCACGTTAGACCTGACATCGGGGCAATCAATGTCTCGTTTGCGGCTACACAGCGCCCATAGCAACAGTTGTGGTCTGTGGTGACGACATGCGTGACATGTTACAGAGACAATTCCTTCTGTTCGACGCCAGGTGCTGGCCCACCAAAAGAAGTGAGAGACAAAAAACCTAAGGCGCCGCGGTCTAGACTATTGTTCGCGACATGCACGCCGTGCGGCTCTGGCTGCGCGCAAACCGTTATGCAGCTAATCAAGTATGTGCGTTAGGCCTTGGTGACATGATAGGAGACGTTGTGAGCCGCTCGTTGATTGCGACATTGTCGCCAAACCAACCAACCAACCTCTCCCATGTCGCAGTGTCGTCGTGTTCTGGCCTTCACCTTCTTACTTCTGGCCATGCCGTAAACTCTCGCCTACTCTTGTTCTTTTGCCCTCTTTAAATTTGCAAACTTTTTTGCAGAAGTTTTTCCCTCGAATCTTTTACATTTCGCTCTCATCCCCGATTTCATGCATCTTTCCGAGTCCTGAAGCTTATTTCGCTTCTCCGCTTTTTTCTTTCTCTACTGGAGATATTCTATCAGTTGTATCAGTTGTGTTGGTGTGTTGGCGTCTATTTGTTTGTTTCGCGGCCCCTTTCAGGCATCTTCGCTCGCTTCCATTTTGGCACTTGGCCCGGTTTTGTGGCCGCGTTGTTTCTTTCTCTTACAAAGGCTGCTTACTCAGTGCGGGGGTCATACGCACTTACGGGCGCCTACTAGCCCCTTCGATCGTGAGGCGATTCTATTGTTCCGAGGCCAAGCGCTTGTCGCGCTTTTAAACCATTGTTTACCACAGGCATTTGGCTGTGCATACGGAGGAGGATCTTGTAATGCATAGTGCGTGATTACGGTGTGCAGCACATGCGCGTGCCTCCCTGGATGCAAGGATGCGACATGGACGACATGGACGACATGGGCGACATGGGCGACATGGGCGACATGTACGACATGTACGACATTTGCCGAAGGCCACTCTGCATCACTTTGCCCGCACCGGGCGTTCTGGGCGGGCACACTTTTTCCTTCTTCGCCACCGCGCGCACACAGCGCCATTTTGTGCCTTCTAGCGAGCCTGGGCCTCATAACCTTCGCAACGTCTTCGGTCTTTGCTGTTTCCACTCCGAGCGCTCAGCATACGTCGGTCCTCCAAACGGAGAAAAAAAAAAAGTCGGCCCGCCTCTCTTTCGGGTGCCCCATGCAGCAGACTGGGCACATTGCCGTGCCATGCTGCGGCATTATCAGTGGTGGCGGACATTGCATCCTCGAACTGCTGCGACTGATAACGCAACTTATCTACGGGCCAAAACAATCGCGAACTTCTAAATCTTGGGCGATCTCGCGCGTGGCATAACAATCATGCTTGTCTTACATGGAGACGTTTCGACTTGGCTTAGGACCGATCTGGCCTCCTCGCCCGCTGTCCTTCCAATTCTGGACTTGCGGCTGACAAATCATCGCCAGGGGACAAGAACACACGCAAAATCAAAGTGGTAGGAAACAGAGATGTACAAACAAAGACGAAACAGGAAACAAGCGCCAAAACATCAGCACAGTAGTGCTGTACAGCAAATTCATTCATCACAAGGATACATCGCAGTATGCTGCTGGCTTGTATTCATATGGCTGCTAGGGTTTTCAAGAAGGTCCCTTGGCCCAGTTGGTTAAGGCGTGGTGCTAATAACGCCAAGATCAGCAGTTCGATCCTGCTAGGGACCACTTCTTCTCGGGCGTGTGGCGTAGTTGGTAGCGCGTTCCCTTAGCATGGGAAAGGTCTCCGGTTCGACTCCGGACTCGTCCACTTTTTTGTGACTACCGTATCTTGGTACTCTACTTTTTTACTCCAGCTGGCTCCTACAATTTTTGAATGCTTACTTGATGTATATTGACTTGCCGGCAGTCAGTATTTATGTCGCGCATCTCTACTGCGCTCAATGGCGCCTAGTTGAGCGGAAGTTTTATCCAATTTCTTCTGAAACTGCAGCCAGAATCGGCTCTCAGCAGCGATCATGGTCTCAACCTGTTTCAAAGCAACCAACGTCTTGACAACAAGAGCGTGGAAGTGTCTAGCCATTTCCACCATTTGTGTCTCTTTAGAAGCGAGGCTGGCGACATTGAGCTGCTCCACCACCGTACTGGGGATGTCGGGAAACTGCATTGCCTGCAACTCTGCGACGTGTCTTAGCGTTTCTGCAAACTGTGCATACCTCATGGAAACCAACTCCTGCTTGCGAGCTGCGTCATGCACTGCTTCTTCCTGCTCCTTCTTTCCCTGCTCCTCATTTCTCTGCTTTTCTTGCTTTGTCTCAATGTCTCGGCCCCCAAGCTCGCGCTCAATGTCATCGAGTGTTCGGAGTTCCGGGTTGATCCTGTAAAGGTGTCGGAGCTTTTTCTTGCAACTGGGCGATTTCTTCCACCAAGGGCAACTCGCCGTTGCCCACTTGAAGCTCCACCAATGTGGCCCGCTCGGAAAGAAAGTTCATGGTGCGACTTTGTCTCTCTGCGCGTGGAACGCCGCGCGCATCTGCACAACGGTTACGCACAGTTGAGATTATTAACACATCATTCATATGATGGCCTAAGGCCGCTATAGACTGGGCCGGCAACAACTGAATTATTTTTTTGTTTTGTGTTTCTCTTCAGTGGTCCCAACTCTGTTCTCTTATGCTTCTTTGTTTGCCTTACTCTTCCTCGCTGCTACTCATATCGTCGTTTCTGCCACCGCCATAAAGTTCGCGCAAGCTCATGGGCTTGCGTCCAGCCGAGCGCGAGGCAATGTCTGCCGCTCTTTTCGGCTCGTCTTCGCTCACTTGCACGACAATGGGCGCAAAGTCGGACTGCTCCGACTCCGACTCCAAAACCTCCTGTAGTTGGTTCTCGAGGTCTTCAAAGTCGTCGTCCATGTCGCCCTGCGCGACGTGTTCTTTAGGCGGACTCGAGGTCTCGAGATCTTCAAAGTCAGACACGCTGATAATGTCGTTGGATGCAGTGGGCGGCCGTTTCGATGCCGGTTTGGGCATGCTGCGGCGTGGCCCAGACGCAAGGCCCTGCGCGTCGCCTTTCTTACTGTCTCTCTTCAACAGCGACCCAGACGTTGTGCTGCCTCCATTCTTTCTTTCTCCCTCAGCATCTTTCTGTTTCTGTTGCCGTCCACTTGGATTCTCTCTTGTATCTGATGTTCGGCCACTGTGCATGTCTTTCAGCAGACCGGACTCTGGTTTGGCAGGCTGATTGCGAAGCGCCTCCGCAGCCGCTTCAGCAGCCCCTTGTCGCGTAGCCGCTTGTCCTTGTCCCTTTTTTGCAGCCACACCAGTATTGGTGGTCTTATTTGCAGCCAGGCTATTCACAACATTTGCCGCCAGACCAGCCGTCTTATTTGCAGCGGCCGTCCTAATTGCAGCCAGACCGCTGGACGTCTCCGCGCCCGTACGTCTGCCTGCCCCAGTGGGCGCGCCTGCGCCCTTGGGAGGGGCGGCGCCCTGAACGGGCTTCGGCGTTCCCCGCCCCTCCGAGCGCGCCTTCTTCGCGCCGCGCTCTTCTTCGGCTGCCACGCCCAGCACATCCGGGAAGTCGAGGCTCTGCGACGCGCTGGCCCGCCAGCCGGCAATGGTGCCCCGCCACTTGTCTGCATTGCGCGACTTGTTGACCCGCACAGTGTTCAGAAGGCGCCGCAACTGGGCTCTGCCGTCGCTCACAGTAAGATAGAAGGAGTCTGCGCCGTTCGAAGCCGGTCGCTGCCGCTGCGGCTGGCCCTCGAATATGATCGGAAGCAGCTTGATGCCCGGCCGCTCCGTCACCGCGGCCTCCACCACACACACGCGGTCCGTCTGGAAGAGACTCATGGCCCTGGTCTGGTCCATCGAGTCGGGAATGAATCCGTACCGGAGTGCCAACAGCGAGTCGTCCTCATCTCCCAACACCAGCAAGTCAATGTCGTACTCGCCGTCAGGAATGTTCATTGCCAAAAAGGGTATTTCTCTCTGCCGATCCTACCGCCAATACTATTTGAGCACGAGACTGAGGTCCTGGTGGGTCGGGTGTACAGCGCTGAGGAATCACACCAGAAAAGAAAGCGGCGCTACTTTGGGCTGGTAGTGTACCTGCGGCGCGCGCCGTTATCGTCTGCCGTCTGAAGGTCTGGCCCATAATCTTTACGGGCGAGCGACGGAAAGCTAAGCTTAATGGTCGAAGGTCATACTTTGTTACACGCTGCCGTTTGCAGTTGTGAATGTTTCGGGCAAACCGTTCTTTTCGGCTCATGACAGACCGTCGTTGAACTGGCATGTGCTACTGTGCAGTCCTCTTCTCCATCAACACTCTATTGCGTCTACAAACCCCACACAATTTTCAGTCACCCAGCACATGTCTGACGAACCTTTGCTGCTGTCGGAAGAACTGCCGTCGGTTTCGGTTCTCCATCCCAAGGTACTTCTTCTTTCTGCCGGTTTCACGGGAGCTGCAGCTGCGTCGTACTTCTTGTATGGCCGCTACGTTCGCCGAGTGAAGACGTATCTTGATCTCACGCCAGCCATACTAGATGGCCAGCGCAAGCTCTACGGAAAAGTCACTCGTGTCGGAGATGGTGACAACTTTCGTTTTTTCCACACTCCAGGTGGTGTTTTACTCGGCTGGGGCTGGCTCCGCAAAATTCCCGACACACGCTCCGGACTCAAGGACCAAACGTTGATGGTACGTCTCTGTGGTGTGGATGCGCCGGAACGCTCTCATTTTGGCAAGCCGGCACAACCTTTTTCTGAAGAGGCCCTTCAGTGGCTCCAGCTGTATGTGGGCGGCCGCAGTGTGACCATCACGCCTTACTCCATCGATCAGTATAAGCGGGTTGTCGCTCGTGCTCAGGTGTGGCGATGGACAGGAAAGCGCGATGTAAGCGCTGAGATGCTACGGAACGGGCTTGGCGTAGTGTACGAAGCAAACTCTGGCGCTGAGTTTGGCGAAAACGAAGGATGGTACCGGCGGCTTGAAGAGAAGGCTAAGCGCCGCCGGCGAGGCATGTGGAGCTTGGGGCTGAAGTTGGTTACGCCTGGCAACTTCAAGCGCCAGTGATGCATGGACGTCCTCGTCTCTCAGGTCCGTCAAGAACCATACCCGGCTGTACATCAAAGTCAACTACACGTGGCATTCTAGAGACTGAACCGCTCTCATTTTTGCATTTTTGATTCTTATCCTGTTAGGCGTCTTTCTACGTGGGATGCTTTCACCACTTTTCATGAGACTACGTGATGGTCCCAGTTATACTGACTCGCTAGTCTATTTTCTAATTCTGGGCCGTCCTTTCTGTCGTCAGGCTGAATCCTCATCAGCTGTATGTGTTTTTGAATCGTATCCTCGTGCTGTTTATGTTGGCATTCTTCCTTTCCTTATTGCATAGATCTTCTACTGGTCACACTCTTCCCATCTCGTGTTCTTGTTCTACCCGTCACCAAATCTTCTGTTCACGTACGTGATCGTCAATTCGTACTCTTTTCTCTGAACTACCTGGCTCATACAAAAATATAGAAGTCTTCCGCTACTGGAGCAATGCGCTTCCCTCGGCACTCAAGCTCTCAGCATGTTCCTTGGTGTCTGCCTCTGCGTAGACCCGAACCGCATCCTCGGTTCCCGAAGCTCTGACAAACATTCTGCCCTGTGGATACTTGGCCACCAAAGCGTCGATTTTCGCTTGCATTCCTGCTGGCTCCACCAAAGTTCTTTCGGCGTTGGTCGTTTTGAAAACAGTGCGGTCTGGAACAACCACCTTCACCAATCTGTTGGGCAAGTCGGTGTACTCCTTGTCCCATTGCGCCGGACTCAACTGCAAGTAGTCGAGCGCAATCAAAACCGCCAACAAGTCCGATATGGCGTCGCCCACCGTCTGGTTGATTAACCGTGTGAACTCCTGGAGCATGGCAATAGCGTCCGCCTCCTCATCCGAAGCGGCAAAATAGCCAAATATTTTCTTCTCCGCCTCCGGCGAGAAGATCACCGTGCCGTGGCCATTAGCCTCAAAGTACACACCAACGTCGTACTTCTCTGCCTCGTGGTGCAAGTGTTTGACACCAGTGGACGTGCAGCGGACCAGCACTTTCAAAACGTCTTCGACGTACTTGGTGGCAGAACCGTTAGCATAGGCCGTTTGCACCACGGCAATCTCGAGTTTCAACTTGGCCGTGTCGATTTTCGCCAACAACCTCTGCAAAAACATGGCAAGCAAGGTGGCGATCTTGTCACCGTCCAACAAGCGGAAGGCGCCGTCGTCTGCCTGGTAGTAGTGGACCAATCTGTCTGCGTCGCCGTCAAAGGAGCCGTACAAATTTCCGTGCTCAAGAGAGACGCCCTTGGGCGCCTTCTGGTTTGTCTTGACGAAATCGGCGCCACATTCGAAGTTGAGAAGCTCCGGCTGGTCATAGGCGTTGTTCACGAGAGTGAAGACCACATCGTCGCCAAGGTACTGGCCGAGCTCTTTGATCTTGGCGGCGCCCACGCCGTTCGCCGAGTCGACCGTGACTTCAATCTTTTTTCCTCCTCTGTGCATTTTCTGGAACGCCGTGGCCATCTTGCCATAGTAGCCTGCCTCCAGGCACTCGCCAAACGCCTTGTCGTTCGACGTTCTCGTGATGTAATGCAACTGTGGTGTGGTGAACAAGCCAAAATCGTGCACGCTGGTGTCCGGAATAGACTCGATACCGTCGATCGTCGCCTGAGACAATCTTGGCGACGACTCACGCGAGTCACGCGCAACAACGACCCGGGCAGGGACACTGAGGTCAATCTGAAGCTCAGCAACAAGCGCCTCGATGCGGTCAACCAACTGGTCGTGGCTGGCGTTGGCCAAAGCTGTGGCATGGGCTTCCCAGGAGCTTTCCAACATGCTTCCCAACGGATCTACCACTTTGACTCCGTTATCGGCGGGCGGGTTGTGCGAGGCGGTGATCATTACGCCGACGGTCTTGCCGCCCAAGTACTTCGAGCGCAAGGCGGCGAGAATTCCCACGGTGAAGTTGACGTAGTCCAAAAGCTCTGCTTTCATGCGGAATCCTGCAGTGCCGTAGGTAAAAGCGGCATTGGCAGGTCTGGAATGGCGAGCGGCCTTGGCATTGACTTTGTCTGCTAGCATTGAATGGGATGTTGGTTGGTGTCAGATGTTGATCTGGTGTCAGATGTTGATGACCTGTTAGTGTTGATGTTTGCACCTTTCATATCCGGATGCGAAAAAATAGAACACATCTGGCTATTAATAACCCGGCGAAGAAGATCAGGGCGATGTCGCCAAGCGTGACTTGCTGAAGCTTTCGCTTTCTTTTTGTCTGCTAACGGAGTGGCCTGATAAAACGCACTAATGAAGCAAGTTCACAAGATGGGGAAGCTAAATGACAAGCCATTAATCTATAAAACGACAATTTATGAAAACAAGTTCACAAGATGGCACCAAATGACATGCTATAAATCGTCTTTAGACGCATTTGGCTTGATGAATCCATTGCAGTGGATGCTACGGCGTTCACTACAGCTTTGATGATGTCGAATGCTAAGACGTGGATGTTAAACGTTAAGAGAAGTTGAAGAGTCTGCTGAAACGTCGATGGTGTCTATTCATTTCGTCGCCTGAGATCGCCTTCTTCTAGTCAACCTATGGCATTTCGAGTCAGATAATTCTGCACCATGATGTACTCTATTGATCGATGCGTTCACCCATGTTTCGAGACTCCTATTCCGTTGAGTCCTATAAGTGAAAGAAATTAATATGGTCTCAAAGTCAGAGCAATCAGGGACAAGTCCATCAAAAATTTCTTGAGTCTCAACTTAAATCTGTTTCTTTGTGCAATGTTCCACGGCCTCCTGATTGGAAGGGTGTATGCGCGCACTTAGTTGCAGTCGCTCAAGAATCCAAAGCACAAATGCAAAAGCCTAGCAAATTTGCAAACTCGTCATTTCACAAAGAATCACGGCCTGAGGCGCCTTTACCAGAAACCAAACCAAAGGCTGGCCCACAGGATGAGTTTTTCTCCGAGTTAGTGCAAACCGGAAAACCCAACTGGAAGAAGGCCCCCGCTGCGGTCAAGAACCGCTACAATGGCATTTTCTTGATTCTCTTTTCCATTCCGATTCTCTTGCTTCCGGGCTGGGAGTTGTACCGCCGGATCAACGGGAAGTCAACGAAAAAAGTGCAAGAAGGTGAGGTTATAGAGGGACGCACGGTCCGCAAGTTTGACGAAGCCGAGAAGTGGCAAGTGGAACGTAACAGCATCATGTACAAGATTTTTGGCAAGGATTTTTTCCTTGATGGTTTCACCAGCAAAACCATGCATGAAGACGAAGGCAAGAAGAGCTAATTTGGAGCGGTTACCGCCAAGCTTTCCTCGCTTCTTTGACCAGGCGCGGGAGATTAATGTCGTCGAAACGGGAACCGATAGACGTTTCGGGGCGTTCAGGCGACGTAGAGGGCAAAGTGATGCCGGGAGATTTGAGTTGCGAAGGCTTTAAGCGGGGCGATTTGGCGTACGTGCCTGGCGAGTAGAGTCTCTCTGCGGATTTGACTACTGGATTTTCGGCTGACTGTGTCAATTTGGACGATCGACCAGTGCTCAAGTCCGGTGTTCGGAGGCCACGGAGCGACATCTGGTCGGCGGACTTCTGCAAAGACGACGAGCGCTCTGCGGAATGTTTGGTGAGATGGGACATGTTGAAGACGACAGGGCTGCGCAAACGCGGCGAGTCGGACCGGGATTCCGGAGTTTGTTTGGGTGTGTGTATTTCCCTGCGTTCTGGCGAAATAAACACTGGATGAGATGGGCTGATGCTGGCGATGCGTGTAGGCAAGTGGGTGTATTTTTTCTTGATGACGGGGAGGCCGAGCGATGTGTAGTTTGACACTATGAGGGGAATACGAGAGGGTAGATATGAGGGTAGATGTTTTGGGGTGGTTTCGTGGCTGTGAAAGGAATGTGTGACGGGAATGTAAGGCTTGTGAGATTTGTCGGGGTAGTCAGAGCTATCAGAATTGTCAGGGTTGTCGGGGTAGTCAGAGCTGTCAGGATTTTCAGAGCTGTCAACGTTGTCAGAGTTATTGATGTCAAAATGGTCAAATCTAGAGCGAGACTTGTTTACATACATGTCAGTCTTGTCAGTCTCATGTATCGTTCCTTGTATCTTGACTTTCATACTGATGTTCATACCAGCCGCTTCATTTCCGTCCAGAGTCCTCTTTTCTGAACCATTCTTCTCTTCCAAAGCACTGATGTCCATTCCGGATCTTTGGTTTCTTTTCTTTCTGGAGCTCTTCTGGATGAGAAAGCCAGGTTCCAATAGGGCACCGCCCAGTTCCAATAGGGCACCGCCCAGTTTCAATAGGGCACCGCTCAGTTCCAATAGGGCACCATCCACATCCTCGGTTTCCCGTGGCTGGAGATTCAAAAGCGGGCCCGGCACAATGTCCAAGTCGACGATTCGGTCCGTCTTGACACTGATAGGAACCGACGGCGACGGATCGACGTCAAGGCCAAGGTCCAAGCCGGGCAACGGCGACGCCACCAGCGGCAGGAGAGCAGACCCTTCTGATCTGCCGCCAGAAGATCCCAAACCTGAAGATCCTAGACCGGATTGTCCTGATTTTCCTGACTTTGCCGCCTCGGGATTTCCCACGCCAGGTGACGCCAGTGCCACGCGCGACACAGAGGGCGCGCGCGCAAAGCCGGGCGCGGCGGCCAGCGCCACGCGAAACGGCCGGAGCGGCGCGCGCGAAACGCGCGCGCTCACGGCGCGCCACGGCACGAGCATGGCGTTGAACGCCGGCGCCACCGTCTCGCTGCGCACGGCGCCCGCCGCATGCGCCGCCTGAACCAACGCCACTGCAGCGGCGCAAAGACGATACAACGCGGCGGCAGGCTCTTTTTCGCCGTCATCGAGCAACGCGCCGATCTCGGCGCAGCGGCGCCCAACGTCCTCGGCCACGTGCAAACAGACGTTTTCCCAGCGCTGCACCACCAACGACAAGTCAAGTTGGGCGGCGCGCGCCTCGAGGCCCAGCCACCGGGCGGATAGCCGCGTCTGGCGCGCCGAAAGCAGGGCGGCGCGCGCCTCGAGGCCCAGCCACCGGGCGGATAGCCGCGTCTGGCGCGCCGAAAGCAGGGCGGCGGCGCCTGGAAAAAACAGCGCCGCGTCGTGGGCCACTGCGCGAACCCGCTGCGCCACGAGCTCCATCAGCACGCCTAGTGGGGCGAGCCGCGCCCGCACTCGCGCGAGACAGGCGTAGAGGTGTTGTTCGGCGGGCGAAAATGCCGGCGACTGCCAGTCGCCGCCGCAGGCCACGATTTGCTCCATCAGTGGGAGCGGGAACGTTTCCGTGTGGCCAAAGACCGGGTCCGTTTCGAGCGCCGCCACTTCCGCCTCCACTGCGGGGAGAACCGTGTGGGCGACTTCGGTCCATGCGGCGGCGACGGCGGCGCGGGCGGCCGCTTCGGCTAGGCAAGCCAATGTGGCAGATCTGTGCGGTGTGGAGGAATCATTTTCTGGGCCAGCAGGGTGCGTGGATCCGCTTAATGTAAGCGATGTGTGTGATGTAGGTCTGTCTGTTGATCTGTTGATTGGTCTTTCCATTGATCTGCCTGCTCTGTCTGATCTGCCTGCTCTGCCTGATCTGCCGGATGCTGAACTTTCTCGATTTGGTCCCTCTTTGTTTTCCCTGCCGTTCTCTCTCTCTCTTTCCTCCACCATTCTCGCCGTGTCGGCCAAGCCGAGCCGGCCCTCGCCAAACCACTCAATGGCTGTTTCGGCGGCCGCTCCGCGGCTGGTTTGGGCTGCCACGAACGCTGCCTCGAGCAAAGGTGCAAGCTCCGCCAACGCAGCGGCCCTCGCGCCATCGTCTGGCTTGGCCCGCACGCGTGCCAAAATGGCCGGAAGCGGCTCGGCAAACACCGACAGCGCCGTTTTTTGCAGCCCTTCTCCTTTTGTGTTCAGGCTATTTGCCGCCGTCTGTCGCGTATGTGGAGATATGGTGACGGGCAAAGCAATTGACGGGGCCAAAGTAGGCCGGGTGTTTGATGTTGATGTTGATGTGGCGGTGTGTGCAGGTCTGGCGGTTAAGGTCAGGGTCCATGTGTCAACGAAGAATGAAGAAGGAAGAAGAAACAGGAAAAATTGAAAAGAATTGAAAAGAATTAAGGAATTGAATAGAATTGAAAAGATTGAAAAGATTGAAAAGATTGAAAAGATTGAAAAGATTGAAAAGATTGAAAAGATTGAAAAGATTGAAAAGATTGAAAAGATTGAAACGTATACTATCAAACAGTAGGAAGAAAGATAATAGTTAGTAAAGGTGAGAAAGGTAGGAGAAGGGTTGAATCATTCAGGTAAGGCTAATAAGCTAGCAAGCAATGTCTTCAAAAACATATTCAGAAATCACAATCACTAGAGCAGAAAACGTAAGTGAATAAAAAAGTGAGGAAGAAAGTAGTATTGATACGAAAGAAAAGGTGAGTGAGAAAAAACAGACTTAAATGTGGAAGTAGAGCAGAAAAATAACAGTGCAGTCAAAGTTGAAAGGGGAATAGAGAACACCAATAAATTAGAAGCTAGAGGAAATGAGTGTTGATAGAAAAGAGATAATTAGACGAGGAGGAGTTCAGTCATTAAAAATTATAGTCCAAAACAGGGATAAATCAGACTAAGATAATCTTCTAATGAAGACAATAGGAACAGCTATTAATCGTATTCCGTTCTTCAAGTCGCAATGTTTGCTTTCAAGGATGCTAAGCCAAAATTTGGCCTTGCAAACTGGTACAATGGACGCAAGTATACATAATTAGGAAGATAAAGACTCGCTATCAACACAATTCATAAATGCTTTCAGTCAAAAGGCGTCAGTCTGTTCTGCTTCGAAGTGGGAGTACACTACCATTCTCATCACGTAATTGCCTATAATTATTGGGTTTTCTGCTTGAATGCAAAACATTGACCTGTGTTTTCTACTTGAATGCAAAGCCATGGACCTGTGTTTTCAAGCGCTTCCGATGAAACCTAAAATGATAACTTTAGATTGAAAGAAGTTTTACTTTTTCTCAGCAGCTGATGTCTTCAAATCGGATTATTTATTGCCATACTCACTGCTCCGATAAAGAAAGTAGTTGATTTTGTGCGTGGTTGCAGCCACAAAAATGAAGTAGCACAAATTGAAACCCGTACACCAGAGTAAATCAAGACCCGTACATCTCGAAATATAACACCCGTACATCTTTCTAAACCCGTACACCAAACAATGAAAAACCCATACATACGAGAACTCACACCCGTACACCTCTCCCTGAGATCCGTACATCCTCATACTTAAGCCTCTGGCCTCCGCCAACGATGCTGTAAGGTTATAATGCTTAGAAACTTCGAAAGTTTTCTAGTTCTTTATGTTAGTCTACACTCAAATTTACTTCAGGAATTCATTGTGTAGACTCTTGGATTAGTAAAGACGAAGCAAGGACAATTCTTCTGATGCGGAAATAACGGAAATCAGACAAGCTGGTTAACCAGCTGGATTTGAAGTAGCTCTATTGCTATACTTGAACATTTTTTCTGCATAGACACTTTCAGTATTTATACTTGATGAAATTTCAATCTACAATGAATAAAAGTAAACATGTTTACCTACCGTAGCAAAGTATTGACATTCCTCACTCTAAAACTGGCATGATAATTTTTAGAAGAATGCTGACAGAATTTAGCATCAAAACATTTGCATCTCCTCTCTTTATATCTACAATTTTTACACTCCTCACCTCTTTGGTTTCTACATTTAAGGTTTCCTTAAAGTAAATTTATGTCTATGTAAAATAGGCATTTGTCAATCAAGCGGACAACCAAGGGCTCCCAAAATTTCCGCATAGAACTCCATAACTTCGGTATGGAAGTCTATCGTATCTTCTATAATCTGAAAAGCGAATACATTCAGAAACACATCATGTCTATTAGTGAAGGCTTCGAGTGGATTAACCAAGTTTTTGTCGTTTTCACTAAACTTGGTCAACACATCTATAATCATCTTGCCAAAAAGAAGCATATCTCGTACAAGCAAGTTCTTTTCGGCAATTTCTTCGCCTAGCTTTAAGCACCCTTTAAGGCCGTCGAGGCAAAAGTCTCTGTTTTCAAAAGAATTCTCCAACTGGTCAATCAAAAGTGCACTGGCTTGCATCTGCCGAATACATTCTGGATATGCCAAACACACATAGTTGGTCTCGATGATGTATAAGGAAATTAGATCAGAGCAAGTTTTGTGGGATGAAAGATTTGTGTTTAACATTTCTGTTTCCACGGGAAAATCTTCTTGCAAGTATCGGGAAATGGATCGAGTGCAAATGGGATAGAAATCCAGATGCAAAAACAATTCTGGCCAGAGAACGGAAGACGCAGTTTCATGATGATTCAGAATATTTCTGGATTCTCCAGCCAGAAGATTTTTCGTGTCTCCAAGTTTGATGATTTTGCTTTCTTGATTGGGGTCTGCAAAATCCAGCGACTCTTGATCGTCTCTCATGCCAATCCACATTTGTGTTCTAATATTTGCAAAAAATAGATTAGGTCTGTTTAGGTCTGCAAGTCCGAAATTTCTACGGAATCAATCAAGGTCGGTAAAGCTAGATAGTGGTGTACTCTTTGACTTTGTACTTCTTGACGTTTACCATCGCGATTTTACATAAAACCGCAAGTAAATGACAATTACGGGAAGAAATAAAAAGAGTCAACTAGTGCCGAAACAATCAATCTTTCAGTTTTATTGCAATCAATTTTCACAAGGTCCAATCACGAAAATTTAATGCAACTCAAGAACTCATTATCCGGAAAGTCAATCAACTGTACAAAAAAAGTCTTGACAACAGAAGAATAGGGTCATAAGCCAAAAATGTTAGTTGCATCAGAGCTCACATTTCGATGTTCTTCACTCACATTTCGATGTTCTTCTCGTCCAGGTAAGAATTAAGTTGCTACAATAATGCCCAACTTCCATTTGAGCACCACATCAATAACTTCACATTCTCGTGAGGTACAAAGTCAATAAAACAATCGCCGGCTGAAAAGGCGGCCAATACGTCGAGCTCATGATACTAGAGCTTTATCATATATGGCATGGGGTATTTTTTCGAGCCAGGGTCTAAGTAGAAAAATAGTCGTCGTCAGACGAAAACTCATCGCCAAACAAACCGTCATCCGGATTGATCAAGAATCCTTGTCCGGTCATACTTTCGTAGAAAAGATAATGGCTCGGTTCCGCGTAGTGTCCTTCTCTAGTGTTGGAGACATCCATGGTTCGGCAAACAAAATGCACCTTGGTTTTCCCTTGATGGTATTCTTCTTGGTTGTTGATTTGGGCCTTCTGGTTTTGCACACCTTTCTTTCGATTGTTCTTGTTTTGGGACCTGTATTTCAAGGCGTAAGGAATTGGGCAGAATTTTTTCCTCAAATGCTTCGTATTGCGGTACCACCAAGAGATCTGGGTGGAAATGTCAGGCCCTGCCTTCTTTGCCTCAGCAATAGAGTCGGCAAAGTCATCTACTCGCACCAACGGACTGGGAATCCAAGTAGTGAGGCTTGTAATGAACGTTTGCCAAATTTGTTCAGGAGTAGCAGAGTAGACAAGGAGATGGTGGAGCAAAGGACGGAAGTTGCCTAGAGCCGCCATTTTCATCAAATGGTTCCGGCGCAAAGTGAGTTGTATCGAAAACACCTCTTTACCTTCCGACTTTTCAAGGTTTTCCATGAGTACATCTTCCACATAATCACGGACCAATAAGACGACGGAACCCACGAAATCTGCAAGAAGCATTCGCAAGCAATCGTGAAACTGCATTTCGACTATGGAAATTGCATATTCAATCTGTGCCGGCAGACCTTCGAACCTGAGTCGGAATTCGTCACACGATAAGTTGCAATAGTCGTCAAACACAGGAGATTCCATCAGAAAGTTTCTCTTGAAAAGATAGTACCATTCCCGGATATGGGCTGGATGGCGAAGCTGGAAGGGACTTAGTTGGTTGATTTCATCCCGGCTCAAAAGCGGGCATGTAACCGCTTCAGCTAGATGCAAACGATGTGGAACAGAAGCCAGTGTGTTCAGAGAAGGCGTTGTAGGATTGGTGGAACGGAAAACTGGAACAAAAAGAGCCAAGCTCGACATTTGTTGTAAAAAAGAAGTCGACATGGGAGAATGTAGATTATCGGGGAGGCAGAAGATAGGATGTTAAATACCGCTGTGCACAAGAGAGTTATGAGTTATGAGAGTTATGAGAGGTCACATTCAAGGTTCATACATCTGGGCCTCGAGTGGAGATCGGATTACTGGATTACTGGATTACGATTACTGGATTACTGGATTGGAGACTTGGAGACTTGGATTTGGTGGATTACTGGATTACTGGATTACTGGATTTGGTGGATTTTGATATGGCCTTATCAGTGTGTTTAATGTATGCACACCAGCGTTATCGCTGATTTTGGCACCGGCGATCTCCGAATCCATCGGGAATATTCTCCCATATAGGGAGGCCAGAATGTTCGAAGAATCAATTGCTTCTAAATGCCCTGCCATTAAATCTACTCAAATGCCCTGCCATTAAATCTACTCAAGTGCCCCTGCCATTAAATCTACTCAAGTGCTGTTAGGTCGACCATACAGGAAAACCTGGAAGTAGTCCAGGCCCCGGTTATGGTAACCTCCTGATAAGTCACAATGCCTAGGTGACGCGGTTCTACTAAGCATCCCCGTATGGGGTAAGACGCGTCTCCTAATCACTAAGTCTATATAAGACGCCTGGCTTTCCGTGTAGCTGGAAGCCAGGAACCAAGAAGCCCACATTTAAATATACACTATCGATTATATCTCGAACCTAACAAAAACTATTTAAGCCAAAAGGCAAAAACTGTTTAAACCAAACGAAAATAATTAGGTAAACTAGTATGTAAACATAAAGATGATTAAAACTGTTGAAAAAGACTACTTAGTCACCTTAAAAGACAGAAATAAAAGCTACGGTGAGTATTCTGGCTCTTCTGATCCAAAGGGTCAAGTTAAATCAACAAGAAGAAGCAATATGGCATGCTTAATCGAACGAAAAGCCCCTGACGTTTCGTACTAGTTTATTTAGTTTTCTTCGTTTGGTTTGAATAATTAATTTCGTTTGGTTTGAATGATTTTTCCTGTTTGGTTTAAATAGCTTTCCCGTTTGGTTTAATTAATTTTTCTTGTTTGGTATGAATAAAAACTGTAGATACTGCATTTTTCATCTTTTTACTGACTTGGTAGAGCCTGGATTGGCCATGGGAGTGTATATGTTATTCGTATAGACGTATGCATACAGATCTGTGCCCTTGTGCTTCAGCTTTATACACTACTGGGCTTCTTGCAAATCAGAGATCAAACCAGGTCTCTACATTAGTGGGATCTAGGAAAAAACATTTGAGTAGGCAATCTGAATGATCATCCAGAAAATCCATCTAGAAAAATGATGATCTTACTTGAGTCTCATATGAAATATGATAGCAGGCTCACGGCATTGTAAGAAAACTCACTGCATTGCCAAGATGTCAGATAAATATCGTTTTTATATCAACTTGAAATGGTGGTTAAGCTATATAATGATATAAAGAACATAATAGATATATGATGATTAATAAATTAGCGTAGTAATATTCATGAAGCTATGGATGTTTTAGCTACTACACTTACATATGCTGTTATGTATGTAGGTGCATAATTATACAGCTATGCTTCAACGACGTAAAGGTCATACCCAGTTCAAATAATAATGCAATAATCACGGTGATAGTGCCCTCTTGAAAACTATTAAAGTATCTTCGGAGACCCTTCTTCGGAAAGTAATTTGGGAAAAAGAATTTTAGATAGTGTGTATACACTGTAGTCTTGTCAACAGTATGAATGCATATACGGTTCTACTGTATGCATCTGTTCACTACTGTATGCATACAGATGTGACAAGCAGGATTTCTATTGTTCTTCGATGCCGGCGTCTTAACACCGACAGGTCAAGGCCCTCGCATGTCCGCGGACGCAACTCCATCTGCATGGCCGTTTTCTGTCATTGGATGCTGCAGTGACGTGAATACTTGCGTCTAACATCGGTCGTCAACGACATGACAGCATAGCAACGGTATATCTGTTGCATCTCATCTCTATTAGACGAAGGACACGCTTAGTTAGCAATACCGCATAAATGAAAAACCGAATGAAACCAAAACTCTAGCTGAAGAAGTAGAAGACGAGTAATAAAAGTGCTCTCGAGTCTAACCTCATCCGTAATTTTCTCCTTCTTGTTCTCCACATCAAAGTATATATCACAATGGTTTGTATCTTCTCATTATTAGATCACCTTTTCTCAACTCTAATTGAACTTCATTTACCCAACGCCCAACTGACTCAACAGCAGATCCTTGCTTAAGCTCTCTGTGAGTTTCAGGGACACCATTATTCCAGACTTAGTAGTAAATGGATGGGCTGACCGAACGGTGTCCACTTTATGCATTCTTGCTTGTAGATCGATAACCAATCCAGTGGAGCCTAAGGATAAGCTTGTATCATCGGAACGAAGTTGGGTTGGCATCTTGAAATAACGCTTAGAATTGATAAATGATCCTTGGAGAAGAATCTAGAAATAGTGATCTTACTTGAGTCTCATATGAACTGGCTTTTCAAGATCAGCGAACGGCGATTACTGAAGTCAATAAACATGGCCAATATCAGAGAAGTGCTCAGAGTATTGCCGAGATATCGTTGGCAATAACCATGCCGTTCATACGGCACCTTTGAATACCTTTGGAAAGCTATATTGACATCTTTGAAAACCCACACCCGAGACTCACATTTAGAAGAATAGACTTTTACTGTAGCTTATTCTCATCACCGCCAGGAACTTTCGAGTTACGAATCAGAGAGAATCAACCGGATGTTCTCAATAGCATACTAATGCATATGTTTCTGTAGAAATACCACATTATTTTCCCCAAGTATATACTACACTGTTTTCCCGATTCTTTTTCATTCACGAAACTAAACCACTTTCAAATGTACCCAATTGCACTTACCGAGGATACATCCTCAACCTCTTCTTAACTCTGAAATGCCAGCTGGAACGTTTATAGTGCCAAAGTATACATTTGAGCAGTCGACTCCGATGTGGATGTAGAATTAAAAATAGCCAATTGGATCTTGTTGAGAACAAACTACAGTGATGTATATGCATACCATCTGAAATTCTCTATTACTATATTACCTGTTTACGAAGATGGGTCTCCGGAGATAATTTAGGATAGAGTGCCGTATGAACGGAACTCGTCTATCTCCGTGAGCTCTTGTCTTATATCTGGCCAATACCAGAGATCCTATCTCATATCTGGCCAATGCGGGTTTCTCGCATCTCCAGCCAATACCAGAGCTCTTCTCGGATCTCCAGCCAATGCCAGAGCTCTTCTCGGATCTCCAGCCAATGCCTTGGATAAGTCCTAATCGGCTTCAGCAAAATACACGCCAATCTCGGACATACGTTATTTCCATAAGAAACTCAAGTATATAAGATCACCTCTTTTCTTTAGGACGGATTCTTCTCTATGGATCATCCATCCCGATATATCCATCTGAATACACTTGCTTACTCAAATGTCCACCTCTGCCTCCATTGACGATTCCACTCTGACTGATGCCTTTCAGAGACTCTCATGGATTGATCTCTGATTTACCAGCAAGAAGCCAAGGAGTGCATGGAGCTGACGCTATTGCACAAAGAGTTTCACAGATCTGGCACTACACTCAAGGAAAATGCGGAACCGTTTCCAGTTTCAGCCAGTTTCTTGCTTCAGTCGGATCCTTTTTCAGTCGAATTCTGTAATATTCGTTCTCATGGGCCGGACAGTGCTACCGTAGAATTGTTTGGAAACATCCATATTCTTGTTTGGAAACCATCCAGGTATTTTTAGTTTAACAAACGTCATTGTTCTTTTAACAAAGAATCACCAACGGCATTTGTGAAGCTAAGAGAGTTTGAACAATACCACTGCCAAGACCATTTAGGAATGGCTCACGGCGTTTTCGAATGCCGTTCATACGGCATTGCTTGAAAACAATATGTCAGGGTGTATGGGAGTTCCATCTTCCAATACTAGGAAATAAGAAAAGAGAATTTAGATAGTGTGCATACATCACTGTAGTTTCTCAACAATTGTTGTAAAGTAGAAAAGTAGTGATATACCAGAGACGATTACGGAAGTGACCTTCAAGATAAGATAGGAACGGAAAGTCCCGAGGACAGATACGAGATAGGGAGATTCCGATGAGATACGATAAGTCCGAGGGGTCTGCGGAGATCCCGCGGAGATCCCGCGGATCATGGTAAGTTTGTAGGAAAAGGAAATATAACTAGTGTGCATACATCACTGTAGTTTGTTTTCCAATTGTATATGTATTTAAGACTTCTCCCGCTTCTCCGGATTCTCTGAATCCCCCTTAAGTAGGAATTTTCAAATGTCCACAACTGCAGTTGAGGTTAGTTCAACCTCTTCCTTAGGGGAGTCTGGATCGCCAGCTCGATGGAAGGCGGTTTATTGTGCGGACGTGTATTATCGCCATATTCCAACGATTGACAATTTCAACATCCAAGACCTTAACCCCTTTGAGCTTGAGGATCGAGTTTTTTTCCCGGAGTGGTACTACTGCTTCAAGGAAAAGTTTCTGAAGGCTGTACCTACGGGCCGTGACTATTGCACCTTATCTTATGACGAGTACAAACTGAGATTCTTTGGTGGGCAGTATGTAATTAATCAGGTGCCTTGTTCGGTTTACTTGTTCTTTGTGGATTGTTTGAGGGATCTTCTTGAAGGCAAGCGTTTTGGACAGGATTTCGAGCACTTCACTCGTGAATATATTGAAAACGAGACCATTCCGAACATTGATATGGAAAGCCTTGAAAGTAGGGTGAAAATTACTGCACGTCAGGATTTATTGAAGAAATGGGCAGTTCAAGGCAACTACATGCCTTTGCTAAATCATCTTCTTGCGTTTTCATCGACTCCACAAACTGTCTGGAAGTTTTTCATCGAGGCCTTTGCTTCGAAATTCAGAAAGTTGACTCGGTCTCAAAAGAAAGATTTCATTCAATCTATAACTGACGCACAGGAGATTGGGACAGGCATTACAAATCAAATTAGAAGTTGGTACGAAGAGATGCAAGAAGATATGCTGCCATGGCGTCCAAAATAAGACCTGACTTGGAAACACTTTGAATCGGACCGGAAAACACGCCACAAATGTCAACAATCGGTGTTAAAAGAGGAAACCTTTCCCACCAAATTGGGAGCCAGAGAATTCACTCACATGTTCTCTCATCGTTCATCAACCCAAAGGGACACTATTCCCTATCTCATTGTTCTCTAAATCAACTTCAAGAGGTATCATCTGACTATTGACACATATGATCCAAGCTTATGTTCAGAATCATAGATTCCCTCTATGCTGTAAGGTTACTACTGAAGATTTAAGTGAGATCAGACTTATTTCGGATGGATTTCAGATCATATCAAGGCACTAAACAGTGCAGATCTGTCCTGCCAATTGTTCCTATACTGACTCTGCTGGACCATTGGATTGGTCTGATCTGACTGCTACAAGCATAGAGCTGATATGCACTGTATTTCTGACTTACTGTATTCATATACGGATGAGTTATTGTCTAGCTATTATATGATTCTAGACATTCATATAAGGTCTTGTAAAATCTATTGTCGCTCTCCCCACTCATTGTCCACTTTTATTTCCCTCTGTTTCCTCTGCTTTTCTTATTTCTTGGAAGGTTATTTCTAGCTCTGCCCTAGGATATTTCTCTAGGACAATTCTCTGGGACAAATTTCTAGGACAATTCTCTAGGACAATTCTCTAGGACAATTTTCTGGGACAATTCTCTAGGACAATTCTCTAGAACGAACCTCTAGGACATTCTTTTACTTTAGGACATTCTTTTCAGGATTAACTAACATCACTATCAAAGTCCACTCAATTTATCGGCAAAACCTTACTTCGTTCGAGACCATTCGTACGATATTCTCCACTAATTAACGATGTTCTCCATTAATTAATAACACGTTCTTTTGGCCGGGTTTTAGCATATCATGCTGTACTGTGCATCTTATATTTTCTTTAGTACTCATTCCTTAATCTCTTAGTCTGTCTCTTAGAGCTCTGCTGTCAGACCATCTGACACTAATAGATTGATCTCTGACTAACAGGCATGAGTTATGCACAAGTGCTTTACGTCTATGCCACAACTATTAACGATCAAGAGAGGCATATAACTAGGTTATAGAGTCACTATGCTTCAGGATTACAAAGTTTATTGAATCTTCTTGCATGGACACAAGTTCAAACAATGGCACATTTACACTTTCTGCATACATGTATTTTCTAGACCCCATAATCTCCTGAACCAATTAGTCTCTTGTGTCTAGTATTCTTTTCTAGTAAATTCATGTAAGTTTTATGAATATATGGGCCATTGGTGCTCATATAATCTTCTTAATAGCTTGACAGAGACTAAAGGAACAAAAGTGAATCAGCCATTGAAGAGGAAAATCAAATTCGTTCTCTTCTGAGCAAGCTCACTGAATCAATATTGAAGTCAGCAGGATATCCAAACTTGGATGAAATATCGCTTTAAGCAACATCTCAATTCTTTCGTTGTGAAAAATAGTGGACAATAGAGAGTAGGAAAACCTAAACCTAGATCTGCTAAACATAGCCAAATCACCTTGTTGAAATTAATGATTGGAGCTGTTGGTACTGAATGAAACTATTGTAACTGTTTAAGTCTATAATTAGCCCACCTTTCTATATGGTGAATTTACTGTAAAGACTGATTGCATCAAGTAGTCTGTGGAAAAGGTAACTCATTTCTACCAGTTTTTCTCGCTTACATTGTTTTGCACAATTTTCCCTCTGGTAAGTGCCTTTATTCTCTCGATTGGTCGATTCAATCGTTAAGTCAAGCCCAAGAAAAAGTGCTTCTTAAGAATCTAAATTTTTTCCTATAGTCGTCACTTTTTCGTCACAGAATTTCTTGTCTATTGTGCCAATTTCCTACTCCTACACTTCTTGCCTGCATCACATCTCATCTCATTTTCTCTCCACCTTTTCCATGGCCAAGGCACCAAAAAAAAAATTCTCCGCCAGCCCTGCAGGCCCAACTGTGGCTGCCGACAAACACATGAACTCTGTGTTCAAGTTCAACACCAACCTCGGCCAGCACATTCTTAAAAACCCGCTTGTCGCACAAGGCATTGTGGACAAGGCGCAAATCAAACCCAGCGACATTGTGTTGGAGGTTGGTCCCGGAACAGGAAACTTGACCGTCCGCATCTTGGAGCAGGCCCGCAAAGTGGTGGCAGTGGAGATGGACCCGAGAATGGCGGCGGAGTTGACCAAAAGAGTCCATGGAACTCCGCAGCAGAAGAAGTTGGAAATCCTCTTGGGCGACTTCATGAAGACGGACTTGCCGTACTTCGACGTGTGCATCTCCAACACGCCGTACCAGATCTCGTCGCCGTTGGTGTTCAAGCTTTTGAACCAGCCCAAACCGCCCCGCGTGTCCATTCTCATGTTCCAGCGAGAATTTGCTTTGCGGCTTTTGGCCCGCCCGGGCGACGGCTTGTACTGTCGCTTGTCGGCCAACGTGCAGATGTGGGCCAACGTCACCCACATCATGAAGGTGGGCAAGAACAACTTCCGTCCGCCTCCACAGGTGGAGTCTTCTGTCGTGAGAATCGAGGTGAAACAGCCCAGACCCAACATCGACTTCAACGAGTGGGACGGCTTGCTCCGCATCTGCTTTGTCCGGAAAAACAAAACCATTGCTGCCGGCTTCAAGTCCAACAACGTGCTTGAGATTTTGGAGAAGAACTACAAGACGTTTTTGGCCACGCAGAACGACGACGCCATGAATGTCGATTCCCAGGCGGACATGACGGAAACAGTCAAGCAGAAAATCGACACCGTGTTGAAGGAGACGGGCTACGCCGACCACAGATCGGCCCAAAATGGACCAGACAGACTTCTTGAAGCTTTTGTATGCCTTCCACCAGGTGGGGATCCACTTTGCCTAGCCTAGATGTTACTGGGTCACGATACTCTGTAGGGTTATATTGTATACTAATGGAAGCACAGTGTGGAGGTATCGTGTAGGAAAAGCAGTTATGTTGTGTGGAATTTCCAGATGATGAAACATGATATGGGGAACAAGTTATGCGGATTAAATATCTTAGCTGAGGAGTCGGCTATTCGAGATGGCTATTATTCGAGTTATCAAGCTAGGAGTTATTCGATTGCTATTGATTGCATATGCGTGTTCACTTGATCGTCGACATTCGAGCTGTTCGATTGTAGTTTTTTATTTAATGTACCGAGTTATTCGATCAGCATTCATTTTATTTAGTGCGTCTGAAAGTCGATTTACTCGATTTAGCCATCTGTTGTTCGAGTTGGTTTGGCGATCTTCGCTTTTATTTGATTTTCTTATTAGCCAGCTTTATTCGTTTGATCGATCTGCTCGATTTTGGATTCCAATGATCTGCCCCATTTATTCGATTTTTTCATTAAATCCATCTGCTCCCACTTTTATCGATTCCGTTCTTGGTTCACTTATGTTAGTCATCTTTTATTCGAATTTCTTCTCTTGGGTCAATCACCCATTATATTCGTTTCATATTGTTCACCTCCAATTCGGTCCTCGATTCATCTGTATGCCAATTTGTTCTAACGCAATCGTTTGTTCAGTTACATAATCTTCATTCATCTATTATTCTCAATCAAATTACATACTCAGATTACACATTAATTCTGTCTCTTCTAGTCAGTCAAATCAATCGTCTATGTCGTCTGGAATCCAACCTCTATATCATGGTGGGTGAGCACCATACTTGCGCTTAACAACACAAGATCTTCGTGGCTAACAGCACCATTGGATTCGAAATCGCAGACAGGAGAAAGAATGGAAAATGTCGAGTGTTTCCGCTCCTTTTTAAGCCGTACGAAGCAGTCGTTCACCAATGTTCCACATTTGTATCCGGTGGTGACTTCTTTGGAACCAGCCTTGAATATTTTCTTCACCGAATGTCCGACGAGATTGTTATCTTTCTTCACTTTCTTGTCTGGAGTCAAATCATCGACAAGACTTTCCGACTCCGGCGGAAGTAGGTACAAATCACTTCTGACATGGCTTTTGGACTCGTACCTACCACGAACGAAACGGTATTTTTTTTCTCCGACGCTAATGTCTGCAAATGAACGTGTGTTGTGCAAGATCACAATCACTTCAGACGAATCGAACTTGAGTGTGAATCTGGTATAGTTTCCAAACGTCCGCATGGAAACATCAGCAAAAAGCGTCTTATCCACATCGTCGTAAAGTCTGTCTCTCGATTCCGGCGAGGGAATTCCTCTATAGATCTTCATGTATTTGGTATCGCCAAGTCCAAGTCCATAAACTCGTTTCAGTACTAGAAGAGGCAATCCTTTCGCCTGATTTTGTACTTCTTTGGCATTTAAGAAGTCTTGTTGTTGTTTTTTCGGAGACAAGGCTTTGAATTCCTTATACATGTCAAAACCAGCCTGTGACGCAAATGCCCTCAAAGTTGAAGACATGGATTTGGTAATGACAAATTCACGCATGCATAACTGTGGGCCATCATTCTTCGGGAACTGTGGGCCATTCTCTTGGCCAGTCTTAAGGCCATCGTTTTCCGTAGTTTTCTTCACATCTATGGTATCTTTCATGTAGATGACATTTGGTGGCGATAAAATAGATAAGTAGTATGAAGTACAGATTGTGTCAAACTGCAGGCTAGGAAAACAATCCGGGGTCGTTATGAAGGCAGAGGATTTTTGGACCAAAGATGTATAAGACTTATGAATACAGAGACAGATTATTACACAGAAACGGAAGCCGGGGTGTGAAAATGAAGAGAATAGAAAAGTACATGGAGGTAAATGTGCCATAAACTCCAGGGTCCGTATCAGTTCATTCATACAGGTCATGGACTTGACCACCTTTAATTCATCATGCTAATTTGCCTGTTCAATCATGGTAATTAGCATAAAAGCGTGCAGAAGTACCCAAGAGCTTTATATTTGACATTGTTTCGTGGATGAGTACTGGATTTAGAACTGACACTTAAATACTAATCGTTGTTTGTTTAATTTCGATTTTTAGTGTCGTATTTGGCGGAATGATCTTCAATTCTTTGATATCTGTGAACCTTGCAGAGATGCGTTATCCTATGATGATAGTATGTTATTGTGATCAAGATATGACTAGAACGTTATCGTGATACCAGTAGACCACAGTCTGGTCCACTGCTCATTCATCTACATTCTTCTATCAGTGCCTTGAAGCGTCAGCCTCATCAATTCTATACTCTATCTTCTCTTTGTTGTCTTTGAAGTATCCTTCTCCACCACTTCGCCCACTCCTCCCGACTCTTCAAGCTCTTCCTCTGTGACCCGCAAAACGTCTCTTCTCTCCCAGAACCTGTCCTCACACAAATCGAACGCCGCCTTCTTCAAGTATTTTCCACGGGCGTCTCTGTTGCTCGAAATGGACCACTCCAAGAACTGCGGGCCTGTCCGGATGTAGAACGAACGCAATGTCTCGAATGGTTTTGGATGTGGAAGCCAAGGTCTTGGGTCCGGCACCTCGTCTTCCTCCTCTTCTTCCTCTTCTTCTTCCTCTTCCTCTTCTGCTTCCTCTTCTGGCTCAACCTCTTCTTCCTCGTCCGAATCGTCTTCATCTTCATCATCTTCCTCATCTTCGTCCGAGTCCACAATCTCCTCGTCCAACACAGACAAATCTTCCCACAAAACCTTGACGCCGTCCACCTTGTTCAAGTCGATTGCATACATGGAGTCCAACGTGAACTCGTGCTCGCCCCGCTCGAAAATGCCGCCGAATATGTAGAGTGTATCGTCCACCACACAAGTTGTGGCATTGAACCGAGGATGCGGCAACTGGTTGACCACGGGGAAGTCGGCCTTGTTTTCTTCCTGTTCTTCCTTCTCTTCGAGCTGGCGCAACCGCTCGATCTGGCTCACTTCGTCGGCCTCTTCCGTGTCGTCGTTCAACTTCGCCTTGGCCAAAATCGAGTTCAAAATGTCCTCCAAGTCTTCGTCTCGCGTTTTCTCCTTCACTGTCTCCTGCTTTCTCTTCTTGCGTGGCTTCAACGTGAGATTGTACCACCGGTTTGTTTCCGTCTGGTACGTCATGAGCGTGTTGTAGAACTGCGACTCGAGCTTCTCCTCGCTCTCGTCGTAGTCGTACACACCTCCAAAGGAAATGCCTCTGTTCTTGTGGAAAACCATCGAGCAACCGACTCGAGGCGAAGGCTGGAACCCCTGCTTCCGCCGGCGCTCGAACCGGATGCCCTTCGGGTCGGCCTTCATCTTGACCAACCACGTGTCGGTCAACACTTTGCCCTTCTGTATTCCTTTCTTCATTTTCGTTTTGGTGTATCCACCGTAGATCACAGCGCCTTCTGGATGCGGAATAAGAGAGTGGCCCGACCGGGCGTCGGGAATCGAGTGTGCCGGCGGGAACTCCGCCTGTGTCCACTTGTACGTGGAGATGTCAAAGAGCCACATGTCGCTTAAGTAAGTGGTGGAGGCACCCAAGTCCCGGAAACCGCCGTGCAACACGATGTAGTTTTTCCACACACACATGCGGTGGCCGGAACGAGCCGAGGGCCCCTTTTTCTGCTCCACCTTGTCCCACTCTTTGGTTTCCGCGTCAAGAATCCACGTATCTCCATAGTGGTAGAAGGTGGCCTGTTTGGGCGACGAAAACTCGCCGCCAAACATCAACACCACGCCTGATGGATGGGCACACATGGCATGGGACGACCGTGGCAAGGGGGCGTTTTTCGACGTGATTTTGCGCCAGGTGTTGTTTTCGATCGTGTAGGTGTACAAGTCGTTGTAGAAACGAGACTTGGAGTCTTCGGTGGCTTCTCCGCCGAAAAGAATCAACTCTCGCTTTCCCTGGAGCGGGCTGGCCACCATTGCCGGATTGAGCCGTTTCGACGGTCTTTCACACACGTCAATCAGAACCGCCATGAGCTCTTCTTGTTCTTTGGCATACTGGGCCAAGATGGCGTCGATATCCTGGTCGTCTTCGTCATCGCCGAGCTTCTTGGCCAACTTTTTCTGTTTGCCTTCGGCCTTGGAGGCGTTTTTCTTTTGTTTTTCTGCCGCACGGGCCTTCTTGGCCTCTTTGCTTTTCTTGTCTTTCTTGGCCATGGAGATGAGTGCGAAAGAAAATGAGAGAGTAGGAAAAGATGAACTACAAGTATGAAAATCAAATGCATTAATTAAAATAATTAGCATGAGAAGAATTAACAAATTGAAATAAAATTGCAATTATGGCGAAAATGGTAGTGATACATGTTGATTACTTCCAGATCAGTATTCAGTTGCACTCTGGCAGGTTATTGAGAATGGTCAAATGTGGTGAGTTTGATTTCACCTGTAAGTTGTCAAATAGAGGTTATTGAATCTTGAAGCTGATCATTAAGTTCGTTAGCTGTTTCAAGCTGCCTTCAAGCTCTTCTTGGATCTAGACGCAACTAATTCTTACTATAGAAATCGCAAGTACAAGGATTATGTCAATGTCATTTCTGATCACCCTGTTCAGTGGTTGAAAGTATATCAAAGACCTTGATATATTTTTCTAGCTCATCATGAAAAATGGTCGACATAATCAAGAATGTCTGTGGTCTGAAATGTTCCTCATACTGAAATTACAAATCTGTTGAAATGTCATGCTGAAATTACACATCTGTTACAGGTACAACATCTCGTGTCTTCTCAGAAAAATGTATATCTCTCCGACTTCCATAAAATATGAAAAAAAAAAAATGAAAAGTTGTAAAGATAGTCATTTTACTTAAGTACGGCCACACAAAAATACCAAGATCAATTTAAGTTACTGTCTTTAGGGTGAATGAGTGCCAAAATGTCTTTACTTAACCTATGTAACGTGGATGATCAGTCTTACTCTGATAAATAGGCTCTAAAGTGAACTTACTCAAGATTCCTCTCAGCTTAGCCTATCTAAGAATTTCCATCCTCTACACCTTCTGACAATCACCTTTATACTATGTAATGCCACTAATGCTCTTCCTGCGTGATCTCGGCATTGCCGTACCATGCATGGATCTAAACCGAAATCGTCTTCCAGATGTTCAAACCGTCACCACCCGTGGATACCAAGCAACCTGGGATCTGCTTGTGCCAACGCACATCCTTCACGTCGCGCTGCCAGTGCACAAACAAGAGCTGAGGTGGGATGTCGCTCAACTCCTGTGCCTCTTTCCGCTGCTGTGCAATTTCCTCGTCGTCTGCTTCCACAGCCAAGTCCCACAAGGTCACCGTGTTGTCCTCGGAAGACACAGCAATGATGGACTCGTCCAATGGGTTGAACGCAATCGACGTCACTGCCGACTTGTGGAAATCGTAGTGCGCCACTGGCGTAGGCGTGCTCTTGCCGTTGAAACTACGCAAGTCCCACACGCCCCAAGTGCCGTCGTCGTGGCCCGACGCCAACAAGTGCGAGATCTTGTTGCTCCACGAGATCACGTTGACATCAGATTTGGAAGCCTCGACAGATATGACAGGCTTGTGCTTCTTTGACCGTGTGTCCCAGATGCGAACATAGCCGTCACATCCACCTGTAGCAAACACGGTGTTTTCGCTGGTGGACCATTGTATGTCTTCAATCAGCGAGTTGGATGCGAAGAAAGGAGTCTTGTCTGTGACCCAGCTGGATGTTGTGCGTGTGGTGAGATGAACACGTCCCAGACAGTCTCCGGACAAAAGAGAGCCTGTACTAAGCAATGGAGACCAGTCCAAACCGTAACCCTCGACATTGCCGTGGACGCGGACTGTGTGTGCTGGTCTGCGGGCTGTTTTTGGAATCACGTAGCCTGGAGTGTCGAACGCCTTCATCTGTGGCGCCAAGTCAAAGATGAGCACCTCACCGTTCTCCTGCAGCGCGGCGGTGAGGTATTCGCCCGTCTCATGTGCGTGGGGCGACACACGGATTCTGTTGGTGGTGGTTCTCAAAGGGATGGACTCGGAGATCATGACCGGGTCCATGTCTTCGTCGTCCTCGTCCTCGTCATCATAGTCTTCGTCTTCGTCTTTGACAAGAGTCTTGGCCAACGAGCTCAACTTCATGGTGAGCAATTCATTGTCCTTGGCCTTGGCAGCCTGGGTGGCTGTGGCAACGTACATCGATGCTGGATAAGTTCTTCTCTCGGAGCCTAGGTTGTCGGGCAAAACGTCGAGCGTCAAGCACGGCCACGGCATGTTCACGTTGTGCAACATTTCATACACCGATGGGTCTGCCTCGAGCACTTCGTCTGGACCCAAGGGCTTGGACCGGTGGGGCAAATAGAGTGTACCGGGCTGCTCCTCTTTTTCCTCCTTCTCGAGCTCGGCAATCTTGGCCTCGGCGTCCTCCGCGTCCATTTCTGTTTCGTCATCGTCGAGCTCGATGATCTCTTCGCTCTCGTAGTCGTCGCCGTAAGGATCTTCGAATTCGCCCATGTCGTGGTCGGCGACATCCTCGGAGGCGGCATTTTCCGTGGGCACGGCGCCGCTTTCGGTCTTGGCGGCCGTTCTGGCCGACTGTGTGGCTTCGTCTTCAGCAGCTCTTTTCCCCATAGTTGGCGTGGAGATGAGATGAGAAAATTTGGCCAAGTACCCTTGTGTGTGCAGGCCGCGAAGACGGCCTGTTTTCCTGCATGGAGGACAAGATTGGTTGCAAAGAAACCATAAGCGCTAAGCAAAAACCATAAGCAAAAACATAAGCAAGACATAAGCAAAACAATAGCAAAACAATAGCAAAACAATAGCAAAAAACAAAGAAAAACAACTTCTTCATGCAAACTAAATCGATCAGTAGATCGTAAGGTGGGTAACTTTACTAGATTCGAAATCTTAGCACTTTTGCTTTGGAAGTGAGATTTCAAGAAAAAAACACGATTAATTCTTGTTTTGATAGTCATCCCAGATCCACATAAACTCACCAAACAAAGATTAATAAAGCCATATCCGCAAGATTTCCAATATTTACTCTACCTTCTTTTATATCAATGATTCTGTGGATTTGACTTCGCGATTCGTATTATAATCTTGCTTTCAGACTTTCTTGGAGTGTACATTCGCATCGCGATACACTGTCTCAGATCTATCTAATCCAGCTGGTTGGTGATACTATTCAATTACCAACAATTCTTCCAGATACGATTCGACTTTTACGTCTTTGCAGGAATTCGAAGCTTTCGTTTATTTTAAGTCGACTGACTCAACTGATTTGAGCTCGAACAATCCGTCCCTCTGCTGATTGTTTCTGCTTCACTGTCTCATACTGTCTACTACGGCTACTCACTAGTTGAGGCTCAAGTCGACTCAAGTGCTCTTATCAATCACAGGGAACTCATACACCAGATTTTTTGCGTTCTTCGTTCACTTTACCATGGAAAGGAAAGCATTTCTAGATCAGGAAGCGCCGCCAGGATATGTTGCTGGAGTCGGCCGAGGAGCCACTGGATTTGTGACCAGCGCACAGTCAGCACGGTTTGAATCTGCCTTTGGCGGCGAAAACACCGAAGTCCCCGATGATTCGGGCTTGCTTGCAGCAAACGACGATGACGAAGCTGATCGGATCTACCAGGAAATCGACAGGCGGCTTCTGCGGCCCAAGAAAGAGGAGAAAGCGACGCCGGGCGTGGAAATCGAAACGGGCACCGGAGTCATCCGCCATGAGTTCTCGACATTGAAAGCCGGCTTGGCCTCAGTTTCTGTAGACGAATGGGCCGCCCTTCCGGAGGCAGCAGATATCACCCGCAAAAACAAACGCCAGCGTCTTCTTGACCAACAGAGCCAAAGGACATATGCTGCTCCAGACACTTTGATTGCGCTGCGGGCCCAGGTGGCGGAAATCGACAAGTGGGCCGAGCAAGAAGCGGCGCCCGAAGACGTCGAGCGGCGGCGCGCGGTGCTTTCTTCGCTCAGGCGCACCGAGCCGCACCGCGCCAGCCTGTGGATAGCGTCGGCCAAACTTGAAGAAACGGTGCTCAATTTCGGGCGCGCAAAGGCGCTCATTGCAGAGGGATGTCGGCGCGCGCCCCACAACGAGACGGTTTGGCTCGAAAGCGTGAGACTACATCGCAGCGAGCCAACAAAGGTGTGCAAGAACATAATCGCCGAAGCGTTGCGTGCCAACACATATTCGGAAAAGTTGTGGATGCAGGCGATGGACCTAGAAAACCCCCACGATGTGGTTTCTCGCAAAAAAATCGCCATGAAGGCGCTCGAGTATTTGCCAGAAAACTCAAAGCTTTGGCAGACGCTTGTGGACTTGGAAGACACCAAAGAGGACAAGATCCGCCTTCTCTCAAAAGCCACAGACCTCTGCTCTGATTGGAGTTTCTGGCTGGCCCTTGTCGCATTGTCAGATTACGGGGACGCACGGGCTGTTTTGAACCGAGCCAGGAAAAAGCTCACAAATGAGCCGAGAGTATGGGTTGCTGCTTTACAGTTGGAGGAGAGAGAAAAGGCAGATGTCACGGTCAAACGTCTCAGTCTGATGTTGGCCAAAGGAATGAAGGAAGTGGGTGAAGATACTTGGGATGTTCGCAAATGGCTTGACGAGGCCTCTCAGGCAGAAAAGGACGGCTTTTTCAAATCCTGTGCAGCGATAGTCGAAAACACCATGTCCCTTTTGTCTGAAGAGACGCGTCTCAACCAGATGATCCAATGGGCGGAAACTTATGCGTCTTCCCCAAAAACGGCAAGTTCTATTTACGAAAGCATCACGAAGTTTTATCCACATAATATTTCGAGCTGGACAGCATTGTTTGCGTCGCTAAAGAAAGAGGCAGAGATTTCTCGGAATCTGACTCAGCTCGAATTGTCGGCCGCAGCTGACAGGCGTGAAAACAAACAAACATCGTCCCAAACCCCGAAGGACTTGCAGCAGTTGTACAGTTACTACGAGAATGCGATTTCTCTAAACCCAGAGTTGGCCTTGTTCCGCTTGATGTACGCCAAAGACAAGTGGATTCTTGGTGAAGATGTGGCTGGCGCAAGAAACATTCTTGAGCTGGCTTCACAACAACTTCCAACTAACGAAAAAATCTGGTTGGCTCGTGTGAAGCTCGAAGTCAGAAACTACGAATATGAGCAAGCATTCCGCCTTTCAAATGAGGCGCTCGATGCTATTAACACAGAGCCGAGGTTATGGTACAAGCACATCCACTTGCTTCGGTTTTGTGTCTACAAGCAAATGGATTTTGTATCTCAAGAAGATCTTTTGCAAAAAAGTTCAACTGCTCTAGATTTGTTTCCTGATAATTACAAGCTCTATCTCCAAAGATCGCAGATTCTTCTTGACATCGAAGATGTGAAAGGTGCTCGCGATATTCTCACGGTGGGGGCAAGAAAATGTACCCAAACAGCAGAAATACATGTGGCAACAGCAGAGCTAGATCTTGGACAGGGTTTTCCAGCACGGGCACGGGCAAATCTCGATTCTGCACTTTTGGAAAACCCAAAAAGTGAAAAACTCTGGGAATGCAAAATCCGCTTGGAACAAACTGAAAACGACATGATCACCGCTCGTCAGCTAGTCAGTAAAGCGTTGAAGGAACTTCCGTCCTCACCGGTGATTTGGCTACAGAATTTGTCGATGATCCAGAAACTGTCACATCGGAAAAATGCTTTTCTAGATGCATTGAAACACACAAACAATGCCACTGAAGTTCTTTTGGGTATAGGAGTGTTTTTCTGGTTAGAGGGCAAATTTTCCAAGGCAAAAGCGTGGTTTGACCGTGCCTTGACCGCAGACCGCAAGAACGGCGATGCTTGGGGATGGAATTACTGCTTCTTCACAAAAATGGGGCCTCCGCAAGAAAAGGACCGCCTATTGGCAGAAGTAAAAGATGATTTTGATGATATTAATAAGGGAAAGGCCTGGATTTCTGTCACCAAAGATAAAGCAAATTTAAACATTCTGCCCGGCGAGTGCTTGAAACTCGTGGCTGAAAAGCTTTTGCTGACCACGGCATAATACACATGGCATTTAAAAGATTAAAAATAGAAGGACGAGGAAAAAAGAGAACAAAACTAGAGCAATAGACAATTGTCAAAGGTTTTTCATGAGGTATACAAATTGCGCATGAAGAGTACAGATGCGTTGTTTGTGATTCTCGAATGGACACATAAAACATGATACAATGGAATATTAATAGAGACAGGTGTATCACATTACGGATATATACACTGTAAAAATTTCACATACATATACCCTCATAATATACCGACGTCAATCCTTCAATATTTTATAAAGTTGAGATTGACATACACACAGCCAGACTGTGTCCCATTATCACATAAACACAAACTTCCTTCCATGCAAACGCAAACTCAAAATAGCTTTGAGCCATACAGATAAGGAGAAGATCCTTAAAACATAGGCGGGCAGATGATGGCAATTCTTGTTTAGTGAACTGTTTGCATTCTATTCATCTCGAGGTTTATAGTCTTCAAAGATTTTCAAATTCAACGCACTCAAGAAACATGGAATTTGATGTTTATCGTTCACCCATTGGCTTACCAACTCTTCACACATTGTCTTGAACTCGTAGTTTCCATTGGCTTTAAGAGACTTGCTCTGCACATCCAATATGAGATATGGCGGACTATGCTCCTTATCCTTTTGAATCATGTACTTCGATACCAACTTGATTTTCGAGCAGAAATCGTTCAGATTGATTGGGCTTGGGATGAATTCAATTACATAGCCAAAAAACCTCGAGATGATGGCAAGAATCTCCTTGCTTTTCTCTGTGTAAACGTTTTTCAACCGATTAAGTTTTTTCGACAACTGGTCTATTTTCGCCTGCAAAATATCCTTGTCGTTTTCTTGCCGTGCAAAAACAGACTTTGGCACGTAGTCAACATTGCCATTCTTCACATACTGCGTGATCAAAGCTTCGTTTTCCTTCCTTAGGAGATCCAACGTTTCTTGTTTGACATACTGGTCTTTTGCAAATGGATTGAGTCTGAGCTCGAGAATGTTTCCCTTAGAGCTCGGATTTCTTTCTTTGAGCGCGAGTCTTTTTCGAAGACTTTCAATTTCGTCTTTGAGTCCCTTGATTGTGGCAGCCAATTCAAGATTTTCGTTTCTCAAGTCCCGGAAAGTTTGTAGGTCAGCGGTGTTTTCTGCTAATCTGGGTCGTTTTGAAGGCATGGTGATTTGTTTAGTGTTTTCCTTCTTTGTGAGTTCATCGATCTGGTTTTTGTAATCATCCACAAGTTTCTCCAAATTCGTAAGGTACTGATTCGTTGCTTTCCTTTGCGCTTCCTGTTCTTGCAAAGAGTCAGGGTTTGCTTCCGCCACACTTTTCCTCGTGGCTACGGTGTCCATGTCTTTGAGAGAATTGCGCAAAAACTCAATCTCTTTGCCGTTGAGAATCTTGATCTTTTTAAGCTCGGCAATCTCTGTCTCAGCGGCAGTGTTTGCAGCTTTGAGCTGCTCGAGCTGTGGCTGGAGCTCTTGCTCTATTTGTGAGGTGAGAGCATGGTTTAGTTGTTCCAATTCTGTAACTTTGCTTTGAGTCTCGTTTAGTTTGTCAAATAGAACCAAATTTCGATTCTGCAACTGTTTGAAATTCAGAATGAAACTAACAACGGTGCTTTCCTCGTCGGTATCCTGTTTCTCCACGCTCGAAGCGATGGCACCGAAGTACTCATCGAATTTTGCCTGGAGTTTGACATTGTCGACTTCAAGCAGAGCCGCTTTCTCTTCAAAAGCCTCCAAGACCTGGATCCTGGCCGCCATCGATGCGTTTTTCTGCTTCAAGAGCTCGACGCTCGTTTTGGCCTGGAGCAAAGAGTCCACTTTCGACTGAAGCAGATTGTTTGTGTTCTGCAAGGCCAGAAGTTTCAACTGCAACTCTTCCACCTGGCTGGCAGCTCTGTTGTTTTCGATCTGCGCCGAAAGCAGTTTCATCCGCTCCAAGAGGTCCTTGTTCAAGTCGGCCATCTGTTTGTTTTCCTGTTCTAGATCGCCGATTCTCTCTCTGTACTGGTCATTTGCGCTTAGTTCACGGTTCAAGTCTGCCCGGACGTGCTCTAGTTTGCCTGAAACGCTGGTGTATTGTCGCTCGTACTTGTCTAGCTTCTTGCGCAAAGCGTCGTTTTCTTCTCGAAGCCTTTTGGTGTCTTTGGTCAAGTCCGAGGTGTTCCGTCCGGCCACATCCTTCTGGTTTTCTAGTTTCGACTTCAATTCGTTGCGCTGGTTGTAGACGTAGTCAAAGTTGCTCTGGAGCCGAGCCAACTCGTCGTTTTTCTTCGCCAAAAGCTCTTCGTACCGCCCGATCGACGAATCTTTGTTCTGCTGGAGAAGCCTCTTTTCTGTTTTCAATGTGGAAACCTCATACTCCAAACGCGCCAACTTTTCTCGGAAAACGGGCGTTCCGGGGCTTTCGAGAAACGGTGACAGGCTTCCGTCTATCATGGTTGTTTATCAAAGTAGATGTTGGAAGGCTATATATGGTGTGTGCAGGTGGAAGTAGGTGACAAAGAAGTAAACGAAAAGAAAACAGAAAGAAAAGAAAAAGAGGATAAAGGAAAGAAGATATGGAAATAAGATGACTGCTACGTTAATGGCAGATGTTAGAAAGTTGCTGAATCTCTGGTCCAAGTGGATATTTTTTCTCTAATAGTAGATTGCGAACGGTATTCCATTCAGAAGCTCGATGAATCTGGAGACAATTTCGTTTTCGTTTGTTTTACTGCTTTTCATCAGTTTAACTGGAGTGCCATCAAGAAATATGGAATATCCAGTGGCTGAACGGAACTGAAGCGCTTTGAAAAGGTATCAAGCTTCGCAGTGATGGACAATAATTGATTCAGTTTTTCATTTCCTCTATGCTTTCTACAAATTGAGTCAGGAAACAAACAGATAGGTTACTAAAACTTGAGTTTAACTACATAGATTTTTCTTGACCCTAATACATAGGTATAGCAAAAAACAAGTAGATTGTAATATTCCTCAACTAATCAAATTAAAGATTTTCTAAATAAACATCTCCTTCAAATGCTTTAAAGAGTACCCAATGCTGCTCTGTGTCAACGGGTTTGTTATTGCCAGTGTAATTTTATTCGAAGATTATAATCGCTCTCTAAGACTTTGATTTCTCGTAATGTAAAGTTCATTCCACCAGTTACTCAATTGCAAAGAAAAAGCTAGAAAGCTGTACGTTTTTTTGTCTCTTTGTCTTAAGCTTCGCTCATCTAGTGTGAAGATAAGGATTTTGTATCTTCACTCTGATTGCTTTGATAATATACGATCGTGAACACGATTCCACAATTCAGGCCGTTCAGTCAGTTGATTTTCTGTGCCCATTCTTCCATACTTGGAAATCATGAGATAATTGAAAAACTTGAAGGCTAGAATGCTCCATCCTCATAGTTTCTGCTGTAGCCAAAGGTTCCTGCTTATCTAGTTAACAAATTGACTTGTTATCGTTGACCGGAAACTAAAAGTTGATTCTTTACTGAATTCGTTCCCGTGTAGTTTTATCCAGATGTTATTCTCATACTCCTTCGTTTGACAGATATTTGGTCCATTCTGCCTGTACTAACCAATACTCTTGAGTTTCTCGATTCTACGACATGAATCTCTTCCTTGCATATTCCGATTAAGCGTTCACAGCAACTCATTCAAGCCCAAACCCTGTCAACTTCCAATTCATTCAGCTGTTTCTTCAATCAATGCATAATTCTCGTATTCAATCAATTCTCTCCAATTCTCACTTCCGTCACTATTCTCACTAACCGTAAATCTAGTATCAGTCTGCGAAGTCTAATCTGCCACCCACTTTAGACCACTTTAGACCACGGTGGCCTGGAACGAAGCCAATGTATTTCCCAACGACCCAACTCTACTAAAACGGCATTGCCCACGCCAATAATAAATTTTCTCCTGGGCTTCCTACTAAGACCCTTGCCCCCCACACCCGTGCACCACGCTTATATACTCAGGTGACAGATCCCACACTTGATCCGCAACATGTCTAAAATGTACGTATATCCGCCACCCGAGACCTAGAATCTGCTAACACGCCAGCCCGCGGAACTTCAAGTTGCTCGAGGAGTTGGAAAAGGGCGAAAAAGGCTTGGGCGCCCAGTCCATCTCCTACGGCTTGACCAACCAAGACGACATCACCATGACGTACTGGAACGGCACCATTTTGGGCCCGCCCCACTCTGTCCACGAAAACAGAATCTACAGCTTGAACATTGTGTGCGACGAGCACTATCCGGACAAGCCGCCACGCGTGACTTTTGTGTCGAAGATCAATCTTCCGTGTGTCGACGGCGACGGCACGGTTTTGCCCGAGCAGTTCGACACCTTGAAGCACTGGAAGCGCTCGTACACGATGGAAACGGTGCTTTTGGAGTTGCGCAAGTGCATGGCTTCGGCGGCCAACAAGAAGTTGCCCCAGCCGCCCGAGGGCTCTGTGTATTAGGCAGATCGAGCTGTGTACGAATAGTACAGCCTGAGCAATGGTGAGGTGTAGCCGTAGAAGCGAAAGAAACTGAACGAGATGAAGATGAAGATGGCAGAGAATCAGTACCTAATAATCTGAATTGTCCTTCTTCTAACATGTCATCAGGTATAATATATGATTCATATTCAATAGTTGCACCTATTTCTGATACAAAATCTGAGTATTCATATTTTCAATATCATTGTAAACCTACAACTTTGATAGTCATAAATAAACTCGAAACCAAATAGAACATTGAGGGAATTGGACCCTAACATAACTAATTTGCAATCAGCATATTCAACCATGAATAACATCCCTTGCAACCGTACCAGTCAGGCGGAGTACTATTCATTTTCACTTTTATAATTATTGTACTCATAGTTTACTGCTCGAAATTCAGATATGCAATAGGAACTACCAATATCACACTTCAGAAGATGAGAGTAGCAGCAATGGAGAACTAAGAGTATTCTCGAACCACTGGCCTGAAGGAGCAAGGTATGGAGAAAATAGAAGAACGCTCCATTATGGCCGCTGGAAAAGAAGAGACTGAGATTCGATACGATACAGAGAAAAGATGAAGAACCAATGACTGAAGAAATAGAATCGATAAATGGATAAATGGATAAATGGAATCATGAAGGAATCATAAAGGAATCATAAAGGAATCATAAAGGAATCATAAAGGAATCATAAAGGAATCATAAAGGAATCATAAAGAATCATAAAGAATCATAAAGGAATCATAAATGGGCAGTAAAGTGGCAGTATGACAATATGACTGGACAGAGAAATCCAGAATGCTCTGTCACTACTGACTCACAAACTACTACTGGTACCCGACGGAAATGAGAACGTCAGCATACTGAGTACTCTAATGTCAGAATGCTGCTACATTAACCACCGCTGCTAGTGTAATAGGTACAAGAATAAATGCTTGATTATGTTTCTCTGTTGACTGAAACAGGAGGAAGTCCCATGTAGTCTCATCTGGGACGTCTAGTCAAAACCAATCGAGCATGGCAGGTCGCTGTCAAACCTCATCGGTAACTGGCATTCATTGGCTGGTCTGTCGGATACTTTGATTCCATTCATCAACGTGAAAGACTATCATCAAAGACTATTCAGTCAGTTCAGTCAACAGACTGTTCAATCAACCTCACTCGACTGTTCAATCAACTGTTCAATCGACAGTAATCACTATTCAATCAACTGTTCAGCTGTTCAACTGTTCAACTGTTCAACTGTTCAACTGTTCAACTGTTCAACTGTTCAACTGCTCAACTGTTCAACTGCTCAACTGTTCAACTGTTCAACTGTTCAACTGTTCAACTGTTCAACTGTTCAACTGTTCAATCACCATTCAATCTACTGCTCAGTCAACTGTTCAATCAAGTGTCAACATAGACACTGCCGTACCATCCACCCAGCCCATTCTAGTCCTGCTTGCGCATCGTCGCATCCATCCATCGGACCAAGTCCTGCTCTGCCTCAAGAAAACGCTTGACTTCTTCGCCGTACTTGGCCCGCACAGGCTCATTGGTCTCGGCATCTGTGATCTCAATGTTGACCCACCGCAGCGCCGTTTCCTTTTTTCCGTTCACCTTTTTCGCATACGGAACTAGACACCGCTGGAAAAGCCGCTTGAAGGGAATGCAAATGGTCTCTTGGACTGTGGAGGAGTCCGGCGAAACACGGAACGTACACTCGTTTTGGGAAATCGACTTGAGCGAGCAGTTGTATTTGGCCGGATCACTTAGCTGTTTTTCGTATCGCCGCAGCACTTCTGCCCGGGAGAGAACGGGAGTAGGCGGACTCATGATGTTACTTCAGATTCGCACCGTTGCAGAAAGGAACAAGAAATGAAGAAGTATGAAGAAATGAATGAAGAATGAAGAATGAAGAATGAAGAATGGATGAAATGAAAGAAGTGAAAGAATCATAAACAGTAGAAGACCAAAAATTATCTCCACGAAAGAATAGAAAAAAAAATGAGGCAGAGAGCTTGTACTTGTATTGTAGATTCTAGTGCGGCAGTGTAATAGACCATACCTATTATGGCATTGATCGTGAAATCTTGAGCCGTCAGCTATGAAAATGAACAGGTCGTCTTTTCATCGAGTATCATTGATCTCAGTCGGAAGTAGAACAAGGATTCCTTTCTTATTTCTGTAGTTCCATACTTACCAAGATTGTAATGATGCCTACAGTTACTTTCTCTTTTCTGCTTGGGTATGGATCGAAGTGAATCAGCTTCAGATGTTAAGGAGACTGTAATCTTTTGGAAAGCAAGCAGACCTCCCATTCAGTAACCAACTTCCAAAAACACGATTTAATCATGTCTTTTAAATTGAACAACAATGTTCCGCAGGTCATCTGTACTGTTTGGCATGTCAAAATAGCTTGGTCTACTCAATTCTCTAAAGAACTTCGAGGTATGATAACTTCACAATCCACACATTCTTCAAATTGATTAGCTTTCAGCTAGCTGAACCAGAATGAATCAAGGTTATCTATAAAAAGTTTTGCTTCCAGCCAGTCTGATGCTGCTAAGCATACTTTATTCTGTCATCTTGAGGTTCGTTCAAATCGGTTTAGCTTCAGGCTTGGATACTCACTAGCTCTTACAGATCCCAAGGTCCAAACTGACGGTATAGGTGTATTAATAATCGTTACTTCCCATCCGAAATCTAATGTCACTGCTATCCAATGTTGACGATCGGTGATTGCCCATTAAATTCATTCTTCGAACACCACTCAATCTCAACGTGTCTCCATTATAAAATCAGCACTTGACATCAATGCCCCGGCGCTTTTCTGCCTCGCGGAGTTCGAACATCACCTGAACGCCAACAAACAAAGTGGCCGAGGCAACAAGAAAGAAGCTGGCGCCCAGGACAGTGCCAAACAACTCGTGAAGGAGCGCCACGGTGCCGTCGTGGCCCAAACAAAAGCCAAACAAGTTGGCAATCATCATCATCCAGATATTACACACGGCACCGACCCCACACACAAATCTGTACCAGGGTTTTTCGGCAAAACGACCAAAGTAGAGCGACGCAAAGATCTCGGGAAGAAGGAAAAGCACAATGAGCCAGCCCCACATCAAAAGCTTCAACTCGATGTCGTGCCACACGGCGACAAAACTGAACACCATTAGCGTATTCACAATACGCAGAAAGCCTGTCAGACGAGACCCGCCCATAGGGACATAGATATACCGCACCACCCAGCGGTTAAAGGAGCGGTGCCACGCCCGCCAAAACGCAAGCGCCAGGTAGTTGTTGTCCATGCAGCGGATCATGTTTTCCGGCGGATCGATGCCGTCCAACAAGCTCCAGAAACGGAAGAGGCGCCACGGAATGAGGAGCTTGAGCCAGATGATGTTGAGGTTGAACAAACCAATCATCGAGAGCTGGAACGGCGTGTCGCCCTGCCACGCCTTGGTCTTGGAGACTGCCACCACGTACATGAAATGCAAAAGAAACTCCATCACCAAGATGCAAAAGAGGAGCCGCAAGCCATAAACGGCGGTGCGCAGAAGATTGCGCGTAGACTGGAGCGGGAAGTAGTTGGACTGGTACATGTAGTCGTTGAAGGTGATGATGGGCCCGCCGATAAACAACGGCGCATAAGTCAAGTAGGCGCAATAGTTGGCAAAAGAGTAGTCTTGCAACGGAAGCAGCGGCGTGAGGCGGCCGCGGTCGTCCAAGTCGGGCAGCACTGCCCGCTCTTTCAGCTCGTCGCGCCGTTCCAAGTAGTCCAACGCGAACGAGAGCATGCGGAGCAACGTGAAGTTGTAGAAGACGTCCCAGCGGGGTATGAGGCCCGTGAACAGGAGCGGGAGCGGCCAGTGGCGGGCCCAGTCGTTGAAGAAGAGCGTCAGCACGCCGTACGTCCACAAACACGTCTTGGCCACCCTTGTGTTGGCCACACGCGTCGCCAAAACGTACATCACCACCACATGGACTAGAATCCGCACCACGTTGAAGCCATGGAGCCCGAAAACGTAGAGGGCGCCGAAAAAGGCGTCGAAAAGCGTCCGGCGGTGCTGGAACGCCGTGGCTAGGCCCCGCCGGAGCGCCACGTGCGCCGCCACCAACGCACACAAGACCCAGAAGTTGTTTCTGAAAAACAGGTACTGTTGGTCCGAGTTGTCCACCTGGCGGCCAAACATCCAGCCGGGCGACAAGAGATGCTGGAACTTGGGGAAGTTGGCGTTTGTCTCGTTCAGCGCATCCATCGCCGTCTTGTACATGAGCGGAACCACAAGGCCCACCACCAAAAGGTAAAACTTGAACTCAAGCGTGTTCCACCGAGAAGCATGGGAACGGGCCACAATTTGTTTGCGGCGATTTTGGTCGGGCGGCGGAAAGAGCCGCGTGTCGAGGGTCTCGAGCGAGAAAAACCGGAGCACGGCGGCAAGGGCTTCCATATGATAAAGAAGAGTGGTGTGGTTGTGTGCCGGAAAAAAGTGGAGTTGGTGATGTGTAGGAGAAGTGAGAAAGAGAATTGAGAATGGAGAGTGGAGAATCGGAAAATGGAGAGAAGTCGGAAAATGGAGAGAAGTCGGGAAATGGAGACAAATCGGGAAATGGAGAGAAATGGAGATTGAAAAGTGAAAACTTGGAAAAGAAAAGCCAATGGGTAAATCATTGAGAAGTTGTTCGGGTGGAACCATTGGTATGTACAACACCATTGTGCAGTCTGATAGCAAGAAGGCTGTTACATGATGTTCTAACACATATATTACCTGTTAACTTTTCGACTTTGTCATGAAAGCCTTACATTCGGGTTTTGCAAGATTCTTCATTTGCTTTTCATGGTCTCTATAGTCTATGTGGTTGATAAACTTCAATCAGGTTTGAGAGGTTTGAGAGTGAGAGGCTTTATATAAAGTAGAATTAAATCTAACGATGTCTAGACATTCATGAATCCAACAAACATACAGAAAGAGATTTAGCAAGGAATATTCACCAAAAGAGATATTTCGTCATTTCTTTCGTATATCGATACTAACTCTTGGAGTTCTTCTAAGGTTTTTGTGTGTACTGAACTAAACCACATCCATGGTCTTAGTTCTAAACTCCGATAGGTGAGGAAACAGACTTGCATGACTAAAAAAATGCATCGCAGAAAAATACAAAAAACGGGTCCACCATCTCTTCAACCACGTGAATACGCTTATCGAGTCTCATCACATTTTCTTGCTTTAAAATGCCGACAAATACATTAATGTATGAATCAGTCTATTAATTGTCTATTAATCGTTCGTTGGGCACTTTTCATTGTATGAAAACAGTATAGCAAAACCACCAGCATTTCGCCAAGTGTAAGTGTACACATTAACTTCGCAATAACTGATGAGACGTGAGTGACAAAGATCAGTCGATTTCGAAACATCATTAGAAACGAAGATTTGTACAAAAGTAATTATGCTTTCATATTTTGAACCATCCGCTAATATCAACGATGTGACTTCATAGTCGACATTAGGTAGGACCTTAGAACTACTGATGAAAAAATAAAAAAGTTTCAGAGATATGAGAAGAAATGTTTAACAAAGCCTACACATTTAATCTTGCCGAAAATGAAGCTAATTTGGAGAGTGGCAGTATGTTTACTTAGATTTAACATGGCCGGTTATGTATACAGATAGACGTGCATATGAAAATTTTTACTTTCGTATATGGCGTCTTCAATCTTCTCTTGCATAATACACCCATTGAATAGATGTTTGTACGAAATTTTTATGAATAAGCGGTTATTTCTCCTCCAACCGCCTAATCTAATAATATCCTTACTTGCTTTCGAAATTGACACAATCATCCATTCCTTGGCGCACACATTTACGAGACGCATCTCTCAAAAAACCATCCATGCGTGCATGATTCATTTGCCTGCCAGACAAAGATAAAATGCTCGAGTATCCATAATCTTTCGTCTCTTTTCTTTATTTGTGTTCATGCACTGGGCGATCCTTCTTTTTATTGCCGCTGCCGCCGCTCAATCGGCTTTTGCGCCTTTGAACAAGACGGCCGATGTTGTGAACCAAACCCAAGGTGTTTCCATTGCTTCTCAGTCCGTAGAAGCACATTTTGTCCTCGGAACCCTGATGTTAGTCATTCCTCCTGTGATAAAGGGCATTGATGGGCAAAATGTCACGAGACCATATTTCAATGAATCGGACCTCTACTACTTCTATTCTACAACAGACCATCCGATTTTTGGCAAAGACAAAGTTGTGGTGAACGGATTTGAGCTTCACAATTTCACTTTCAAAGATCACGACGTCTACTATGACACTTCTGACGTTGTGTATGTTGGACTTACTTTAGATGTTGTTGACGGAGTTTCCGTTCTTGAGTCTTTGCAGAGCTCGAGTTACATTGCCTCGAAGTCTTTCTCTCTTTTTCCTAAGAGCCATGTGCCACATAATGGACCTGAAGTCTTATTTGGTGCTGTCGACCACGGCAAATACGAGGCACCTTTGGTGAAATTCAAACATCTTCCCGATTACAGTGAATCTGATGATGGTACCTTCTATCCGACTCTTATAATGGATGGCGTTGCAGGCTACAATTTCCTGCTTTCAAGCCAGCTCCCTGTGCAAATTTCAGAGGATTTTTGGAGCTTTCCACCTGACTATAGTGCCGTTTTCGAAAACTACTTCAAGTCCAGGTATGGCTTCAACATTACTTCTGACGAGGTTCCATGTCTGATTATGAATCTGACTGAGTACGTGTCCTTCTATTTCAGTGGAGTCGAGTACCGTATCTTGGAGTCAGATCTTTTTGCGACTCAAGAATTGGAAGGTGCAACACTGTGTTTTTTCCCGGGTACTTGGGTCGGCAATTACGACCTGTTCATAATCGCAAGATCTATGTTCAAACACCATTACCTTGTAGTGGACTATGACAATGAAGAAATCGCCATTGCCCCTACTGCAACAAAGTCCAACCCTGAAACCATAGAGCAGATTGTCACAGGAATTCCTCTGGCCATTCCAGCCAAGTACTACAATGCATCAATTCCAAAATTTGGCCTGACAGTGGATCCACAATCAGTCCATCCAACATATTCTATGTACACAGGCAAACATATGGGCTTAAGTGCCACTGAGTCCTTTTATATGACTCACACGAGCTCTTCTTTGGACTCCATCACATCAGCAACGGAAACCAAATCTGGCGCTAAGTCAAGTTCATCTAAGGCAGGTGGAAATCTGCAAAATACCGGCAGTTTTCTTGTTTTTATTGCTGGTGCGCTTGGAGCTTTGATGATGTTTTGAAGAGTGCTTATAGATCCTTACGTTTCATAGGAAGCTTGTATGAGTAGTATAGAAATTTTCAGATTCTGTAATGAACAATTGATGAAGCAAAGACGATGAGGTGAATTAAAATGGAACAATGAGGAGACTTTAGTGGACAAAATTGTTTGGAGCCCTGGGATTCACGAATACTTAAGCACAAACTAAAGTAGATCTATAAATTCATATGAGAAGTGGTGGGGTGTACCTATTCTATGCTGTGATGAAATTTCTTTTCAAAAGGCTTGATTCAGTAGGGGTTCGTTTCTTTACCACTGGGATGTGGTTCCAAACATTATCCAGGATGCCTGTTTCATCGAAAAAAAAGCTTCTTCGGCAAACGCCGCCAAACGCCACCAAACGCGAAAAAGAAGTAGCCAATCGATTCTCGTGGATATCTAAAGCCTGCATTAATCCTCGGTCAACATTTGCCGACTTGCATGTCAGATAGACATGCATGGAAAAAGACTTACATTCGTATTAAGCAGTTTTAGTCTCAACTTCAGTCTTCTCTTGCAGAAAGAACCAATGTGTCAACTTTGCTCAGAATCTTTATTGAATGTTGCCTCTTCAACCATGACATATCATCCACTTGTTAAATACTGACACTATTGTCTTTTTCTTGGCATGCATATTTACGAAGACGCGGCTCTGAAAAATCGTCCATGCATAAACTAGATGGCCGAAACTAGATAAATGGCTAGCATAGCCGGCATTTTTCTATTTTTCCCTTCTTTTTTGTCCTTCTGCTCTTTTCATTGTTTTTTCAATCTTCTCATGCGTTGGGCAATTCTTCTTCCCATTGCCACTGCGGCTGCTCAATTCACTTATCGGTCTTTGAACAAGACAGACGAGGTTCTTGACCAAACCCCTGGTGTTTCCATTAGCTCTCAGTCCGTGGAAGTATACTTCGGTCTTGGACAACTGGCTTTACTCATTCCTCCAGTGATGAACGGAACTAATGGAGGAAAAGTCTTGAGGCCATCCTTCAACGACTCTGACTACACTTACCATAATTCTTACACAGACGACCCGCTCTTTGGGAATGACAAAGTTGTAGTGAACGGATTTGAACTTCAGAATTTCACCTTCGAAGATTACAACTCTCCCCTTCAGAATCTCGATATGGTGTACGTTGGCCTTGCTTTGTCGTCGTACTACTCTGAGGGAGATGAAATTTCTGTTCTTGACTCTTTGCAGAACTCCGGCTACATCAGCACGAGGTCTTTCTCTCTCTTCCCTAGAAGAAGCTCTCCACAAAATATGTCTGATGCCCTTTTTGGTGCCGTTGACCACGGAAGATACGAAGCACCTTTAATCAAATTCAAGAATCTTGGCGACTACTCAGAAGCTCTAGATGACTTCGACTATCCAACTCTTTTGATGGATGGTATGTCAGGTTACAACTTTCTGATTGCAACTCAGCACCCTGTGGAAATTACCGAAAATAAGTGGAACTTTCCGCGTGACTATCACGGCGCTTTGGAAAACTATTTTCTGTCCAGATACGGCTTCAACATTTCCTCTCCGGAGGTTCCGTGTCTGATTAAGGACCTGGTTGAGACTTTGTCCTTCTATTTCAGTGGAGTCGAGTACCGTATGCTGGAAGCTGATCTCTTCATCTCTATAGATTATGAAGGTTCAACAATTTGTGCTTTCTTGGGCTTTGCGGAAGACTACTCAGGGCTGTTCCAAATCGGAAGAGCTATGTTCAGCGATCATTATATGGTAGTGGACTACGACCATGACGAAATTGCCATTGCCCCTACTGCAACAAAGTCCAACCCTGAAACCATAGAGCAAATCGTCACTGGAATTCCTCTGGCCATTCCAGCAAAGTACTACAATACAACCACTCCATATTATGGAACTGAAAGCGCAGTTCATGTTACATACTCTATGTACACAGGCAGCCAGGAAACGACTTCTTCCTCGACCCCAACGGAAACTAAATCTGGCGACGGCACAAAGTCCAGTTCATCTAAGGCAGGTGGAAATAAAAATGCTGGCGGAATCCTTGTCTTCATTTCTTGTGCTCTTGGAGCTTTGATGATGTACTAAAAAGCTGATAATTATTCTTTAATCTTTGCGTTCATACAGTGTATAAGTAGTAGAGAGAATCTCAGATTTTGTTATTTTAGCCATAGACGGAGACACGAAGTGATGAAAGTGAAGCAAAAATTGTTTGAACCCATGAAATTTACACTATAGCTGTGTCTCTAAGGATTGTGTGTGGATGTATCTATTCTACGCTGTGATGACTAAATATCATTATTCGTATTAAGTTTAAAATGTACATATCTTCCACAAACTCTAGATCTTACTGTGGTATATTTCTAAATTATTCATTCCGCAAAAAATGTCTTCGATTAGAAAATAGTCGATAGTTGAATGTCGATAATTTTCTCAGTCATCCGGCTATATGTCAGATAGGCACACATACGAAAAGATACATCCGGCATTTCAATCTTTTCTTGAAGAAAGAACCAGACAGTAAACCGTTCAAGTATCTTTGAATGTCGTCTCTGACAAAAATCTACATTTGATTGACATTATGGTCTTTTCTTGGCATACACATATACGAGACGCGGCATGAAAAATCGTCCATGCATGAACTCGATGGCCGAAACTAGATAAACTGTTTGCATATCCAGCATTTCTTTTCTGATTCCCTTTCGGATTTCTTTTCTGATTTCTTTTTCTTTTTTCTCTTTCATGAGAACAGGAATTCTTCTTTCCATAGCTGCTGTCGCTGCTCAATCGGCTTATCGGCCTTTGAATAAGACTACAGATGTTTTCAACCAAACACAAGGTGTTTCTCTTGGCTCTCCACCTCTATCAGTGGTGACCCAATTCAGTTTCGAAGACGCGGATTTGATGATTCCCTATTTCATGAATACCACAGATGGAGACTTTGTTTTCAGACCAGACATGCCTCCCAATGCATCCTGGGTATATGAGGGTGTATACACATCTTACACAGACGACCCACTTTTTGGAGAAGATCGTGTTTTCATGAATGGATTTGAACTCCAAAACTTCACCTTTCAAACTTTGGACGAATATGCCCCGCCTCTAGTGAAAGTCGGTTTGGGTCTCACTCACCAGCCGAATTTCATTGACATCTCCTTGATTCAGTCTTTGAAAGATTCGGGCTACATCAAATCCAGATCTTTTTCTCTCTTTCACAACACCAGTGCATCAGAGTACGAGGCTGACCAAGTCTTATTTGGTGCATTGGACCACGGAAAATATGATGGGCCAATGACCAAAGTCAAGGGCTATTCTAATACCACAGATGGGTTCGTCAATACTGTTCCAAGTATCCTAGTGGATGGCATTGCAGGTTACAACTTTCTGCTTACATCGCAGTCTATTGCAATCATTTCAGATAACAAATGGAGTTTTCCACTAGACTACTATGAAAGCTTGAGCGACTATTTCATGGCTCGATACAATTATGATACCAATGACGCTGTCCCTTGCTCCATTTTGAATCTGACCGAGTACATTTCCTTCTACTTCAGTGGTGCCGAATACCGTATATTGGAGGGTAGGTTTTTTCGTAACGTGGAGGAAAATAACACTACATTTTGTGCGTTTGCAGTAGGCTCCGAAGTGGACAATCTGTTTCGGCTCCATAGAGAGCTCTTTAAAAACCATTACCTTGTTGTGGATTACGACAACGAAGAAATTGGCATTGCCCAAGCGGCAACCAAACCGAAACCTCAAACTATAGAGGAAATGTCCACTGGTATTCCCCTGGCGACTCCGGCAAAATACTTTAGCGATTCCAATTTGAGATATTCGACCGTTTCTCGAAACCACACAGATCTCTACATTACGCAAACAGCACATCCGACTTATGCTATGTACACTGGTGAACGTTTGGGTCTCAGTGCCACTGAATCATTTTATTTCACTTCTACTAGTTCTTCTGAGTCTCAGGATACCAAGACAGCAAAACCAAAAGAATCTACAGAAGTAGGAAACAATGGATCCAGTGATAAGAGCTCTTCATCTAAAGGAGATGGAAATGTGCAGAAAACGAGTGGTATTTTTGCTTTCATTGCATGTGGACTAGGAATGATGATGTTTTAAAAGTATTGCACCAGCATGTTAGTACTTCTTCAGCCATAAATGATGCATTACGAAGACTGGTTACATCGTTTTTGTAAACAGCAAATTTTCAAAACATCTTCAATCAGGATGCCGAGGCTTAGCTTCTTCATTAGTTTTAGTCCCATTTATATCATGTTTACATCCACTGAAGGGACATGATAGATTTTATCACAAAACACTTTTCTCCTGACAACCACAATTTTGGTCTCCCGATATTTTCCGTACACCAATTCCTTTAATGTACATATTCAAAACGAATACTAATCTTTCTTTTCGTTTCTCCAGTATATGTGCCACAAACACCAGAAAGAAATGTGGTACATAGCGGCTGCAAATGCAAACCCGTACCTCCTGTCAAATTTACACCCGTACATCTTGATTTAAAAGACCAGTACATCTTTAAAGACCCGTGCACCAAATGTTCAAACACCCATACATCCCATTAAAATCCGTACACCAAATACCTAAAAACCCATACACCCGTTTTAGCACCCGTACCTCTTGCGCAATATTATGTAATACATCCATACATACCACACTGTGTGTTCTAATGTGCAGTCCGCTAGCATGGACTGAGTACCAAGCATGTTTCTAGGTTAGAATTCACAAATTCCCTGCTTCACAATAAGATGAAAGAAGTTGGAATGAAAGAGAGCTCTAATACAAGGTCAAAAATCATTTTGACTGCTGATGTTCTGGCGATGCTGCTCGCTCAAGTATGACAAAAAGGTAAGATACAGTTATAGGGAAATTTTACCTCCATTTCCAATTGCAGTTTCGCTTTATCTGGCTAATACAAATAGTTCAAAGTTACCAAAATCAATTCTTGCTTACTGACTCTAAGTGTTTTCGCAATCGCATGTACAATCTCAATTAGGCCAGACGCAATTACATAGTCTAATGGACACACCAACCTGATCGATTGACATTCTCTTCTCTCGTTTCTATTTCTTCCCGTCTCTGTTCGTCTTCGTCTTTTCTTTTCTTTTTTCTTCTTTTTTTTGTTTTTTCATTTCTTCATGTTCTGTTCATTTTCTGCTGTTCCTACTTCTTCTCATCCGTCTGCATACTACATCACCAACTCTTCCTATCAATGTCCGACGACTTCAACAGAAGACCCAACCCAAAAGGCTGGGTTCCTCCAAAAGCCCCATATAACCCATATGATCCAACTGATGTCAGACCCCCCGAAGGATATCCGTCGGAATTCAAGTTGCCCGGCGATGCTCCAGAAGGGTTTTCGTCCATTCCTAAAAACCCAACACAGTACAAAAAGATCAACGAGACCATGAAGCGGCTCAACTACACGCCGAGACCGCAGTCCAGCCTTTACCCGGGCCAGTACATGGTTTTGCGCAAAGTGGACACCAACCAAAGACTCAATACGGGAACCAGATGGTTCGGCACGTTTTTGACGTCGTCCATCATCGTGTACTTTACGTTTTTCTACCGCTGGAACGACGGCCGCGAGAATGTCATGTCGGAATTCTACCGCTACCGACTCCGGCTCAAAGAGAAGATCTCCGGTCTCACAGACCAAGAGTATGACGACTTGTACCATCCCAAGCCGGCCAACATCGTGGTCAAAAACGTCAGAGATGCCGAGTACATTCCTGAGGATCTCCGTCGGACAAAGGAGGGCGAATTCGCTTTGAACAGGCCGTCGGAAAGACACATGCTCGAGGCTCACCGGCTCCAACAGGAACAAGAGGAAAAGATGTTGCGGGAGTTGGACATGCACCGGCAATATGCGGCGGAGTTGGCCGGGGAGATGGCCAGCGAGAAGAAAAAGCGGTTTTGGTTTTTCTAGGTGGGTTTTCGATGATGGCGATGGATCTTGGATGATTGTGTAATGGAAAGGGATATGAGAACCGATTCCAACGCCCATCTCTATCTTTTTAATTTGCGTCGTTGCAGTGTGTTTCGTCTCCTTTGCATCATTTCCTTGCATCATTTCCTTCGCAACTTCCATCTTTCGTCGTCTCGCTTTCCTCCTCACTCGATTAAATAGCGTCGCACTTACAATTGTACATAGAATGGAGTATTTATCAGCGCCTCTCCTTTTGCAGATATACCACGAGTCCTTGGTCAAAGAAACCCACTGCTTGGAAGCCCGGTTGCTCAATTTATGCTGGGTGATCCAAACGTACGAAAACGTTTTGGCCCGGGCCCGGTTTTTCTTAAAGTCTCAACAACCACAAAACGACTTGGAGCCACAGAACTATGTACACCAGCTCAAGAACATGTATGTGAAAATGAAGCACCAAAACGATTTTCTTCTGGGCCGGTTAGCGCTGGCAAATAAAAAAAAAGCAAAGTCGTCTGGGCTCAATGAGGCGGAAGTCAAAGCGACAATAATCCAGTACAATTGCCTCTATGACGAGCTTAAAAAAATTGAAGAGCTATCTCACGCAGTCAAAGAGGCCAGGAAGGCGGCGGAAGAAGCCCGGCGGATAAGAAGAGAGCGGAGCCGGAAAGCTTCAAGGGTAGTTTCGTGCAACCCGAAAAATCCCAATGTCTGCAGACAGATAAACTAGGCAAAGTTTGAAGATAATAATGATTGGATAGCTGTTATTCGTCCAATTTTTGTATGGAGCTTTCTAAATTCAGTAATGCACGTCTTCCTTTGTAAGAAGCAGTAAAGCATGTCTAGACCAACCTAAATTTATTGAAGGAAGTTAGAGGCTTGTGATCTAGACTATACTTAAGAAGGGATTGGTGATATTTATCATGGTTAAGGCCAAGTTCTAACTCTAAGGTATCCAATGATGGCATTATTGAAGTTCAGTGTTAGATTCACGCAAATTGAGCTTCTTTAAACACATTTGAATCAATTGGCCATACAAGAGCACCAATAAATTCAAAAAGGGTAGAGTTTTCTAGATTCAAGACCATAATGTACAAAACAGGCCCCATGTGCCGCTTTACAAGCCACTTTGCAGTTTATTATAGAAGATCCATGTGTGCCATAATACTCAGAGATGCCCTACAACACAATTATTGACATACTTCAAGTCTATTGTTCTCGAATTCAGCAATAAAAAACCTCAACTCAGCTCTCTCACTTTTTTTTTTTTTTCATACTTCAGAATCCAATCTAAGTACTTTGTCCGTCCGTCTCTATTCATTATAAAGCTCTGACACTATCTAGATTCTCAACACCTCTTACAGTAAATTGTGTGCGCGTTACCCGGAAAAACTCTCAAGCATATAAAGGCGCAGACTTTTCCCTCATCTTTGTTCTCTAACGCAAATTCACAGACGTCCACAACGTTACAGCATCCCGTAGAGGCTGAACCCATTACGGCGTTCTGGCCCATGACCACTGGGGTATTGTTGTATTGGAGGGCGCAAGCTCTCCTCTTGCGGCGGACTGGAGAACAACTGGTTGATCTTGGGTGCGATATTCCATCGGCGAATACTTTGTATTTCTAAGGGACTGCCTTCGTGCGCCCGTATGGGGAGTGTTGCAATGATCAGCTATACATGTGTAAATTTCTCTAGTGCCTTTTGGGTAAATGTGTGTTTCTTCTATGCTTCTGTTTGATTTCATCGACGTTGATCCTCTGTTGATGTATGTTTTATACGTTGTTTTATTTGTTTCTATGTTTGCGTGTCGTTCTATTCTCTGTTTCTGTCCAGTCGTGTTGAGTTCTCATTGTCTACTGTTCTTGCCGTTGCTGTCTTTTTCTGTGTTCTGGTTATGGTTTTCTCAAGTCGCACTAACTTTGTGATTCTACAATCCGGCCCATTAAATCACAATTTAGTCGAACCACCGTTCTTTACTGTTATACTTCGGGCACTATCAGTCCTACATTTCCTATCTTTCTTTTTCGGATTTCTCAACTCATTGTCATTTCCATCCTTCTTCTCGTCTTGTCATCTCCATTATCCATGCTCCATGAAGCTCTCTATTCTTCTACTATTGACAACTGCATTGGCACATGCCGCAAATACGACCCTCACATGTTCAGACATCCATCTCATACCGCTGGATCAACAATGTGCTTTCGCTCGATATCACTGCAGTTCGCCTGATTTCCACATTGGCGTATTCAACTACGTTGACTGGCATTACTGCTCGCCAATTCGACAGTTACTGGTGCCCTTGGCACTCACATCTCTTCTCATCAGCTTTGTGTCTCTTGGCACCACTGCATCGGACTACTTGTGTCCCAATCTCTACTCCATCTCCAAGTTCTTGAGCTTGTCCGATAATTTGGCAGGTTTAACCCTCTTAGCCGTGGGAAACGGCTCGGCTGATGTTCTTAGCACTTACAAGGCCCTAAGTGTGGGCCTGGCCGGCTTGGCTGTCTCAGAGTTGGTGGGCGCCGCCCTTTTCATCCTAACAATTGTCGTGGGCTCTATCTGCGTTGTGCACCCGTTCAAAGTGCCCAAACAGCATTTCTTGCGGGACTCGGCCTTCTACTTGCTTGTGACGTTTATCCTTTTTATTGCGCTAGCATCGGGAGGCGTGTCGATATTTGCTTCCGTCTCCCTCATGTTGGTTTACGTGTTGTATGTTCTCGTGGCCATATACTCGCATTCTTGGCTTGAGACGTCGGCTCGTAAAAAAGTCCAGGCGGCACGGATCCGGTCCAATTACGATCAGGAAGCTGGCTTGGATCTAGCTTCGGAATATCCCGACAACTTGTCTTCTTTGCCCTCGATAGACGTCCTAGCTGCAACAGAGGAGGAAAACAACGAAGCATCCGAAGAATTCGACCGGTTTTTGCTGAACTATCCCCATAATCCAGCCGAGGAGAGAGTTCCCATCCAAACAGGTTCTTATGGCCTTCACGTTCTTCTTCGGGAGCTTGGAAAGCACTCTTCTCGTCTGGTTTCTGCTCCTTCGGCGAGCCCGATCCGTTTGGTGGTAGACCGCCCTTTAACTGCGCCAACTAACAAATCTGGTCCACAAGAGGAGACAGAAGAAGCAGAAAGCGATAGGGAAAGGCAGCCGGAACCAGAATCTGAACAACAGGAAGAACCAGAAGTAGACGAATCCTACTTGGAGGAGAGACATGACAACGCTGGATCGTTTCCATTCTTTCTCCTTCCAGCCTTCACAGCCGGATCGTCACTCTCGACGATATTGCAAATTGTGTCTTATCCAGCGAACATTGTGCTCAAATTGACCACGCCAAACAGAGAAATGGCAATCGAGTATGGAGAGCACAGCGCCAGTTTTTCTAACGCCTTCACTTATCAGCCGTCTGGTCTGCAACCCGATGATCAATTCTCCGACTACGACTATCAGGCGGACACGAAAATCTTCAAGGTGCAGTTGCCACTGGCTACCCTTTTCGTTGCCTTTCTTTACTTCTATAGTGTGGCGTATTTTTGGTTTTACATGCCTGTGGCATTGGCCTTCGCAATTGCATTGGGACAGGCATTTCCTTCCGATGTGCCTCGCTTCGAAACACATATGTTGCGGTATCGGGCCATAAACTATGTGGGCTCTTTCGTGGGCTTTGTCCTTTCTGTGCTGTGGATCTCTATCTTCGCCACAGAAATCGTGGCTGTTCTCAAAGCGTTGTCTTTGATTTTCAGCATGAGCGAAACCATTTTGGGTGTTACGGTGTTTGCATTTGGAAATTCTATCGGGGACTTTGTTTCGAACCTCACCATAGCAAACATGGGAATGCCAGTGATGGCGTTTGGAGCATGTTTTGGAGGGCCTTTGCTTTCGCTCTGCTCGTTGGGTCTCAGTTCTCTTTTGAACATGCCCGTAGAAGGGAAACTCCGTGTCGAGTTTACCACCACGCTCAAACTCAACCTTTTGGCCTTGTTTTTTACATTGGTGTTTATTGTGGTGGCTGTGCCAAGAAACGGATGGAAATTTGATCGTGCGATGGGTGTATGTTTGATTTCCATTTGGGCCGTTGCCGTTTCGGTCAGCATTCTTCTTGAGGTGGTGTAGCTGCGGACATTGGCATCCATGAATGGAAATATGTGAAAATACTGAGGGTTCGAATAATGAATATCGTGATGTTCTGATGTCTTAGTGCCTGCAACATCGTAATAATTCTATTGTTACAGATGAGATAGAACATCGTTCATATTATGAATGCTGAATACGCTAGATTAATACACCATACAGACTACATACACATTTGGCTTGCTTTCGGATCAAAATCAGCTTCCTATTTCTGCTTCTTGCACTTCCTCTTGTACTTCCTTGTACTTCTCTTGTACTTCCGCTGTATCTACAATTTCTGGGTCCAATACCAATTTATTATAAACAATATACCATCAGCCATGCTGGCCATTTATCATAAACCTAAGTCTCGCTTAGTCAACTTCTTCAACAGTAGGGCCGCCTGCGCCGCCGTCTTGTCCGCCTGGGGCACCGCCTGGGAATCCGCCTGGAGCTCCGCCTGGGAATCCTCCTGCGCCAGCTCCGGCTCCAGCCGCACCGCCAGAGTAAGCCTTGGACATGATTGGGTTGGCCACCGACTCCAACTCCTTGTGCTTGTCATCGTACTCCTCCTTGGACGCAGCGTTGGAGCTGTCCAACCACAGGATGGTTTCGTCAATGGCCTTGGTCAAGGTTTCTCTGTCAGCAGCGTCGATCTTGTCCTTCATTTCGCCGTCGTTGATGCTGTTCTTCAACGAGTAGGCGTACGACTCCAAGGTGTTCTTGGACAGGATTCTGGCTGCTTCCTTCTCGTCCTCTTCCTTGAACTTCTCGGCTTCAGACACCATTCTCTCAATGTCTTCCTTGGACAATCTGCCCTTGTCGTTGGTGATGGTGATCTTCTGCGACTTACCCGTGCCCTTCTCCAAGGCCGAAACGTTCAAGATACCGTTGGCATCAATGTCGAAAGTGACCTCAATCTGAGGAACGCCTCTAGGCGCTGGAGGAATGCCAGACAACTCGAACTTACCCAACAAGTTGTTGTCCTTTGTTCTGGCTCTTTCACCTTCGTACACCTGGATCAACACACCGGGCTGGTTGTCCTGGTACGTGGAGAAGGTCTCGGATTTCTTGGTTGGAATCGTGGCGTTTCTCTCAATCAACTTCGTCATGACTCCGCCCGCGGTTTCAATACCCAACGACAATGGAGCCACATCCAACAACAACAAGTCCTGGGTCTTGGAAGAGGTGTCGCCTGTCAAAATGGCGGCTTGCACAGCAGCACCGTAAGCCACAGCCTCGTCCGGGTTGATGGACTTGTTGGGCTCCTTTCCGTTGAAAAAGTCCGAAACCAACTTCTGCACCTTTGGGATTCTGGTGGAACCACCAACAAGCACAATCTCGTCCACCTGGGACTTGTCCAACTTGGCGTCCTTCAACACCTTCTCCACAGGGTCCAAGGTTGATCTGAACAAGTCAGCGCACAACTCTTCGAATCTGGCTCTGGTGATGGAGGTGTAGAAGTCGATACCTTCGAACAAAGAGTCGATTTCAATCGAGGTCTGGGCAGACGACGACAAGGTTCTCTTTGCCCTCTCACAAGACGTTCTCAATCTTCTCAACGCTCTCTGGTTGGTGGACAAGTCCTTCTTGTTTTTCCTCTTGAACTCCTGGACAAAGTGGTTGACCAACCGGTGGTCGAAATCCTCTCCTCCCAAGTGAGTGTCACCGGCAGTGGCCTTCACCTCGAAAACACCTTCGTCAATGGCCAAAAGCGACACATCGAACGTGCCACCGCCCAAGTCGAAAATCAAAACGTGCTTTTCGCCTCTGGACTGGTCCTTCTTGTCCAAACCGTAGGCAATGGCTGCGGCAGTAGGCTCATTGATGATTCTCAAGACGTTCAAGCCGGCAATCAAACCTGCGTCCTTCGTGGCTTGTCTTTGCGAGTCGTTAAAGTACGCAGGCACCGTGACGACAGCGTCCTTGATGGTGCCGCCCAAAAAGTTCTCGGCGGTTTCCTTCATCTTGGTCAACACCATGGACGAGATTTCCTCGGGCGAAAACACCTTGGTCTCGCCTTTGAACTCCACCTGGATCTGGGGCTTGCCGCCCTTGTCAATCACCTTGAAAGGGAAGTGCTTCCTGTCCTCCTGGACTTCAGGGTCGTCAAACTTGCGCCCTATAAGTCTCTTGGCGTCAAAGACTGTGTTGGCTGGGTTCATGGCCGCCTGGTTTTTCGCCGCATCACCAATCAATCTTTCTGTGTCGGTAAAGGCGACGTACGAAGGCGTGGTTCTGTTACCTTGGTCGTTGGCAATGATTTCCACTCTGTCGTTTGTGTAGTGGGCCACACATGAGTATGTGGTACCCAAGTCAATTCCAATAGCTTTAGACATATTTGAGCTTTTAGATGTAGGTGAGAAGAAAAGAAGAAATGGGCGCCAGGTGGGGCTACGCTAGCCTTATATACTATCGCCATGGGAGCACCGGAAAGTTCTAGTCGCTTCTGGCATCTCCACATTTCAATTGTTGCTTGCAGAACTTTCTAGACACTCCTGGAATCTTCGAGAAAACGCGGATCCACGCGAGGGGACCGCTTCCACATTGGGCACTTTCGAAAAAGAAATTACACTTTTCTTCTTTGGCGCCGTCTCCGTTTGCCCAAGTGCTCCTGATTAGGCATGTTCCAGTCTTTGGGTGCAAATTGTCCCTTTGGCTGAAAACCGGACAAGTCGGGGTGCGCGGGATCGGGCACGTGCACAGTGGTGTGGTTTGTCCTGCATATAGACCATTTTTCTTCCGATAGGAGAGAATCTTCTACAAGCGTCTGGTTGCCGGGTGGGACGGCCTTAGACGTTATGAGTGTGGGCCCAGTTGCTCCGACTGTTCGTGGTTCTCTATGGGCTTCCATTTGGTGCCGCTTTGTTGTATGCAGTCCGATAGCTCTTGCAGTCTGATAAGGTTGAATGACAAGATGTGGTAGTATGAAAGCCAAGAAAGTACATTTGAGAAAATTGTCCAAAGAGCCGGAGAGAGGAAAATTGTATAGAGCCGGAAAGAGGAAAAATTGTCCAGAGCCGGAAAGGGAAAAATTGTCCAGAGCCGGAAAGGGAAAAATTGTCCAGAGCCGGAAGGGAAAAATAAACTAAAAAATACTGAGGTGCGCTTTTACCCTGTAACAGTGTGGATATCGGAGTAGAACAAGTAACGACTGGAGAAGACATCAACGATAACGAAAGTGTCAGATGAACAGAAATTGGCTAACTTTGGATTGAGTAGCTTTTACATGGTTTCTTGCCTGAATTGAAGACAGATGCAAGGAATTAGTTTTGAAATGAACTTAAATTAGGTACTTCATTGATGTGTTAGCTTCGCATAATGCACAGTAAAAAACATTTACGCCTGAAATACTCATCAGGCAGATGGTAAATCACTAAACACTGCCTAAAGGCTGTGGTCCTTCCTCTCCAGTAGAGCCATCACATAACCGGTTTGCAAGAGTTCAATTACGTCCATCATTCGAACACATTGAATGCTGGAAATGAGTTGAATATTCTTAACATAGTATCAACCTATCACAGTGTTGTTCAATTCCTTGTGAAACAAAACGTAAGGGATCTACATGATGGCTTTAGCGGACCGAAGACCTCTGATGGTCGTTACGGAAGTCTGTCCTTTGTAGAACATTGCTTAATGGCCTGGATATCAACGATCTTAGTGGCTAGACTATAATATCGAATAAGAAGACATTCTAATAAAAGGCGTAAAGTCATTCTAATAAAGACTAAAGCCATTCTAATAAAGACTAAAGTCATTCTAATAAGAGGCGTAAAGTCATTCTAATAAAGACTAAAGTCATTCTAATAAAAGACGTAAAGTAGTCAAAAATAAGAGAGGGACAGTCATTCAGAATAAAAGAGCTAAAGTCATTCTGCAACAAAAGTTAAACGTCATTCAGTCACTCTAAATCAATGAGTTGGTCCTTCTAATGAAAGAGATAGTCATTCTAATTAAGTTAAATGTCATTCTAATAAAAGGTACGTCATTCTGGCACAGCTTTCTTCATGATGTAGCTAGGTCCAAATCTTAAATCAGTCTAAAGCGAAGGTGTACATCTAGTAGCGAATATTCCATACTTCGGCATACGTACAAGCTAGGTGCGGTCAATGCGACATTGTACCCTCAACAGTTTAGCCCTCGACTCTTCTTGTTTCTTTTTTCTCTTTTCTCCTCTTCCCTTCTTCTTCCCTTCCCTTCTTCTTCCCTTTCTTCCTTTCCACCCTTTCTTCTCTTCTCTTCTCTCCTCCACCAATTACCGTCCGTGTCCGAGTCACATGGCCGCGCACACTGACTCGGTTCCGCTCCTACACCCATGTAAAAGGATATAAACCCGCCCACCCAGCATCTGCCTTTTCTTTTCCCACACAAATGTTGAGAACCTTGGCCAAGCAAAGTTTGCGCGCTTCCCCCTTCAGATGCGCCGTGAGATTCAACTCCGTCAACTTCAAGTTGAACACCCAGAGCCACGTCTACAAGTACTTGGAAGAGGGCCCCAAGTTTGTCAAGTTCACGCCGGAGCACGAGTGGCTTGCGGTGTTCAAGGACGACACTGCGTTCATTGGAATCACCAACTACGCGTCCGAGGCCTTGGGCGACACCACGTTTGTCGAGTTGCCCGAAGTGGGCGTGTCGTATGAGGCAGGCGAGTCTATTGGCTCGGTGGAAAGTGTCAAGAGCGCCAGTGAGATCTACAGTCCTGTGAGCGGCGAGGTGATTGCCATCAACGACATTTTGGAAAGCAAGCCACAGTTGATCAATGACGACCCTATGGGCGCCGGCTGGATTGCCCAGATCAAGTTGGCCGAGACTGCCGAGGCTGTGGAAGCCAAGGACGACTTGTTGGACGGCAAGCAGTACGAGGCCTCGTTGGAGGAGCACTAGATGTGCAAGACAGGACGACAGTGTATTACATGAGATCGCTCATAGAACAATATCATAACAGAATGTAACACAATGTAACAGAGGTAACAGAATGTAACAGAATGTAAGAGACCATGACAGACCATAGACCATAGACCATATAGACCATAACAGATCATAACAGACCATATAGACCATAACAGACAATATAGACCATATAGACCATATAGACCATATAGACCATATAGACCATATAGACCATATAGACCATATAGACCATATAACAGAATCATAAATGAATCATAAGGTTGTTAAGTCGATGGAATCAGCTGCAATGGCTCCTACATAATCCAATCCATTTGATTCTTGGACGTGGTGGAACCATGTAGATTGTTGGATTTCCATTCTTCCGGTTACACCCATCGCTTCAGATTCAATTGTTTAGGATAGAGGATCAGTCAATTCCCCTTGGGACCCTGAGTCGTAAGTGTCCTGAATGTCCTGGATGTTTTCTTGTATAGTTATGCACTTTTTGAATTTTTTTTTTTTTTTTGTTCTTGTTGGTGCCGTTCTTTCTTGGACTTTCTACTAACTGGCTTGTGCTTAAATTTTTGTCCCACAATTCACCATCTTGCAGTTCATGAATAGCCTGTTCAGTCTCATGTATGTCCTTCTCCTTTTCCATAACTCATTGTATAATTGTGAAACCACATACTTGTAGATTTCAATTTTGGTTCCACTAATACAGGCTATATGGTGGCCTACCCGACCCATAGATGACATTTTTATGGCTTCACGATATTGTTGCATTCCACCCAATTGCAAAATCTTCATCCTCCTATGGTCCGAAACAAATCGTATCACTTCCTGACCTACACAGACAAGAGACAGCTTGAACTCTTCCAAAAGTCTAAAATGTGAGACAATTGGTTTAGGCGTTTTATTTCTTGGCTGAGTGACATGCATCAGTGGGATGTGGCATTGAAAGTTGTGTAAATCTCATGGCGACCACAAATCTACCTATAAATCTGTTGGATTTATCATTTGTATGTGAAAAAGTGTTTTTTTCTTTTAATCGTCTAGAAGTGGATTCAATTCAAAGCTTCAGACACTACCACCTGTTTAATCCCATTTGTGTTCATCTACTTGATGCATGAAAGTTCTTTCTTACGTAAGATAACTCTTTGTAGCCTAGATACAAAGAAATCAGAGATTTCCCTTCCTAGGTTTTTCTACAAGAACATGCTCAAACTATGAACTTATTAATATTGCCCTTCTTTCACGTTATTCCGTAGGTTGCCCGAAATGAGAATTGAGAAATTCAAATACTCACTTTTTAACACCCAGAGGGTTTCCTTTTACTATTTAGTTACATTTATGACCAAGGTAATTCTAAACAGAAAATTTCTAGCTTGAATCATGGTCCTTATTATGAATCGACTGCATATACGAAAATAGCCGAAACAGGAAAATGCATATGTTGGATATTCCAAATAATGGGAGAAAAACAAATCCCAGCATAAAAATACGTTTTCAGATCCAAATATTAAGCATAGTGATTTGCATTGATATAAGTAAAATAGAACCGGTAAAGAAGTAGGATGGCACGTATGTGAAGCCTAGGCCCGGACTCAGGCATTGTTGGAGCAGTAGGCCATAGTAAGGAACAAACGGAAGAACATCCTTCGGAGAATAAAGAAACTCGCAAGAAAAACGGTGGAGTTTGATCCGGAGATAAGAGTCATCGCAAGATGGCCCTACACTTCCTCATCACAGCTTTCATTGAATACATACTAAGAAAAGTGCACGGCAATTGGCACGATAATCACAATCAACACGATAATGATGCCCAAGATGATGCACAAACGCATCTTCATGTCTTTCCACCACATGTCCTTGCGCACTCTGTTGGCACCACGGCGGAAGCCCTGGGCGCTGATGGCAAGATTATCTGTTTTGTTCTCGATCGAGTCCAAGCGCTCGCCTCTTTCGGCAACCTTGTTGATGTTGTCTCTCATGATGCCGACGGTGTCGTCGATTTGCTGCACATGTTAGTAAGGGTCCGGGGAAACAGGGTTGGGAAAAAACATACCGCCTGGATGGCCGCCGTTCTCGAGTTCGACTGGTCGCCAGTCGTCTGGTTAGGAATGTATGGGTCGTATGGGACACTAGAAGACATTGTGGATATTGAGCCGAAGAGATGGGAGTCGGTAATCGATTTGTATTTCAATGTCGCAGTGGGCAGTGCCTGCGCGCGTGACAAGGGAGTGCGCATTTGGAGCGGCACACAAAACGCCATGAGTGTGAGGCATTACCCAGCCCGTTTTGCAGCCGCAGCCAAAAGTTCAAAAATTCCCAATCTCGAGCGTTCCAAAGGGGTCTATTTATATTGAGGTGGCTGCAAAAGGATTTCCCAACAGGGATGGAGGAGGCACGGGTTTATGGAGGGGAAGAGAAACGAAGTGAAGCAATAAGTTGCATCTGATGGTATTTTATGGAAAGTTCGTCATTTATAGACGGAAGGAAGAAAGAAAAAAGAGGAAGAAGGAGAAAAAGAGAAACAATAGAAGGACCGTTGTAGATGTTATTTGTATTTGAATATCAATGTGATTTATTGAAGTATAGTAGATACGTGATGACATGAGATGAAATGAGGTCTCAACTTGTGTCGATAATGTATCTTCAACCTCCACAAGAAAGTGTCTTTATTGTTTTGTTTTATTTTAGCTGGTGGATGTACCTTTTTCATATGGCTACAACATTGAAAACTGTGCGAAAACTGCGAATACATTGGCTAGATTGAAAAAGCCAGTCAAGACGAAAATCGCAACTTGTTCAAATGGACTTCTGATTTGAGCAAAAAGAGAATGAAGACTTGAAAATAGCGATGTGACGAGCCGAGGAAAATAGTATCAATTTAGCTCGTCACAACATATGCTTCAATTTTTACAATCCAAGGCGTTGAATCTCAATGTTATAAGGAATAACCGTTCTTATTGCATAGTTTAGACATATGATGACCGAAAACGGTATATTCCCGAAGATTTGCTTAAACCACACTTTCACCAAGACAAGTGGGTTCTAGACTCAAAATGGTGGAGACTATTCAAGTGGAAGATTGTGTGTGGAAGATTGTTCTCGGAAGATTGGAGGATCGTGCAAGATTGTTCGAATGGAAGTATCGGATAGCTTCAAACTCTCTATACTTTTAGTTCAACATCCATCGAACATCTTCAAACGTGTCTCTGTTATGATCCAAAAGAACTACAATTATTCAAACCGTAGGATAACAGTCACCATTAGACGTACAAGGAACTTTCGGTGGATCTGAGGCAGCTGTGGGACCTAGAAAATCACAATAAAGAGAATTCTTTCTCATTACTCGTTATACATTATCCCGGCTCACTCCGGTCGAATTAGCTGTTTCTTATTTTGAATCTTTCCTGCTGTCTTGATCTTCTCTTGCTGCTTAATAAGCAGAGGCCAATGCTTATATAAGCAACGGGCACCAACCACAATCAAAACGCCGTCAACAGATAAAACAGACCCAAAAGTAAGCAATAGAGCAGCCCCAATACATTCCCAGGTGGCATCTCTCCGCATGTCTTGATTTGCACCCAAATTCTCCCTTCGCACATGTGCGCAACTTTGCTCCCACTTGAGCCCTGATTACTAATACCCACAAGTATAAAAGGGCCCCGCTTGGCACAATGATTTAATTAAAAATCACAATGAGCAAAGACTCAACAACAAAGGTTTTCTTGACCGGTGCCACTGGCTATATCGGAGGCGAGGTTCTTTACCAACTTCTCTCGAATGGGCAATTTGACGTTACTGCGCTAGTTCGGAGCGAGAAAAAGGCCGACATCCTCCGCCGCAAAACCAACGACAAGGTTAAAACCGTTTTGGGCTCGTTGGATGACTCTGTGATCATATCCGCCGAGGTCGATCGTGCCGATGTGGTTATTAACACGGCCAATGTCGATCATGTTCCTAGTGCCCAGGTTATGGCCGAGACGCTAAAGAAGAAGACGAAAAAGACGGTCTTCATCCACACGTCCGGAACCTCGGTTATTGGCGACGACTTGGACTCCGAAAAGGGCCGCTCGGCGAAAGTATACAGCGACATTGGCTCCATAAAAGAGATCAACCTGCTTGACGAAAGTCAGCCGCATCGGCCTGTGGACAAAATCGTTCTTAGTATTGAGGAGGAAAATCCCTTGGTCAAGACGGTGGTTGTTAGTCCTTCGACGATCTTCGGCAAAAGCAATGGCTACGACAACGTGTATTCTGTGCAGATTCCGTACTTGGCTCAGCTTTCCAAAGATCACGGCAAAGCCTTCACGGTTTATCTGGGAGATTACATTTGGTCGCACATTCACATTTCCGACTTGGGTGATTTGTACTTTTTGCTCCTTTCCAACTTGTTGGCAGACCACCCTATTCCAACCGGCAAGGAAGGATACTATTTTGGCGCATATACCGACAATTCTGGAAGTGCCGACCTTTCGCCTATAGAGCATACATGGAGGGACGTTTCGGCGAAAATCGGCGAGCTTCTCCATGAAAAAGGTTTGGTCTCGTCGCCGGAACCTGAGCCGTTATCGCCCGACACAATTGTATCTTTTTCAGGCAACGAGTTTGCACCTTTCTATTGGGGCACCAACTCCAGAAGCAGAGGCGACAACGGTATTCGGATCGGCTGGAAACCAAAGTACGCAGAGGCAAAAGTGTTTTGGGACTCGATTTCTGACGATGTTGAATATGCAATTGGGAAATAAGCCAAGCCAGCTCAAGAGCAGTAATCATGTCCAGGGCAGTTACATAAAAAAGATAAACGTCGAAACATGTACAATATAGAAGAAAGTAGGTATGTGCCATAATCGCCCGAACCAGATGGGACAATCCAGGCACTAACATTACTACTAACTATCATTTAATGTAATGATTCTTTGACGGCAATTAGCAAGTCAAGGAGAGTAGTTTATCACGTCTTGTTTATTTGAGCTGGAATTAAGCAAGCTGAAACGCTCAATATACATATACGCATTTGTGAATGTTTTCTGCTTCATCGTAGAACACATATAGCTTTAAAGGGTCAGGTTTATCATCTATGCATTTAATGCATTATTTCCTCTATCAATATTATATCATTGAGTTTCCGTATTAAAGTAGGAAGTACATCTGTTTTGGTCTTGTAACTTATCTGATGCTCAATTTGCTAATAAAGCTGGATCGCCAAACCAATTTTGATCAGAATGAATCAGTAAGATCAATAGTACCAAGTCTGGATTTTGAGACGTAAATTTCTTTGAACCAATTGCTTTCAGACCACCGACCACTTAAGATAAAATGCATTCTAAGCTACAAGTTCACACAGTATGATAGCAGCATTGGAACAATGATACCAATTAAAGTTTAAAAAGGAGCTTATGACGCTCATATGTGGCAGCCAATTACAAAACTTGTATAATTTGACCAAAATCAATTTCAACCATACTTGACAATTACACAATTTCAGTCAGATCAGGTAGGAATTTTAAAAAATAGAGTATTAATCACGCATGTGTGACTTTCATGCAACGATTGCATTCCCATGAAGCTTGATTCGAACAACAAAACCAAGACCAAAATCCGAACCTATTCTTAAATCCAAAAAACAAAACCCACTTCGTAAACTACAACAATAGCCGGCTACAGCTATCGTCTATTTATGAGGTCACGTGCCCAATGTCAAACACATGGCTGGTGATTTCAAGATGAAAGAAAATGAAAAAAACCGCCCAAATATACGGAATGGCAGAGATAGAAGGCGAAGCAAAAAAGACACCCAGCGTGACTTTCGGACTTTATTTTTTTCCTGTAGTCTCTGTTGGCGAGATAAGAAATATTGGAGCCGCTTAACTATGGCCCGCCGTCGAGAGGCCTCTATACAGTACGAGCAAACATACAAGCACATATTGAAGGAGGAAAAGGGCAGAAAATGTCGTTTTCCGATTCCAGCCTCCGATTTCCGGGAAATGTCACCCGCCAAGCACTTGTCTAAGTTAGTCATGCCAGATCAGCCATGGAAATCTCTGGGGCTGTATCAGCTCCGGCACCGCGACGGGCTTTTTGGGTCCCGCACGCCCCAATAGAGTGATCTACTCCGCCACCTACCAGCCTCAAGACAGAAGCTCAAAATCAGAACAGGCGTCCGCATGCGGAAAGAATCCCGAAACACAAGCGGAAAATGCCGTGCCCAAACAGCCGTGGAAATTAGCCCGACTCTGCAAACCCATACCTCCGGGTAATCTCGAGTGGCTGGCGCCGGCAAAAACAAGAGACCAAAAGCCAAAAAAAAAATCGGCGCGGCTGCCTGCACACAAGCGCGCGCGCCTTTCGGCCTGGGGAGGCACAAAATGACACCGATTTCTTTTTTCCGTCTTTCTGGTTTTTCTTACCACTTCTATCTTTTGATACTACAATAAACACAATGGACGGTGGTATGTATTTCTAACGGCGACGGCTCCCCGTATGACCCGACTGCGCATGCGTCGGGATGTGTAGGGTGCTGTTTTTCGCCCGCTTCAACAAGTGGTTTTCGTGTTTCTTCGCCCAGCAAAAGACCGCCCACCCTTACTTGACGATATTAGCCGCCAGCCCCTCGAATCAATCGCCGTTTTGGCCCTGTGATGCCACCGCGGGCCCGACAATGTGCTGTCGCCTGCCACTGGCCCCGGTTTGCCACCGTGTCTCGTTGGCTTTTGCTGGCGACATTGTGTGTTGGGCCGCGGAGGTGATTCGACGCACGGGCGCGGGATTTTCGATTATCGGAGCGTGCCGGATGGCTCAATCTGGCCAGCTTACGTGCTTCAGCAGTTTGTGCCTCTTGGCGACTGCAATTGCGGCCGTGGCGGTAGCCTGATCTGATATGGCCAATGTCGTCGAGTTTCCGTGGGGTACGGGTGTTTGTGGGTGTTGTTGCGCCCCCTTTTTGCCTGGCGCGCGCCTTTCCATGGAGAAATGGCCTCGGCACGACCCTGTTACACTTTACTTGAGTCAATACTAACTCCCCTCTAGAAGAAGTTGCTGCATTGGTTATCGACAACGGTTCCGGTATGTGCAAAGCCGGTTTTGCCGGTGATGACGCCCCTCGTGCTGTTTTCCCATCGATCGTGGGTAGACCAAGACACCAGGGTATCATGGTTGGCATGGGCCAAAAGGACTCTTACGTCGGTGACGAAGCTCAGTCCAAGAGAGGTATCTTGACCTTGAGATACCCAATTGAGCACGGTATCGTGACCAACTGGGACGACATGGAAAAGATCTGGCACCACACTTTCTACAACGAATTGAGAGTTGCCCCAGAGGAACACCCAGTCTTGTTGACCGAGGCTCCAATGAACCCAAAGAACAACAGAGAGAAGATGACCCAGATCATGTTCGAAACTTTCAACGTTCCAGCTTTCTACGTCAACATCCAAGCTGTCTTGTCCTTGTACTCTTCTGGTAGAACCACCGGTATTGTTTTGGACTCTGGTGACGGTGTCACTCACGTTGTCCCAATTTACGCTGGTTTCTCCTTGCCTCACGGTATCTTGAGATTGGACTTGGCCGGTAGAGACTTGACCGACTACTTGATGAAGATCTTGTCCGAGCGTGGTTACACTTTCACCACCACCGCTGAAAGAGAAATCGTCCGTGACATCAAGGAAAAGTTGTGTTACGTCGCTTTGGACTTTGAGCAAGAAATGCAAACTTCTTCTCAATCTTCTGCTATTGAGAAGTCCTACGAGTTGCCAGATGGACAAGTTATCACCATTGGTAACGAGAGATTCAGAGCTGCTGAGGCTTTGTTCCGTCCATCCGACTTGAGTTTGGAAGCTGCTGGTATTGACCAAACCACCTACAACTCTATCATCAAGTGTGACGTTGATGTGCGTAAGGACTTGTACGGTAACATTGTTATGTCTGGTGGTACTACTTTGTTCCCAGGTATCGCTGAGCGTATGCAAAAGGAAATCACTGCCTTGGCTCCATCGTCTATGAAGGTCAAGATCATTGCTCCACCAGAAAGAAAGTACTCTGTGTGGATTGGTGGTTCCATCTTGGCTTCTTTGTCCACTTTCCAACAAATGTGGATCTCGAAGCAAGAGTACGACGAGTCTGGACCATCCATCGTCCACCACAAGTGTTTCTAAGCTTGTGGCTCTTGCGAGTAAAAAAAACATTCGTTCTTTTTTTTATACTATTATTGAGATGTTTTGAAAGCAAATGTTTAAAATAAAGACGAATCTAGACGTTATATGTAGATAAGTTGTAGGGTTCCGAGGATTTGTGGGTGTGAGTTGCGGTGGAATCCAGGTTTCCCTTATTGAAAGGTCTGGTAAATGTTAAGCTACAAAGTATGGAGAATCTGGAACTTTAATTATGTGAACGTGTCTGGGAATATAAATAGTCATTCTTCCAAAGAAATCCAAGTTGGTCATCAATCTTCAATAATATACTGACATGGATTCTAATAAGACAACGAAAAGTTAAATTGGCAATTTCACACATTTGAATCTTTTCTTGAAACGGAACAATCCCTGCCAATTTGGATGGTACGTTACTTTTTGAATGCAAACGTCTCATGATCTTAGAGAAAGAAGATTAGAACGTAATTATTTTGGAGAAAACTTTTACAAGTAAAGAATCACCAAATGCTAGATGTCCAAACTTGAATCTGGACCAGAATGAAATGAAAATCAATATAATCAAGGTCAATGATCACATCTCATTTTTGTTCTAACTTAGGCTTCAGTCCTTCGATGTAGCCTGCCAAACTACAGTCAGTCTCTAAGTCTTGAATTTGTATGCCATCTCTTAAAGTGCAAGTTAATCAAGTAGCTTTCTATACGTATTTGGTGATGTAACATCAATTTGTACATATAATGAAAGATCGTGGCTTTGCCCTCGAAGCTATTTAAGTTCAAGGGTGGGAGTCGCCCCTTTCAATCTTCCAAGAACGCACTCCGCCGCATAACGTGGAATTACATTGTCCTCGTGCAACATGGCGAAACTAGAAGTGGCGTCTTGACCGGCAAACTTCACGATGGATTCTTTTCCGCCCGGATGGTTGTCCAAAAACTTAGTCAAGTCCAAAACAACGTTCTTGACGATGACCCAGCAATCAGACTCGGAGTTGTGTTTGGCCACTTCTTCTGCGGTGAACTCTTTCTCCGGAATACTGAAGGTTTCCTTTTGCTCTGGCTTTTCTGACTTCTTTTCCAGCCTTGGGGCTTCAGGTACACTCGCTGAACCTCCAGTGGCTTCGTTGTCACCCATATCAATAATCACCTTTCTCGATTGCGGGTCAATGTGGAGATTGATCTGGCGCAAACGCTGCACAGCCAAGTTTTTCAACAAAAAGCTGGCCGCCTGGTCTGCTGCCAACCGGCCGTACACCACACATGCCAAAAGAGACGAGCCCCCTAATCTATTGTGGCCATGTACTCCGCCAGCCACTTCTCCCGCAGCATAAAGACCATGGAACGGTTTCTCCGTTTCTCCGCCAGCGAAGATCACCTCTGAGCGGTCGTTGATCTTGACGCCGCCCATGGTGAAGTGGAGCACGCGTGTCACGTATGCCACATGGTACTTTGCGTCCGGGTCCATGACAAATGGCGTGGCTGGGAAAAACCGCTTACCGAATGGGTCATTGCCGGACTTCGCTGCCTCATTGTACTCAGCAAACGTTTTCTGGAGCTCCTCAAGCGGCACGCCTATCTCTTGGGCCAACTCTTGGCCCGAAACGGTACGCATCAACTTGCGCTGTTTGTAGTGGGAAACATGGAAACGCAAGCGCTCTTCAGCAGCCGAGCTGAGCACGAGTCGCAACGGGGCGAGGCCCTGGGCTTCCTGCTTCTGCATTTCGCCAGAGACGTAATCGCGTGTGCCCAATTCGTCGCAGAACCGCTGGCCCTTGGAATTGAGCATGACGCCACCTTCGCCACGGAGCGCTTCAGCCCCAAGGAACAAGAAACGGGGCTTTTTTCTCCCGGCAATGACGTCAGTGTCCTCGTAGTCAATGAGCCCAGTTGGGTGCACTTGTACTTTATCCATGTCTATGGCCACTCCAGCATTCTTCATGACGATTTTCTGGCCGTCGCCCGTGGCGTGGGAGCCGTTTGTCGAAGGGAGATCGATGATGTCTGGCCGGTAGCGGCGGAGCAACAGGTTTTTCGTGAAGTCTGCCGCATATCCGCCCGTGGCCAAAATCACCGGGCCATGCACTGTCCCGCGCTCTTTCGTGTGGAGATTCTTGTACTTGACGCCAAGGACACAGGAGTGGTCGTTCTCGTCGACCTCCAAATCAACCACCTGGGTGTTTTTCAAGATGGCAATGCGGCCAGGCTCGTTCTCGGCCAATGTCTCCAACGTTTCAAGCAAGCGGTAGGTGATGGCCATTCCGGGGAACTTGGCGTCTTTGCCGCGGTGTGTGCGGGGCTGCGAGTGGCCGCCAAGCCGCGACACCACGCTGAGGTCGAGCCCAAACTGCTCCTGGAGCCAGTGCACCGCGTCTGCCGAGTGGTAGGTGAGCACCTTGATAAGCGCCGGGTTGGCGCGGTCTTTGGCGGTTGCCAAAGTGTCTGCGTAGAATTTCTCTACGGAGTCAGGGATTTGCAACTGCACCTGTGTCCGTGTAAGTGCTCCGTTGATGCCAGACGTGGCTTTGCCGCTGTTTCCGGAAAGAAAGCCTTGCTTGTCCAAAAGAACGACATTGGCGCCTCGGAGATACGCTTCGTGTGCCGCGGAAAGGCCTGCGAGGCCGCCGCCAACAACAATGATCGGGTTGGGAGGAAACGCCATCGAGGAGAAAAAGACAATTCACAAAGAAAAACCAAAATTCGTGGCGAGAAAAGTGTGGGGCAGAAGCGTCTTTATATATGATTGATAATGCGCGCACAATGATTTGCTGGTGCAGGATGCGGGGGATCCGGGGTGCGTCAACACTTTTCCGGTGGAGACATTTGGCAGGAGTGGAGAGGAAAATATGAAATGACAATGGATGGAAATGAAATTGGAAATGAAGAGGAATTGGCATGTAAAAAATAAAAAGACAGAAAAAGAGGTTCTGAATGTGGAATTGTAACAACGAGAAACAGATGTGATTAAGAACTTTGGTCGTTCACAAAGATCCTTATCATTTGTTACGTTTCGCATGGTCTTTATCATGGATCTGAATTATGTTTCTACCATAAACCTGTATATCAGTCAAGACGGCTGACACTTGAGTATTGTGTTCTCCTTTCAAACCACTTTTGTGTCATACGGAATTGGAATCATTGACGATGCTGCACAATTTATTGTCAATTCGTTTTTTTCTATCTTTTTGCTTTGCCAATATGGCTGTGTTGGTATTTCTGCTCAGTATACTTCAATCTTTTAGTGCAAGAATCTATAGATGTCTCATAAGCCTGATGTCAAAAAAGGATGTCTTGGTCGAGATTGGCTTTGTTCTGCTTCCATGAATTTAGCCCCGCATTATGTGCTTTTAGTGGCATTCGGTATATTTGGACTCTTCTCACAGAAATTGTTTTTGCTAAGAATGCTCGTTTCTACTTCTGTGAACCCAAGATCTTCCAAGAAACTTAGGCTCTTGACTCAATGATGAAAACTATGGCTCATTTCTTGTACAGGTAGATATTACACTTTTTGAGTGTTCGTAGTAGTCAAGAAAATTTACTGGGCCCAACTCATGCTTTAATTACTTCCACAGTTGATGCGTCCGTGTATACACTCATTATGTGTTCATAATGTTGGTACTGAGTACTTTTTGGTCCTAGAGATCCTAGATAGGACTTTAACTATCCAAAAAAGAACTTCTCGAAAAAGAGAGGAACTGCTCAATATGTTACATTGTGATGCTTTATTGGTATTGTTGCGGTACTGTGAACAGTGGCCATTTATCTGTTGGCTGTCCTCCACACACTTGAAGAAAAGTGTATAAGTTTTGAGTAATGTCCAAAATAGGAATAATACACACCGCCTATCACCAAGAGTTTTAAAGGGAGAGCATATCTCAAATTGAATCCAAGTAGTTCCAGCTTTCTCACACAATTATATGGATCCGACAAAAGATGATGAGCCTCAAAACACCAAGCAGCCTGTCAAGAGACTTCTAGGTAATCCATCCCAACAAATTCGTGAGCGAAAATGTAGCTGGGCAAAGTACGGTTATGTCTTTCTTATTGGTCCATTGTCGCACCCAAAACATTTATTGCTTCTTCGAAAGTATGTAATTGTTTTGGGTAACAAAATGCGGTTCACTTCCTCTTTCCGTATTCTTGCTATCGAACAATATATCAAGATTATTTTCAGATCCCACGGTGATTGATACGCGACATACAGGAGCATCTCTGCAAGCGAAGGCTGCGTCCTGCATGTGGTTCTGCGTCGCACCTCTTTTGCACCCAAAAGATTCCAAAGTTGGTTTTTCCTCCACCATCATGACGTCTTACCACTTGCGTAGAAAAATCTTTACTTTCCTCTTCCCTCGTCTTGCGAGGAACAAGAGGGAAAGTTCAGAGCTTCCTGCTGCAAGTTTGAGACGTCGCTGGCACTTCAGGTCTTCCGAAAAGAAATGCCCAGTTTATCCGGATGAGACACAAAGGCAATTTCGCCGTTCATCTACCGTCCAGGATGAGATTATGAGGATGCACAGACAACAGAAGGAAAATACGAAAGCCAATTATCCCTTCATGGTAAAATCCTTTGGCAAGAAAGAACAAGAAGAAGTGGACTTGCCTTTGGCCCACAAAGCCACTGGCCCCAATAGGGAAGAAAGAGAATTCAATCAAAAAATGAATGTGCTTTTGCAATTGTTGGGAAAGAAGTTGAGGGCCAAATATGCTGCACCTCCTTCGACCGGAATTCTCTTTTTGCCTTTGCTTTACCAAAAAGCAAAGGGCCCCTTCGATTCGTCTATGGCCATCTATGCGTATGTGGACTGTGAGTTCAATAAGCTTGCTTTCCATAGATTGAGATTCCCAAAAGTATTTCCTCTTTACAGATATCATTTGAGTGATCCTAAGATTGAGATGTTGCCGGATCATGCAATGGAAGCTTCGCAAGCTGTTGCGTCTTCACTTGCAGTGGTGGGATGCCAGTCGCTCAAAATGGACAAAATGTCGCAGGCATCGAGTTTGCATTTCGTGGATGCAAAATCTGCCCCAGACTTTGAGTTCAACTTTGGGATTGACTGTTTCTTCCCCTTCAGAAAGAGATGTCACTTTGTCGTTGGCGCCCTTTTTCCCTTTGGCAAAACGTTTTCGCCAAAACCGAAAAGTGCCAATGTCCAGGCCTTTTTATACTACTTAGTATACTCCCAGCTTTTTATAATTGTGGCTCCGTTCTGGGCCCCTGTGATTATTGCCTTTCCCATCTCGAGTCTCCGCTGGAGGAATTGTGAACTCGAGAATGGGGGAATTCCAAAAAATCGCCTCTTGAAGATGTCTCCAATGTATCTGGTCGAAACTCTTGGCGACAGTTCAGCCGAATCCTTCCTGCCTTTGGAATTGTGTAGACTTCTGGAGTCACCTGCCTCGTCATGTTCGGAAAAGGAAACCGAGCACGCCGGAGCTTTTGAGTCTAAGAGTGAGACAGAAGAGGAGAACAGAGAACTTTTGGATGCTAAACACTTTTCTATCCAATCCTTCGAAGCTGGGCTTGGAGAAAACCAATGCACCTCTTTTGGTCAGACTCTGCAGAAAAGCTCCTTTGAAGTGTCTCTGGCCATTCTTGATAGTACTGTTGGGCATGAGAATTCAGTTGAGGCCACAGAATCTTCTAAAGAGAGAGCACAGTTTAAATCTTCTCAGGCTTTAGAGGTTACTTTGGCTTCAGAAATATCCAAAACTGAAACCGAAAGGGTCGTTCCTGCTGTCGAAGGTCAACATGCATTGGAAAATCCAGACATGTCCTCTTACCAGGAAAGTATTGGGCTAGATATCTCTGATCTTGAAAAGAATGTACAAGAAATTCCTGAAGAGGTTCAGTTGGAGAGGAATTTGCAGGATTTGCAGAATTCGGACTCTTTGCAATTCTCTAAACACTTGGAGGAACCTTTGGAATCTTTAGAATCTTTGGAGATAGAGGCGACGGATCTTGTTGAATGGGCTAACGAAAACTACCCGCAGATTCCTGATCTTGTCCATGTTCTTCCACAGCCTCTGTCCAAACGGAAAATTGCTTATGATTGCGAGGAAGACTTTATTCCCAAGTATTCGGAAGTTGAGTCCGACATCAGTGACCTTCCTCACTTGGACGAACAATTCTGCCATGTTCTCGACTTTGACAAGGACGAGCCGCCTGCTAAGTCACCTCTCCATTCTTACGACAAGAATAAAAGGCCAGCGAAGGGTATTCTCATAAACAGAGACATTGCCACTAACAGCCAAGAGACTTGGGTAAAACAAAAAGCGCCCGAAATTTCCGTACATCTTGCAGGCATCGAAATGATGATGGTTTGGGAGACCGGAAAGGAAAAGGTTTGGCTGTCGGTGTATTTCTGGAACGCATTTGCCAACCTTGTTGAAGTTTCAGAACATTGCCGCAACTCTTCGTTTCGACAGGCTCGAGAGATTCAAACAGATCTTTCCCAGTCTTACCATACTGCTCTTGGTCTTGTTAATGAGCTTGAGGTTTTACAAGAAACAGAAGCGCTTGATGAGATTTCAGCTAGAACTCGTATCGCTCAAGCCCGTGATGTTCTTAAGGTCTGCAAGAAGAAGCTTCTAGCTACTAAAACCAAAATTGACCATTTTAGAGAGCGGATGCCGCTGTCAATTTTGGCCCTCGTTCAATTGAAAGACAATGTTCTCTCCTACAGAAAACCTCTTTTGGCGCTTTATGACGTCTATTTAAAGCGGGGAATCCGAGAGGAACGTCTTACTGTGAAAACTGCTGAAGAGAATACCGGAAAGCCCTCTTTTGTTCAAGAGTGCTTGATGTTGGAGCAAACTAGCATTCCCGACTTGGAAGACACTTTACTTGGATATTTGGCTCAGTTGGAAAGTGCTCAGGTTTTACTCAACTACATGGACGATATTCTTTTGCGAAGCTTCTGTCTGCTTGAAAGAGGCTTATGCCTGTTGGATGCTCAGGATAATTGAAAAAATAAAGAATAAAAATAAAAAAAAAAAATAAAAAAAATACAAAAATATAAAAAAATAAAAACAAATATTAAAAATATTAAAAATATTTAAAAAAATGAATATAGCCGTCACAATGTAAGTGCTCTCCAAACTTGTAGATCACTATACTGTGAGCAGATGAAGCTGGAGCCAAATCTACATGTTGATTTTTGTAACAAACGAATCTTATACTTTGATCAGACAAATACGCCCGTATCTATACGCTAACACAAGAATGCTAGATGGAAATGTTACATCTGGAGATCTGCTGTTCCATGCTTGTTATTCTATTCTATATAAGCTCAGTAAGCCTGGCGACATGAATTACCATGCATATTGCTTCCTTACCGTCAAAGGCCAAAAAAAAGCAAATCCTGACAGATGCCCAAAGCCTATACGCCAGACTGTTTCCGGCCTTCAGCTTCCCATTAGTGCGAGATGTACTGGAAGGCAAACGAAATGTCATCAAAGTCTGCCTCTGTTTGAAGAAGCGAGTCTTGGTTTGATTTCAAGGCAGCATGGTTCAAATGGTTCCATGTGGTGGCATCACCGTAAAGCATAGCCGGCGATTTGACTATTTGGCCCTTTTCCTTCGAACAGCGCTTGCAATTGTATGTGTCGTGAGTATCACATGTCGTATCCGGGCGGTACTGGAACAAGAGACGCAAGGCATCTCCACTGAAGATACGCTCCACGTCCTCTTTTGCATCCACGACGCACGAAGACAAGGAGAGTTTCATGGACTGTCTTTGGAAAATCTTTTCCTCGATCGTACCCGTGCACATGAATCTGTATATGAAGCAATCCTTTTTCTGGCCATCTCGCCATACACGGGCCAAGGCCTGCTGGTCGGCAGCAGGATTCCAGTCTGGATCCATAAGAACCAAACGATTGGCACCAATCAAGTTGATACCACACCCACCGGCTTTGGACGATAAGAGGAAGATGAACTCGTTTCCTTCCGGATCGTTGAAGCGGTCGACAATTTTCTGGCGCTTGTTAATTGTCATTGTGCCATCGAGTCGAAGACTGCCGTAGCGTTTATAGCGGCACATTTTTTCAATCAAATCTAGTGTACGGGTATAATTGGAAATCACCACAATCTTGTCGTTCGTTTGGGTGCGGATCTGATGAAGAAAGCGCTCCAAAATGGAGAACTTGGCCGAAAACCACGTCTGGATCTCCCGGCCACGTCCGCCAGCCTCCAGGCTCTGGTAATCGTCCGGAATCAACTTGCGAGATCCTTGAATGTCGTCCGGCAACGACAATAAATCTGGATGCGTGCAGAGTTTCTTGAGCATATCAATTGCTTTCAATGGCTGTGAAGCAATCAACTTGGAGCTGTCGTCGCTGGAGATAAAGTGCTCGTAAAGTGCCCGCTGGAAGGGCGACAACCCGACAAATACAACGTATTCATACTTCACCGGTAAGTACTTGGACAAAATATCATTCGTACGCCGGATAATGAACTTTGACACTGCCTGAGAGAGTTCTGCAAGTTTCTGCTCTCCCTTTTTCACTTCGTCGTCAGTTGCATCGGCGTCTCTCCCCCGCAAAATGGTATTCTCGTAGTTACGGCGAAATTCATTACGCGTGCCGAGATAGCCCGGATTGGCAAAAGTCAAGAGCGAAAAGTACTCGGACAAGTCGTTTTGGATCGGTGTACCACTCAAAATCACACGACGTTCACATCGGAGCGAATTGAGCGCCGTGAATGTAAGCAGGTCGCCGTTTTTGAGCCGGTGGCCTTCGTCCGCTAACATAAGCCCAACTTCGGTACCTGCAAGCTTGTCAGCGTTGCGCCGCAAAGTTTCGTACGAAATGATGAGCACGGGCCGCACGATATTGCGTCCGGAGGCCGTGCACCATTGCTGGAGCGCCTGGCCCAAATCAGCAGACTTTGTGGACTTCCCGTCGACAGCCAAGGGCGTCAACGCGCCAGGGCCAAGCCACTTATCCATCTCGTTGGCCCAGTTCCGCACAAGCGACGACGGGCAGACAATAATGCACTTGTCGATGGTGCGGCGGCCCAGCGGCCCTTGCCGAAGCAACGTCCACATGAGCGCAAGGCACTGGAGTGTTTTGCCCAAGCCCATTTCGTCTGCCATGATGCAGCCCTTGGCACGAGCGTCCACCAAGCCCGATGTGCATCTGTAAAGAAAACGGACACCAGCAACTTGGTGGGGACGAAGAACACGGGCGAGTTTGGGATCAATGACCACGGGGACACGCGTTGACGGTGCGGCAGCGCGGATCCCAAGAATGTCCGCAAGCAGGCGGTGGCGGAAGCGTCTGCGTTTGACGACAGAGGAAGAAGAAGTGGAAGTAGAAGTAGAAGTAGAAGTGGAAGTGGAAGAAGCGTCAGGACTGAGTGTGCCGTCGTGGCTGAGCTCTGTGGAGTCGGAGTCGCTCTCGTAGTCGGACTCGCCTGGATCCGAAGATACTTTGTCGCTCTTTGTCTCTTGTGCCGCGGTGATTTTGGCTCCGCTGTTTTTGGTTTCGTTGTTTTTGGTTTCGTTGCTTTTGGTTTCGTTATTTTTGGTTTCGTCTAGCGCTAGCCGGCTGGCGTGCCACCCGCTCTTGTCTGCCACCGGCTCAGGCTCCACAGTTTCCTCGGTTTCGCCTGGGAAAACATCGACTGTCGGATCGTACAACACGATTGCATATTCGCTTGTCGGGTCATGGAGCGGCCGCGCAGGCAAGACCGCTTTGCGCCGCGTGCCAAGAGGCGGCGGAGGGTCTCTCTCGGTTTCTGGAGCCTTCCCAGGCGCAAACGGAACGTGGAAATGTCGTTTGAGCAAAAGGCTATTGTCTTGCTGGGCGCGCGGAAGCAAGACCCCGCGGCGTTTGCGGGGCTCGTCCGGCTCGAGCGAGCCGTCTTCGGTGTATCGTTTGCCCTGGCGGGCCTTACGATCCGGGCGGGGCGCAGACTGGGCAAACGGCACCTTGAAAGGACGCGAGAGCCGCGTGTCGGCGTCTTTGATGCGGGGCGGGCGGTTTTCTTTGGCAACGCCGGCGCCGGTGCCGAGCGGCGTCGTAAAGCCTGTGAGCGGTTTGCGGACGGCCATGGTTGGACGCGTCAAGACCAGGTTGGTGATCAGGAATGTAGTGGATCTGGACTGGGCAGTCTAAGGAACAAGTGGTTGGACTGGTGATCAGGAGTCTTGGCTGAACAACCAAGGGTCTGAGATTGGTGAACTAGCGCTGAATTAGCGCTGAATTAGTTGAGTTAGCTGAATTAACGGCTGAAGTAAGGACTGAATACTTAACAATTGGTTGGCTGAACAACTGAACAATTAGCGGCTGAATAACTGAACAATTAGCGGCTGAATAACTTAACAATTGGTTGGCTGAACAACTGAACAATTAGCGGCTGAATAACTGAACAATTAGCGGCTGAATAACTTAACAATTGGCGGCTGAATCACTTAACTTAGTTGGAGTTAGTGAAATCAAATGATATGACGACTAATGTATACGCCAAAGAACGCCACCAAAAATGAGTTCAGTGTTTAGATGTTTAGATAGACGCGCGCATCGATTTGCTTCTACACCGATCAGGCTCATCTCTTCTACCCTTCTCTACTTTTCCTCCTCTACTTCCTTTTTCTCTACTTCTCTACTTTCCTTTCCTTTCCTCACTTTTCCCTCTCACTTTTCCTTTCTCTTTCTTCTTCATGGACGACATTCTTGCCAAGGCCAGCAGCCAGGCCATGTCGTTTGCCATCCGGTCGGGCATCTCGCTAGCGCTGGGGTTCGCCATCAAAACCGTGGCCCGCTTTCTCGACAAGATCCCACCGGCAGAGAAAAAACGCATCGAGGCCGCCAACGCCCGGCTCCACCAGAAAACGAAAATCGTGGCCACTGCCATTGATTTGGTGCGGCTTGAGGCCGCGCGCGGCCATTCGGCGCTCGAAGCAACCGTCGACTTGGTTGCCGACTTGAGCGACCAGATTGCACGCTTCGACGAAAACATCGTGCGCCTCGTGGACGCCATGAACAACCTGAACCAAAAGGCCACGATCGTGCAAGTCGAGCGGGCCATCGGCGAGCTTTTGGCCGAGATCAACGACGCCATTCCGCTTCTCAATCTTTCGCTCGTGGCATGCGGCGCCAACTTGGAGGCGGCGCGCGCGCCGCGCTTTTCGCCCGGGCGCCTTCTTCAGGCGGCGGCGCACCTCGAGGCGTGCGACCGCCACTTTGACGGCGCGCGCGACGTCCCGGCGGGGCCGCCTTTTGACCTCACCATGTACACTGTCTTCTACCGGGCGAAGCTGGCAGAAACAAAACAGACAGAAAAAAAACAATTGGAGACAAAACAGTCAAAAGCAAAACAATTGGCGACACAGACAGAAACAAATTCGGAGAAATTTGCAGACCTGGAGTCGGTCGGCCTCACCTGGAAAGAAGAGTATGCGCGCGCATCCGTGCGCCTCGTGCGCCGCCGCGGAGACGCCCGCGCCTACGAGATCGTGGCGGCCGAAGACTTCGACGACGGCCGCTACCACGAGGACGAGCCTGCGCGCCAAAGAAACATCGCCGTGGCCCACATCCGCCGCCAGTTTTTCAGCGCCAGCGGGCGCCTTTTGCGCCTCGAAGGGTCCAACTCGCCCGTGTTGATTTTCAAGGTGGCCGCCGCCGCAGGCGCGCCGCCCGAATACATCGCGTTCGGCGAGGCGCGCTTCGACTCGGACTCGGACTCGGACTCGGACTCAAGCGACTACGAAGATGCCCACGACACGGTCCGGGCCGAACGCAGCACGACATTGTCGCTCTTGCAGTACCTTGTGCGGCTAGCGGCGCTCCAGGAAAACGAGCAAATGTCTGTTTTGGACATCACCGACGAAAAACTCGCCCTCTATTTGCACGACGAAACCGACGGGTCGTTCTACCCGAAAACGTCGGCCGAGCGCGCAAGCGCCGCCGCCGCCGGGCGCGCGCAGAACAGCGCGCTCCAGCTCGACTCGAACATTGCGCGCTTGAAGAACCTTTCGCTCGGGCGAGACTAGGCGGTAACTCTGGCCCGCAAAAGCTGCTGGAGTTGGATTGACTCCATTGGACTTCTAGATGCAACATCAAGGTGAATGTGGGCAGGAAGATATATATGTGCCATTGATTTGCTTAGCTTCTGGAAAGGCGTGTGAAGATACAGAAACGTCGATGGTAATCAGGGAATGGGCCGTATGACTAGTTCAGCTACATGGTAAAAGGCACTGGCTTCGCTTTGGCTTCGCTTTGGCTTTGCTTTTCTGCGTACACTCTCATTGTGTTCTCATTGATCCTTAAACCGAGCATGAATGTAGTTGCCAGTTCCGACTCCATGCTAGTTTGTCTCACCAAAGAAGCCTTATCATAAACCCTGGATCTGCATCTTCAACTGGTTTTGATTTGCCTGAGTTGGCGTTCCATCTTATTTTAGAAGATGAATTTATGCTCTTGGCACGAGCCAGTATAAAGATGGAGAATACCTTTGGATATATCTTCCATTGAAAGATATATTTAATTGTCATGTTGCCAGCGCTGTCTTTGACAAGTATGTATTACTATGGCTGGTGTTCTTACCACATACTTGTTCAATGCCATTTTTTCCTCCACATTCAAGCTTATTCTGGCGAGAGTGAAACCAGACAACCTTTTGTGAATGTACCTACATCGCCATCAATCTTGAACCTAGAATATTATCCATGTACTTTCTCGTTGCATGGCTTTTTCTATTGGAAAGAAGTTACACATTGCAAAGAGTTTACAGTGGCATGTTGGATATGTATGTCCATTCAGAATATATAACCCATGAACTATGCCCAGGGAATCCATTTACATAACAAATGAATTAGCTCAATGGTATCCAGTCCGTTCATGGATGTATCTCTATTCTATTCAATAATAATAAAAAATAGTAACCATCACATGTCTGCTAGCAGCATATGCAATGTTACTTTACATATTAACTCGTCGCTTTCGATTTCCAAAAAACAAATATTCAAGCGCACCTACCACCATACCTTAACAAACTCTACTTTTACCATTATGTGACTTTATTGATACAAAATACAGACGGTCGTTTAACATTCCCAAATCATGATTAGAGTTTCATAATCTGCGGCCTAATCTTGGATTGAACAAGCACTTTAGAAGTGCCAACAATATTTTCATCTTTTGTTTTCTTGACCAGGTTATAAGCAATCATTGCGTTTCCCGAGTCGTGTTCTATCACTTCATTTTCAAGTTGTAGATTGCACCACTGAATCCACACTTGATCAATTAAGCAGCAGCCACCTTTTCAAAGAAAGGTTATGGGCGTAGCCTTGCACTAGAGTACCCTTTTCCGTTAGGTAATGGTCATCGACCACATCATGATGAATAGTGCTTGATTAAATATGTATGCATGAGCACCTAAGCGTGCTTTACCGGGTTGACAAATTCCAGAAACATTGGAATGGAAGTTGCCTCCAGAAACTCGGCCAAGCTCAAGCCAGGATTATTCGCCAAGAGAGTAGCCAACGTCTCATCACGCGGCTTGACCTTATGCTCCAAGTCCTCTTCATTCTTCACGTCTTCCTCCACCTGGCGGAGCCCAGTGTCGTTTTTGAATGCGCCCTGCTCGGACGAGGGCGAAAAGTGCCGCGGCGAGCCCTCGGTGTCAGACGACGTGACATGCGGCGCCACGGAATGTTCCTTGGTCAAGTGACCATGGTTGTGGCTGTGGATGAACTGCGTCATGGAAAGCGAAGTTTTGCGTCGCGATTGCAGTGGCTGTCGGGAAGGAAGCGACAGTTGTGGCGTGGTGGTACCCATGTGCATATTGCGCGAGAGCTCGTCATAATCATTGAGTACCGAAAACAGATGACCGTCCGTAACACCCGACGAGTCATAGTACCCATTGAAATCATCAGACGAGTTGTTTTCCGTCGCCTGGTACGGCGGGAACGCCGTCGTGCTTGCCAGCTTGCTAATGCCAGGGTGGGTCAGCTCCAACAAGTTTTGCTTGCTGGTGTTGGAAGACGTCGACGTAATAGACAACAGGCTCTCAGGGCGGCGCGGGCGTGCGCCATGAGCATATGAGTTGAACGAGGCCGAGGCCTTTAACGGCCGGGGCTGGTATGGCGCCTGACTGGCGAGCGACGCAGAAGAAGCATGGGCATGGCTACTGAGTTGGCTGGTACTAGAATGGAGCGGAGTACTCTGGTAGTTGCTAGCATTCAATCCCAATTGGCTGGAGTTGGCCTGGTTAGAATGGGCCTGGTTGGAACCAGTTGCATGCCCATTGAGATTGAAGGTAGATTGGTTGGCCGTGCCGTTCTGGCCGTTGGGACCATTGTGGCCAAGTTTGGTCTGGCTACCGTTGGCACTGTGGCTACCGTTGATCTGGCTAGTGCTGCCACTGAGTTGGATAGTGCTCCCGAGGAGGCCACCGGCCAGCCGGTCGTCAGGCAATGGCAGCAAGGGCAACGACTTGGAATTGTCAAACAGGCAGTTGCCCACGAGGGGAAAGAGCGGAAACATGTTTTCCATGAGATCCAACTCTGCATCTGAGGGCGGCTCTGGGAAGCTAGGGTCGCTCTGGTGGTGCACGTAGCTGTGGTCCAAGGACGCCAAGCCCTTGTCAGCCAAGTCTTCCGGTTTGGTGCCAAAGAAGTCCAACAAGCCCTGGTCGGTCTCGAACGGCATGACCACATCCTCAATGAGGAAGCCCAGGCCGGCAGCGGCGCGCTCGGCCTCCGTTTCGTCGTTGGGTCCAGACACCAGGGGCTTCTTTGGACGCGCCTTCTTGTCCTTGCTGGGACACGTGCAGTGGGAGTTTTTGTGGCACAAACACGATGCCAAATGCTGTCCGGGCGACTTGCCCTTTTTGCCGCAGTTACAGCTCGAGTGGGTGTTTTTCAATTTGCGCTGCTCGCGGCAGTGGGGACACTGCGACGCCGGGCGGCCCTTGGGCTTGATCATGGTCAAGGGTTTGTCCGTGTGTGTACATGAGCTGACACGGTGGCCACGGATACAGCGCTCGCATGCGTACTTGACGCCGTTCAAAAGCACCATGCTGCAAAAGCTAAAGGGGCTTCAGATGAGTCAGTAGCAAAAGAAGATGCGGTGAAAACGACAGCTCCTTGGAATCGAAGGACAATTATAGGACCTTGTAGTGACTGGCCTTGACAATAGTGGCAGGGGCGAAAACACCAGACTCGAATAAAAGCGAGTAGTCAACAACGGCAGAGAAACCGGACTGGGACCGAATGGCTTGTCCAAGAAAATTAAAAGAAACACCAGTACGGAGGCGCTAGCAGGAAGTTCGCAAAACGAAAGCAGGCTAGGTCCGAGAAAAAGTCACCGTTGGTTGGCAAAGGGGCCAGACGGGTCAAATCAAATAGCGGGGCGCCCAAAAAACAGAGAGCAGGAAAAGCTCGGGGCCGAAAGTCAGCAGATGCAGAACGCGGAGACGGAAATGCGGCCTGGCCCGAACGGAGAGAGCACGATGGAAAAAAGTTTGTGGTTTAAAGCCTTTGAGTAAGAGACTGGCGCTGGTGATGTCCAGAAAATTCTCGGGTGGGAAGTCGTGCCGAGGCGAAAAAAACAATACCTGCTCCGTTCGAGACCTGGCTCCTGCAGACAGGGTAGGGGTCACATGTGCGGCTAAGAGGAACGGACGGCAAATGCTGTCACGCGGAATCGCAGTCGGAAGGGCAGTGCCCTGGGAAAATGGGCCAGCCAGCAAAACACCCGTGCCTTTTCTTCGTTTCGGCTTTGGCCCGGCAACTTTGCCTTTTTCGGCTCTTTGGTGCCTCCGGGCCCTTTTGGCTTGCCCTTTTTTTCTCGGCTTGGCTATCGGAGTCTACTTGCTTTGTTGTGCACACACGAGATCTGCCTGCTGTGGCTTAACCTAATGCGCATGGGCTCCTGCAGCCAAACGCATAACGTCTCGCTGTTTGGCAAACGGTTAAAACTTCAAACTTCAGACTTCAACCTTCAAACTTCAGATTTCAAACTTCAAAACTTCAAAGACGTCCTCGAAGTTGCCTTTTTTTGAAGTTTCCAGAATTTAGGGCTAGCAAGAGTGTTGTTCAGGTCAGAGCGTTTTGTCTGAATTGGATCTCATTTGTGCATGCTCGCTCTTGGACGAAATTGCACTTGTCACCCGATGTACCCTTTTGTTCTGAAAACAAGTCGTAACTTTCAATCTCTGGATGTGTAAGAGTTGACTAAGGCTGTATTATCTCGTGCTCGGGCATTTTTCTCTTGATTGTAATCTCGAACTATACCAGCCGCATTCATTTATATCGAGCACTAAGGTTTTATCCCGACTGCTAAGAGGCTAAGTGTTAGTACTTTCAAAAGGGTCCAGCATGTTTTTGGCCGAAGTGTGCATTTGTAAAACGCAGGGCCAATCAATGTCAGTTTGTCTAATTCAGTTGAATAACTAGATCTACAGTTGTCCAAACTCAATCGTAACATTTGCTTCAAGTGCGCGTGAATACTACTAATATTCATCATAACATTCTACTATGTGAGTTCGCTCATATCATTGATCGTAAAAACTAATAATAAACTCTCTTACCCTTTGTTAGTTGGCTGGTCTTGGCGTGACATCTTCATCTTTTGACCTTCCTTACTCTTCAGCACAAATCTTCGTAGAATTTCTGAGGGTCTCTTATTTAATTTTCGAGAATACTGAACTCGCCAGTTACGCTGCATCCTATGGTGGCCGAAAAGACTCCCAAGCTTCCACTTTTTTGTGTTGATTGTCTAGTCGACAATAGTGGTGTCGTATTATAACGCTTCTCAAAAATGTACTCTGCATCGAAAGGGTTAAAGTTTCTGTCTGGTTGGCTCTGACAATTTCCATTATCTAAGTACTTGCAAGTGGTTAAGCATGTGGCTACAACCGTTCTAAAATATTTCGCTTCATATAATCGAATCTGGCATCGTCATGTTATACATTTCGGTCTCAAGCATTGCAATTGTCTGTTCCAGCCTTATGCTGCCTACCCTGATGTACTTAGGGGCATACTAAAGAAGAGAAGCTTGAATATGAAAATGAGTAGTTACATCACTGTACTTGTATTGAATAAAACCGAACGATGAAGAAGATGAGACAGTCCAATCTCGGACAGGATACATTAGAGTAGCCACAGGAAAAATAAACCTTTCCATGACTTCTCGTTAGGCTCTAACTTATTCATGATTCCGTATAGCCACTGCCTTGTACGACTGTCTTCTTGTTTTGTTCACTCTTCGTGACTAGACACACATCCTAGCTCAAAAGTCGTCATGATCTATAGCCCCGTCAACAAAAGATTACCTTCTGCTTCAGATGCATTTAGCCCACAATCAAAAAAAGGAAAGTAATAAAGAGTAAGCTTTTTATTAGACTACGACCAGAAATTCTTGGATTAATACTCTTAAAGAAGGTAGGAGAACAGCATCTCAGAGCGTTGTACGGAACCAAAAGTTTACATTTATTACAAATAGCTGAAATTAAGGCTGAGGGTACAAAAATGCAAAACTGTGTATCACTCCCAATACATCATAAGTAGAAAAGCAGTTTTAATTTGCATAAAATTCTCTACGTACGGTCTTCTTCTGAACCTGTTTCCATTTGAGGAATGCAGAAGGGTAAATCTTGCAAACTTCAATTAATAGAATAGAGACCACAAATTCTAAGTACGACTACAATATGCAACCAAATTAGTCCACTCCAGACTTTTAGGTATGAGGAACAGAGCATTGAATTCGCTCTTATTCGGGCAGTTTCAAAAGAACGCTTCAAAAGCTTTCGGTTCGGTCATATCACCAAGTTTGGAAAACTCGTCACAATACTAAAACATTGTTCTAGAGCTCAAGTGGCTTTTACGAAGTTAAACATTGGCACGACAGTGATAGATCAACAAAGGAATGCTATCGCTGTTTCAATTGGAGCAAGCTAACTAAGCCAACTGTGAGAGATGTATTAAGGACGCCAAGTTCATCGAAATGCTTACTGAATCGCGTCCAGCCAGCGAAATGTCCCCGTTCTATTTCTTTTCTTTCGTGTAGCGGCGCTTGGTATTTGAGCTACACTTTCATAGCCTTAGAGTTTTTTTTTTATTATTATTTTTGGCTTTTTCTCATTTGAGTCGGCAGGATTTAATTCTAGCCACCCATACGAAGAAAAGGTGTTGTAACGAAGAGTTCATAGTAATTATGGCTTCAGTATGGAAAATCTCATATCGACATTCGTTATTGTCACTATCTTCTAATTTGGCATTGGTTTCGCTTACAGCACTGGCTCTGTTACTCTCAAGCCGGCTAAAAAATATTTACTTTCAAGGAGACCTTCATTAAAATGCTATTTAAGCTTTAATCTTGTTTTTCAAAAGGTTAGTGGGTATTTCAGAACTTGCACCCTCATAAAGCTACTGCTTCCAATTGAGGATCATCTATGCCCTTTGATACTTCGATTTCTTAAAGTAGATTCGAACGACTTCAATACGTGTGATTTTCGATCAGCCGTCGAACAATGCAAGTAATTTTTCATGCAAGTATTTTTATTCATGCGGTGGCCGTTTTTTTAACCATGAGGGAAAAAGGTGTTTGTCAAACTGCCACTGTATCGAATAGTCATCATAGAGTTTCAGCCACATCTAAGCCTTGAAACTTTTTCGATGCCCCATCCGGTTTTCTCTTTCTTATCATTTGTAGGGTTACATCAATCATGTCAGTGGGTTAACGCTTTCTTAGATCTATAAGTTTGTACGTTGGTTTGGAAAGTTAACGTTACCCATGTAGTACTTGTTCAGATCGCTAATGTCCTCCAGCATCTCGTAGAAGTTGACATTCATTTCTTGGCGAGCAGACTGTGCGTAGTACATACCAATGTCTTCAAAAATGAAAATCAACATGGTAATCCACATCAACAAACCATCCAAGGTGTAAAGGAAAACTTCGTGGGAGATGACGTAACCATCGTTACCTTGAAGATACTCAATCAAACGCACAATGGAACGGATGAAAATCAAAACCGAGCATGTACTAAGAGTAACAATGACCATTTGCCAGTTTCTTTTTCTGGAAGGGAACGTTCTGAGGCTCAAGGAGAGCGGCGTTGGGTTTCTCATGATTCTGACTTGGAAAATGGTCAAGGCAATGATGAAAAGGCCGAAAAAGGCAATCTGGATGAACAAACCCACGATAATCAACTTTTCTCCCAAGTGCACCATGTCAAGACTGCCGCCTGACTGGGCACCTCCACCGCCACCTTGCAAAACGAAAGGAAAGAACGTCACCCACCACGAAAATCTTTGTGAGCCAATTCACACGAATCACAGACTGGTGCTGGGCGTTCAACTGGACAATGATTCTGGCCAATGTCATGTAGATTGTAGCAGCAAACAAGGCAGGCGCAACCAATAACAAAATCGCCTGGATAATGTATGGGCCCAAAGCCTGTGTGTCGTTGTGGGAGGCGGCTCTTCCAATGTAACCGATGACTTCAAAAAGGCCACCCAAGATGAAGGGGATCATCGAGCAAATGCGTCTTCTGGCACCGGTATTGGCAGGAGCCTTGACAAGCGCTCTGATGAACTGGACAAACGTCACCAAAGTGGCGACTATGAAAAGAACAACGGCCACAATGGCAAGGACTTTCGAAGGTGTGTACCTGTACGCCTTCCAAACGTAAGTGTTTGCATCTGTGGTGTTATTGGACATTGGTGAGAAAAAAAAACTTGTCGCCTACACTTGGCGAACGGCCGTCTAGATATCTTGTAAGATCAAGGCGCATGTGTGCTCATCGGCGTCGGACATAAACGGTGCTAAGCGGATACATGAACAACTCCTGGATATACTAGCACGGCAAGGCTGTGCAAACATAAACAAGAAAACGCGGCTATCTCGAAACTGCGCCTCGAGCAGAAGCTGGAACGGCTTCGGTATTGAGGGCTTTATTTCTTCTTCGGGCTGCGCGGCCATTTTCAGTTATCGTGACGCCTTTTGTTATCGTGACCTTTTATTTTTTTTGGGGGGGTCATGGCTTTTTTTCTTCTGTTCTATTTATTTTTGGTCTCATGAACCTTCGTGTTTCTTGTCATAATAATACAGGAGAGAAGGCGTGTTGAGAATCCTACCCCCATGCACTATGCAGTACTCCAGAACAATTTCATGGTTATGGTCATCGTACAGAAGATGAAACTGCAGGGATACACATGGTACCCCGTAATGTTTCAAGGAGGTTTCCCCAGTGTTCTCACACATATGTAACATTGCGTGTTCGTTTTCTCTGGGTTAGTCAAGTCACTGCACAAAGCATTGAAAAGACATCACATCCTGCAGATACATCGACACGGTTCCATTACAGTTAGCAATAAGCTTAAAGGGTAGACGCCATATAAATGGCACGGGCTTTACGTAAATGTTACGGGCTTTCCATAAATGTTACGGGCTTTCCACCAAGTGGCCTTTTTCTTTTGGGTACAAAGAACATCACGAAGAAAGTATGGCGTCTATGGTTACGTAATGGAACTACAGCCGCACGAGAAAGCAGCGGCTGTATGCAGACCGCATGCTAGGCCTACTTTTTACCTATTCAGATATATCTCTAGATCAAGTATCTAGATCAAGATATCTAGATCAAGATGTCTAAGTCAAGATGTATCTAGATCAAGATGTCTATCTTTGTTAATCTCACATAAGAGGAAGCCGATCCACTCATTTATACTGCAAGTATTCGGCTTGGTTAAATACAGACGTAAACAGTTTGGTTTTACTTCAGATAATTCCTGCCGGCAGGGGAAATAGGACTTCTCAGTTCTCAACTCACCAGTATACTTTGGAAGTCATAGTCCACGTAAAAAAGAAAATAGTCGCAAGCAGGCTGGTGCCACAATTAAGGCAATTGATACTTCAGTAGTATACTGTTAGGCCCACAATACATTGGTAGTGTACGTTCTACTAGATTCTTGTTTCCTGGCTCCCAGCTACAACAGGAGCCAGGCTCTTATATTAAATGGGCGTACGAGTCTTATCTCATACGGCAAAGCTTAGCAGTAAACCGAGCCAGATAGGCATTGTGGCTTGCCTGGAGGTTACAATAGTCGGGAACTGAAATACGCCCAGACACCAGGCTTGTAATTAACCCTTCAACTTGATTTTTGCCTTGTTTCGCTTCGATTGACCGCTTGAACTTGTATTTTGCATATTTTCTCCCAGCGAAGTGCACTCTCATTTTTCCCCGTATTCCTAATTTTCACTGAACGTTCTGAATTCCGCCGCTTGTCTCCGGAATGGTCAACCTAACATCAACAAATACAAATATTTGCAATTATTTCAGATTTCGGCAATTTCAAGAAATCATGCAAGGTTATGCAATTCTCTACCATGAAATTTCTCTCCCAAAGAAAGCAGACTACAAACAAAAAGCTATTGCACCAATTGTTGTGCGTGAAAATCGTCTTTCCCCACTAAACTGGTACATCAAATACGAACACTAAAACCTTAACTTAGATGTCAAAAATCTCAAAATTTTGAAACCAAAACACTCATATACACTGCCAGTTGCACCTTTCATCAAATCTGCCAAATGACTCATATTTTCTTTTATTGACTGTGTTTCATACAAGATTTTTGCCAGGGAACAGATTTGAAATCGTGCACACTGTATGCAGTCTGCCGAATGCGCCGCAGCTTCACACGGCTAAGGTGCATAGCGACAAATGTAGCTTGGTAAGCCAAAACCAGCCGCAAGCGAAAGGAGACTTTTTTTCGCAAAAATGGTCCTTATCTTTTGGAAACCGTCTTAACTGGGGAACCCGATCCGTCATCAATGGACGCGTCAGATTCTCCGCTGGCGCATCTATGGGAATACTGCCAGTTTAATTTCTTGGTCCTGCACACAGTACGCGTTCCGGGATTCTATCCCAGTGCCTACAAACTTGTTTAAAATATGTCCAGAGATTTTCCTACTCTATTTTCCTATTCGTGTTTCCGTGATCCTATAGTAAGCGGGTCAGCATCTTGCTCTAGTGTTTACATTTTCTCTTTTCTTTTTCCTCTGCCCGATTTGGCTTTAGGCTCTAGTACTTTCGTAGTGAATACAAAGCGCGCGAACAGACAAGACTGCGCCAACCACAAAACTGCGCCAACCACAATCTATGTGGGTCCCATTGGGAACTTTCACTATTCTCAATTGCTTGGAAAAAGAAAACATTTCGAATGGCACAAGTAAGGAAAAGAGCTAGAAGGACGTTGGTCTGCATGAACTGCCGTCGGAACAAAAGCAAATGCGACAGAAACCATCCATGTTCTCGGTGTATCAAAAGTGGCTTACAAGCCTCATGCGTTTACGAAGATTCTCCGCCTTTCATCAGAGACTCTCCTCCAAACGACTCGGGAGCCTTGTCTTCTGATGGCAGGGACACCTTGACGGTCGACAAAAGCATACTCGAGAGTCTTTTGAAGAGAGTCGAGTCGGTCGAATCAAATTTGAGAGCGCTGCCTGTCACGAGCTACAGAAGAAGTAGTCTTCTCCTGCTGCCGCAGGCGGGGTTTTCCAGCGATAAAAGTTTGGTTTTCAATTTGCGGAGGGCCCTTAATACGAATGCATTGGGAGAATTCAAATCAAACAGATGGAGAGGAATGTTGTGGCAGTTTGTCATGGTTTATGGAGATCCCTCCTTCAACATAATGCGAGACTTTTCAGCCCATTCGGATCCGCTACATTTCTCCTTTTTTTCCATCTACGAAGACGATTTAACCTTGCTGGAAATCCCACTTGACCAGCTCGATGACTTGTCTCAAAAATACTTTGGCCGGTTTCACATCAGAAGACTCCTGCCTAACCCAATGCCAAGTGACATCACCGACTTGATGCATCAGATTTCTATCCAAAAAATTAATCCCGGAGTATGCTACAATCCGACCCTGACTTGGAGAAATCATACTCTACTTGATCAAATTAGGGAACTAATGCCTCCATATTTGCACACAAGAGAAATCGTCCGACTCTTCTTCAAGTTGCAATTGCCAGGTTACCAGTTCTGTGTACCAAATATCATCTATTCCTCCTTGGAACGTATTTTTAATATTGACAACGACCTCCTTCGCGACAAGGTCACGATAACTTCCTCATCGGATGTGGCTGTTATAGCATGTGTGTTTCTAATGATTCGCATCACCACTTACTCGTTAACAAATCCATATAACGGCGTTTCGATACCTAATCTGAGCGCGCCCAACCTCGGCTTTTTAGGGACAATTAGAAGTACGATTGATTTGGTTGAACTCGCAGAAAAACTTGTTCATGAGCTCGAGCCAAAAGTGGATGTGAACTTTCAGGTATTTCAAGCAGTTTCGCTTTTGTTTGTCTACCGTCTAATATGTCCTGAAGGTGATCAATTCAGGGAATCTGGTGATGTAGGTGCATATTTTTCCGAAATTGTTTACTTGTCTAAAGCTCTCGGTTTCAATGAAGTCCAAGTTTGTTGCCAGGAAGCAAACAATATCAAGGAGTCTGAAAATGTTCCCGACTATTATAAACAGCGAACGTGGATGTTATTGCTCGTGTTAGACTGTTTCTTGGCTTGTTTTTTTGGTACCAACTTAGCAATTCGTCATGATGAGTGTGATTTTTCTGTTATTCTCCAAAACGGTACCTATTGGAGCGAACAGGACGATATATCCCAAGTGCTTTTCAAGATGATGCCTCTTTGCAAACTTGCGCATGAAATATGTGAAAAGGTGTTTCAGCTCAGTTCTCTATGTCCTGTTTCTGAACTCATTGAGGATTTGAATAATCTTGAGACGCTCATTTTTGATACCTTTGGCGGGATAACCCGATTCTTTGAGAAAACAAGCTCGTTAAGCTTTCGTCGCAGAGCCACTTACATGAATCTTGCTGTGCTTTTCCTTTGCTTCTACCTGTGTCTCTGTTATTCCCTATACGTTTATTTTGAGACCAACGGCAATTTTGACTTAAGCTCCTTTTACAGTCGAAAGTTCTTAACGACCGTATTTGGTACCTTGGGCTTCATTCAGAAAGGTTTGTTGATCACTTGTGAGACTTTTTTTGGGTATGCTTCATGGCCATATTTTTCACCAATCGTGTTAATATGTAATAAGTTGCACCTTTTGGCGATTCTGGTGAGAATAAGGTTCGCATCTACATTGCGAGACCACGATTCGAAATACGACAATAATGCCAAAAAGTCCATAAAGGTGATTCTTTCAAAGCTTCTGGGCTACGAAGAACAGAGTGTTGGGTTCGCAGCCTATTTCGGACAGTATCAGAACAATGCATGGTGGAATTTCAAAAGTTTCCGATTTGGTCAACACGTTATAACTAAGTTGGAGAGTTCCGAACAATATTTGGCGTTGTGTTCTAAAGCACGGGTGCGATTTTCCCTGGAAGAAATCCAGCGCTGGGAAGAAGATTTACACGAAATAGATAAGCAGGCCGAGTTTTACCGTTCTGTCTTTCAGGCGGAGAAAACCAACATCGCATTACCCCATTTCTCCGTTCTTGACATTTTTCATATGGACAACTACTGGTATGGAGTCAACTGTGTGAGATTGTATTTCAAGGATGCAAAGTTCAACTCGATGTTTACCGAATCGCAGCCCGCAGGCGAAAAGCCGTCTCAATTCTACTACGAGTCGGACGTCTTTGGAGAGTTTCCTTTTGTTTAATTACAAGACATATTCATGTCCCTGAGCATTAATTTCCAACCCCATACTTGGGGACATTTGCGAGTCTTGGCTATAGAAGGGATATTTTTCCATGTATCTACTTCTTAGGAATGGAGAGTTCTTGAATTCATTTGGCACTGGACGTTGTGATTAACAACGTTTCTGACACATGACTTCGTCTACAGATGATTTTAAGCTGGCTCGAGGTAAAGTCTTCATTTGTACATAGCAAAAACTTGGCCGACATCGGGCTTCGCCGTGCACCACGCCGGCCTTGCAAGGGCCCGATTGCTTGACCTTTTCGCCCAGGGACACGTGCATCTTGCATCAGGTGTGGTTTTATGAAACGGCTTTCAAAAGCACCTCGTTACTTTCTTTTTTTTTTTTTTTTTCTCTTGCTTTTTTAATTCAGTCCATTTCCTTGCTTCAATGTAACTCACCACGTTGGTGGCTACCAATTGCGCATATGTACGTTGGTTAAAAACAAGAAAACTTTTGGCATTGTTAGTGACATCACGGGGCGAAAAAGAAACGGTCATTCCATTGTTCCAAGTTCTGTTTCTTGCTTTTAAGCTATTGTGGCAACGATCTTGCGGCTGAAACGTAGGCAGACAGGTGCAAAGATACACGTTTCCGATGAGTACTTGAATTGCTCTTCCCTTTTGCTAAGCAATATCAACAATAGAGCCGCTGCCACATGCAGAGCTACATGAATTCACTTTCGTTGGTAAATGCTTTGATGCGTCTATAAACTTTGCTGAGATGAAAGGAAGGACATGAAATTAGGGTTGGTTCACCAATGGAGCACTGACCATGTTGTATTTGCTCAGGTCATTGATGTACTCCAGCATTTCGTAAGAGTTGGAGTCGTCTTCTTGGCGAGCCGACTGGGCATAGTAGTAGCCAATGTCTTCCAAGTTGAAAACGATCATGTTGAACAACATCATCAAGCCATCCAAGGTGTAAAGGAAAGCTTCGTGGGAAATGATGAAACCATGGTTACCTTGAAGGTACTCAACGACACGAACAATGGAACGGATGAAGATTAAAATCGAACACACAATAAGGGTGATGATAACCATCTGCCAGTTTCTCTTGTTGGATGGGAAATTCCTGAGGCTCAAGGAGTGCGAGGTTGGGTTTTTGTTGATTCTGACTTGGAAAATGGTCAAGGCAACGATGAAAAGACCGAAAAAGGCAATCTGGATGAACAAACCCACGATAATCAACTTTTCTCCCAAGTGCAACATATCGAGGGAGCCACCAGATTGCACACCACCACCGGCAGCTTGCAAAAGAAACGACAAGACATCACCGCAGACGAAAATCTTGGTGAGATACTTGACAGGAACCACAGACTGGTGCTGGGCGTTCAACTGGACAATGATTCTGGCCAACGTCATGTAAATGGAAGCGGCAAACAAGGCAGGGGCAACCAATAACAAAATCGCCTGGATAATGTATGGGCCCAAAGCCTGTGTGTCGTTGTGGGAGGCGGCTCTTCCAATGTAACCGATGATTTCAAAAAATCCACCCACTATGAACGGAATGATAGAGCAAATGCGTCTTCTGGCACCGGTATTGGCAGGAGCCTTGACAAGGGCTCTGATGAATTGGACACAAGTCATCAATGTAGCAAGGGCGAAAAGCACAATGGCCACGATGGCAAGAACTTGCGAAGGCACGTACTGGTACGCCTTCCATGTATAGGTGTTTGAGCTTGTCGTGTTATTGGTGGACATTGGTGGGAAAAAAAGCTGTGGTAAAGGAAAAGTTGTTGGTTCTCGCTTTAAATATTTCATATACCCTGAGAGGCGCAGGTCGGCACTCATCGGGTCTAGTCGGACATAGCCGGTGATAAGCGGAGTTGGCAGGAGATTGCTGGATTTACCAGGACATAGACGGTGAGGCTGTGCGCGCGCCCATGCAAAAATTATCGGTGCGCATCTCGGTGCTGCACCATGACCAGATTGTTTGTACGCCGTGCCCATTTCTGTCTTGCTTGTTTCTTTTTTCCGTTTTCTCCGTCCTGTGGTGATTCTGGTAACTTTGTTTTCTTTGTCGCGGTCATTTGTCGTCATCGCCCGACTCAGCCTTACGTTGTAAGATTGTGGCGCCGGCTAGTGTGGGGGTACAAACCTGCAGATACTGCCCGAACGGCTCTACTATTTCACACTTTAAGTGGAGCAGCACGATAAGCCGTATTATTAGCCCACGCAGTCTTGTGAAGCAGCGTCTCTGGTGGCACTTCTCTTGCCTCTGGATGTATGGGCCGGATGTGCCACTTGGCAGAATCATTCACTGGCTGATTTATTAATTAGAAGAAGCAGAATTGTTCAGCCGTATTTGGACGTGCTGGTGTGCAGGAGGTGATTTGGCCCAGCATTTCTGACGAGATGACGTGGAAAATAAATTGAGAAACATTAAATGAGGTATGCTACATGCCTGCCCACGTGAATTTTCATTCATGCTGTAGGATAACTGGTGGAACCAGAAGCGAGCCTCCTGACGTGGTCGAACCAGAAGCGAGCCTCCTGACATGGTCGCCCACAGTGAAGACCCTTTATTTTTTTTTTTTTTTTCTTTTTTTTTTTTTCCGTGATTTTTCCAACAGCTCCATATAACGCGTCAAATTGCTTGTCATTGTGCGGTTGAATTCTTCAGGCGCAATTAAAAGGAGGCGCGGTGTACAGAGCGAAGGCTTTTTTGCGATGTACAGGGCGACGGCTTAAGCGCCCCGCACACAATTTTCCGCGAGATTATGCACGCGGCCGACCAAAAATTCGGCCAGCCTATTTCGCTCAAATAGGTAAAGTAGCCGTCGCATCGAAGTCTGCTTGTTTATACTGTTTTGCTCATGGAATATCTGTGCGATCCATTTGGTGTTTCTACACCGGGCGAAGCCTGGTGTTGTAATCGCCTCAACTTGTATTTGCATCGCCTGAATTTTGATTTTTTTGCTCATTCTCGCCTGGATTGGCGCCAGTAATTGACTTGGTCTATCAGCGAAGAGCAGTCATGTACTCGTGTAAACGTTCATGACAAGTCAAAGCGATAGAGAGTAATCAGAGTTCCAGAACGGACTCTAGCTTTATAAGAAGATGCGAGTGATAAGTGTTCTAGTAATCTGCTGATGCTGTCTGTCTTGCAGTCTCTTTTATTAATGGTATACATCTCTACTTTAAAGGACTGACTTCTCTACGTTAATGGGCATGTTGTTCCACTAGCAGATCTACTGTTGCCGCAGTAGAAACATGAAATCTGAATTGCTCAAATAGTGTCAGAAACACCTAGAATTTTTTTTGATTGCACTGCTTTTTGCATTCCAGAAAACACTAATATCTTCATACCTCAGTCTTGTGCGCAAGACTATAGGAATAAATTAACCGCGAAACCAGGCCAAATAGTTCAATCAGATAACTCCTCTAGCCATCAAGACATCATGATTAATCTTGACAAATTACCTATCTACAGGCTTGACTGATATATCAATGTTAGAGCACTCAACAGTCTACAAATCTACACCAACACAGCCAGCTATAAGACCGAACAAGTAACAGGCTTCATAAATATTCAACAGAAAGTCCAATCAGCCTATACGATTTCTGTGTCTTTTCGGATACAGGTTCCGCGGACTACCTTTTCATACCGAAAAGTCTTGATGAAGGTATTGGCTCATCGATTTTCACAATACGGCATTTCATTGCCAAAATATCGCAAATAATAGAAAATTTACTTTACCTGAGGTGCGATCTTAAATATTGATGTCAGCTCGACCCTTACATGCCTGTTTCTGCCCCTCCGCAAAACTGGAGTAGTTTTCCGCACCCGTACCTCCCATGTCGGGGTATCTATTGATTACCCAGTTTTATTTTTCCCCGGCTGTGAGTGGCTGACTATATGCATTCCACCCCACACTGGCTTATCGGCCTATTCTCGGTGACTAACGAATTCTTGTTTCTTTCCATTCAACATGCTTTCTTACGACGAGGTCGGAAAACACAACCAGAAATCAGACTGCTGGGTCATTGTCCATGGAAAAGTCTATGACGTCACTTCTTTTCTTGATCAGCACCCAGGCGGATCTGCCATCATCTTGAAATACGCTGGTAAAGATGCCACCAAGGCCTTTGACCCGATCCATCCGAGCGACACCTTGACCAAATACTTGCCTCAAGAGTTCCACCTTGGACCGGTCGATCCAAACACAAAACGGAAAAAGGCCAAAGGATCTGCAAATGCAAAAGAATCTACTAGTAAAACAGAATCGGTAAAAGCCAATGTGCCTTTACCTGAAAACGGTTCTGTTGTTGATGCGTATGACGTGGAATATGATGAGCAGGAAAATAAGTTGCCAATTCCAGTTTCAGCTGCAGCCGAAGATGCAACTCCACAAGGCGAATTTGAAAACGATGATGATGACGACGACGACCCTCCATCTGAAGAGGAATTGCAGAGACGGAAGATGGTTTCTTTGAAGCCTGACCTTGGCCAAATCTACAACTTGCATGACTTTGAGTTTGTGGCGCGTGAAACAATGGAAAGAACAGCATGGGCCTATTACTCTTCTGGTGCAGACGACGAAATTGCTTTACGGAATAATCATTTGGCTTATCAGAAGGTGTTCTTCAAGCCAAAAGTCCTTGTTGATGTTTCGCTGATTGACTTGTCCACGACAATGTTGGGGACGGCCACCTCTGTCCCATTTTACATCACCGCTACTGCTTTAGGAAAGTTGGGCCATCCAGACGGAGAAAAAGTTCTCACAAGAGCCGCTGCCAGGCAAGATGTGATTCAGATGATTCCTACCTTGGCCTCATGCTCGTTTGATGAGATTGTGGACCAGGCAGACGGGAAGCAAACCCAGTGGTTCCAGCTCTATGTCAATTCAGACAGACAAGTGACTGAAGATTTGGTGCGCCATGCGGAGAAACGCGGAGTGAAGGGTCTCTTCATCACTGTGGATGCTCCACAATTGGGCAGAAGAGAAAAGGACATGAGACTGAAAAACGTCGAGGATTTGAGTCACGTTCAGGGCGACGGAGAGGACGTGGACCGCAGTCATGGTGCCGCACGGGCCATTTCTTCCTTCATCGACACATCGCTCAACTGGGATGATCTCAAGTGGTTCCGCTCCATTACCAAGATGCCCATTGTTCTCAAGGGTGTGCAGTCTGTGGAAGATACATTGAAAGCGATAGACTTCGGAGTCGATGGAGTTGTGCTCTCTAACCACGGTGGCCGGCAGCTTGACTCGGTGAAAGCGCCTATTGAGATTTTGGCTGAGCTTAACCCAATCTTGAAGAAGCGTGGATTGCTTGGAAAGTTGGAAATCTTCATTGACGGCGGTGTCAGAAGAGGAAGTGACGTGCTAAAGGCAATTGCCCTTGGTGCAAAAGGTGTCGGAATCGGCAGGCCGTTCTTGTACGCCATGTCCACTTACGGCGATGACGGCGTGTTCAAAGCTGTGCAAGTGTTGAAAGACGAGATGGTGATGAACATGAGATTACTCGGTGCCCCATCCATTGCCCACTTGGACGACTCCTATGTGGACACTGCGGATCTCCATCGCCAGTTACCGGAAGACAAATTGTTCTCTAATGTTTACCAGCCTCTTGAAAACCCGGCATTCAAGCTGAAATTATGATTTAGATCGCCGAGTTTTTCTTAGACCATATGTTTGTAGCAGACAGAGAATGCTTGTGCAATTGTTTAGTAATTGATCATTCGACAGAAAATACGGATCGACGGATCAAAGTTGTATTATTTCCCATTGCATGGGCAAGTCCCAGATCTTTAAACTGATTCTAGTAATTTCTAGGTGAAAACAAACTACGGGCGCACTAAAAGATTTGGACTGCTCACTTTTATTACACGGGCTCTTCGAATAGTGCTCATCTCACAAAACAATTAAAAGACCTTGGGAATTCCTTGTACATCTTCCACCTGGAAGCTTTTCTTTTAGCTCAGAACCGTCTATTCTGAATCACCTGAGGATAGGACATCAACTACTGACCCTATGAATGTCAAATTTGTACTCGCGTAATACAAAGCTTAAACAGTATCGTCGTCCTGTTATCGCCTAAAAACAGAATTTTTTTGACTCACCATCCATATTGTCCATCAAATTATTGCTACACTACATTATACTGTTTGGGGAAATGTCACGTGCTCGTCTCGCTCGTTGATCCAGACCCCAAACTCTCAAACGACAAAAGACGGCATAGCGTTACATATGCGTTTTATTCCTGTACATAGCCGTATTTGGTTCAAATGGCCATAGCGCGTTTTTCAATCCACAGCGTCTCTTGTAGTTCCCGGCAACTTTCCCATTGCTTCTACAGTAACACATCTGTGCCCTCGCATACTTCTACGCGTCTTAATTATTTTTGTGGAACGTTTTTACTTCCAGCAGCAAGAGAAGAGAAAAAAGGCCCGGCTTTTGGCTGTCCTGTGCACGTGACAAGAGCGCGCGGTGTCCAACTTTTGAATGGTGAAAATCAATTCTGTTAATGTACACATACACGGTTCTTTTCTCGTTGTGATCTGGTTATAATTTGCTCCAAACTCCTTCACATTTGTCCTGCTTTGGTTCTTTGACTAAGCCTGACAACTCGCGATATTTGGCGCGTCTTTTGGAATCCTTCCTCACAAACTAGTGTGACCGGTTCGAGAGATCAGCGTATTATTTAAAATCAACGGGGTTTCTTCACGCACAACTCAATCCCGTTTGAGATAATTCTGTTCGTGTTCATTCACGTATACCCATTTGCCTGAGTGCTAATATATCACGATGGGACACCCATATGATGCTGGAACGTATGTATCGACCTTTTTTTTTTCTTTTTTTTTTCCTTTTATGATCCCGCGTACTAACCATTAGCCGTTGTTGGTATCCTGACCAGAGTGTCGGCTGGATCGCAGTCGCTGTCAAGTCCAATACTGAGAAAGACGGGAAACATGTTTTGGAGCTCGTATCGGAGTCGGATGAGTCTGAAGTTTTCACCGTGGAAGTCAAGAACTTGGAAGAAGACAATACGGAATTGCCGCCTTTGAGGAATCCACCCATTTTGGAAGCCGCAGAAGATTTGACGTCGTTGTCTTACTTGAATGAGCCTGCAGTTTTGCATGCCATCAAGTTGCGTTACTCCCAGTTAAACATCTACACGTACTCCGGTATCGTTTTGATCGCCACCAACCCTTTCCAAAAAGTGGACCAACTTTATTCTCAGGATATCATTCAAGCCTACGCAGGAAAACGAAGAGGCGAGTTGGATCCCCATCTTTTTGCAATCGCTGAAGATGCATACCGCTGTATGAAAATGGACGGCCAGAACCAAACCATTGTTGTCAGTGGTGAGTCGGGTGCCGGAAAAACGGTGAGTGCAAAGTATATCATGAGATACTTTGCTTCAGTCGAAGAAGACTCCGATTCCGTTAACAAATTGGGTAAGGATCACAAGGCTGAAATGTCGGATGTCGAAAGACAGATCTTGGCAACAAATCCCATCACCGAAGCATTCGGTAATGCTAAGACGATCAGAAACGACAATTCTTCAAGATTCGGTAAGTACTTGGAGATTTTGTTCGACAAAGAGACTTCCATCATCGGTGCTAGAGTGAGAACGTATTTGTTGGAAAGATCCAGATTAGTCTTTCAACCCACCAACGAAAGAAACTATCACATTTTCTACCAATTATTGGCTGGAATGCCCGAAGATCAAAAATCAGCGCTAGGCCTCACCACAGCGGAAGATTACCAATACACTAATCAAGGTAACGCCATTACGATTCCAGGAGTTGATGATGCACAAGATTTTGCTCTCACAAATGAATCTTTGGCCTTGATTGGTATTGATGAGTCTATGCAAAGTCAGATATACAAGATCTTAGCCGCTTTGTTGCACATCGGTAACATTGAGATCGCTGCGACGAGGAATGATGCCCACTTATCCTCTGATGAACCAAACTTGGTTAAAGCATGCGATTTGTTGGGAATTGACTCGGTTGCATTTGCCAAGTGGTGTGTCAAGAAACAAATCACAACTAGATCTGAAAAGATCATCAGTAATTTGAATCATAAACTGGCGTTGGTGGCAAGAGACTCTTTTGCGAAATACATCTATTCTGCACTTTTTGATTGGTTGGTTGATTACATCAATACCGATTTGTGTCCTCCCGAAGTTGCTGCGAAAGCAAAGTCGTTTATCGGAGTTTTGGACATCTACGGTTTTGAGCATTTCGAAAAGAACTCGTTCGAACAATTCTGTATCAACTATGCGAACGAAAAGTTGCAACAAGAATTCAACCAACATGTTTTTAAGTTGGAGCAAGAGGAATATGTTCGGGAAGAAATTGAATGGTCCTTCATTGATTTCGCTGACAACCAACCATGCATTAACTTAATTGAAAACAGGCTAGGCATATTGTCTCTTTTGGATGAAGAATCTAGATTACCAGCTGGTAGCGATCAATCGTGGATAGAAAAGATGTATCAGACGCTTGACAAACCGCCCACGAATAAAGTCTTCAAGAAGCCAAGATTTGGTCAAACAAAATTCATTGTCAGCCATTACGCGCTTGATGTCACATACGACATCGATGGTTTTATTGAAAAGAACCGTGACACTGTTGGCGAGGGCCACTTGGAAGTGTTGAAGAACACCGAAAATGAGATGTTGCAAAGCGTCTTATCTATCATTGAAAAGAATGCATCTGCGGTTGAATCATCATCCGCTGTTTCGGGAAAGAAGTCAATTGCTTCGAAAAAACCTACGTTAGGGTCAATGTTCAAAAACTCTTTAATTGAGCTTATGAAGACTATTAACTCTACGAATGCGCATTACATTAGATGTATAAAGCCAAACGAACAAAAGAAGGCTTGGGAGTTTGACTCGATGATGGTGTTGTCTCAATTGAGAGCTTGTGGTGTTTTGGAGACTATCAGGATCTCTTGTGCTGGTTTCCCATCTCGTTGGACTTATGCGGAATTTGCAGACCGTTATCATATTTTGGTCCCAAGTGACGAATGGATCCAGGTCATGAGTGGTGAAACTTCAGAAGAAGAGATTTCAGGTCTATGTAAAAACATCCTTGATCGAAACATTGAGGACAAACAAAAGTACCAATTAGGTAACACCAAGATTTTCTTCAAAGCTGGAATGTTGGCGCACTTTGAAAAATTGCGCTCCGATAAGCTTCACCAATCTGCTGTTATGCTTCAAAAGAACTTGAGAAGAGTTTATTACCGCAAAAAATACTTGGAAACCCGAGAATCACACATCAGACTACAAGCCTTATTGCGTGGCTATATTACCAGATCTGCTATCCAAAGAGAGAAGGAAAGTTATGCAGCAACAAAGGTCCAGACCGCCATCAGGGGTTACTTGGCTAGACGCCAATTTATTGATACCCGTAACTCCATTCTTACTTTGCAAAGAGCTATCAAAGGTTTTCAAGCAAGAAAAAGCTTCAACGAGTTACGTTTGCAGAAATCGGCTATCGTTTTGCAGAAGTCTTATAGAGGCTTGGTTGTGAGACGTGATTTCCAGAATCAGAAGAAATCTGCTGTTGTCATTCAATCGTGGATTAGAAGAAAGCTCGCCCGTCAGGAATTGAATAACTTAAGGGTTGAAGCAAAGTCTGTAAACCACTTGAAGGAAGTCTCTTATAAGCTTGAGAACAAGGTTATTGAGCTTACACAATCTTTAACAGGTAAAATTCAAGATAATAAGAGATTGATGGCGGAAATTGCTGGACTCAAAGAGTTATTGTCTCAATCTAGTTCTGCAGCTGAAACTCTCAAAACTAGAGAAGCTGAGTTCAGTCAGCAGCTCAACACTAACAACTCGGAGCATCACAAGGAGATTGAGTTGTTGAACAAGGAATTGGACTCTATGAAGAGTGAGTATCAAGCGGCTGAAGCCCGTATTGAGCAATTGACCAAGGAGCAAGCAGAGTTGAGACAAGAAGTTCAAAAGAATATTGAAGAACTCAATAAGGCTAAGGATGATCTCGTGAAGCGAGACACGATCGAAGTCGACTTGAAGACTCATATTGAACAACTCAAATCTGAGATTCAAAATTTGCAAACTCAACAAAAGAGCATTCAAAATGCTAAACTCAGAAGTGTTAGCAGCAAGCGCCACAGTAGTGCTGCTGGTTGGGGTAATTCTTCCAACTTCGAACAACAACAAAGACCTGTGTCAGTTATTGCGGTATCCAATGATGAGTTTACAGATGTTGATGATATTAATGATGAACTTTTCAGGTTATTGAGAGACTCGAGACAATTACACAGAGAGATTGTTGACGGCTTATTAAAGGGCTTGAAGATTCCACCTGCTGGCGTGGCAACAGATTTGACCAGAAAAGAAGTTTTGTTCCCTGCTAGAATCATCATCATTATCTTGTCGGATATGTGGAGACTTGGTTTGACCAAAGAAAGTGAAGAGTTTTTAGGAGAGGTCTTGTCTGCCATCCAACAGATTGTTTCTACATTGAAGGATGATGATATCATTCCTAATGGTGCATTCTGGTTGTCCAATACGCATGAATTGTACTCTTTCGTCTCTTATGCCCAACAAACAATCATCGCCAACGACAGTTTGTCCCATGACATGAGCCAACAAGAATTTGACGAATACTTGAAGCTAGTTGCAGTGGTCAAGGAAGATTTCGAATCACTTTCCTACAACATCTATAACATGTGGATGAAGAAGATGGAGAAGGATTTAGAAAAGAAGGCTGTTTCTGCTGTCGTTATTTCGCAATCCCTTCCTGGGTTCATGGCCCCAGAAAGCTCTCCGTTCTTGGCAAAGGTATTTTCACCTGGTGTTCAGTACAAGATGGACGATATTTTGTCATTTTTCAATTCTGTTTATTGGTCGATGAAGTCATACTTCATCGAGAGTGAAGTTATGAATGAAGTGATCGTGGAGTTGTTGAGATTTGTTGACGCCTTGTGTTTCAACGACTTAATCATGAGAAGAAATTTCTTGTCCTGGAAGCGTGGTTTGCAACTTAATTATAATGTCACCAGACTTGAAGAATGGTGCAAGGGTCATGACATACAAGAGGGATCAGCGTACTTGAACCATTTGCTTCAAGCTGCCAAGTTACTACAGTTGCGCAAAAACACCACTGAGGATATTGATATCATCTATGAGATTTGCTTTGCTTTGAAGCCCATTCAAATCCAAAAGTTGATCTCGCAGTACTACGTGGCAGAGTACGAGACACCTATTGCACCTGATGTTTTGCAAGTTGTTGCGGATAAGGTGAAGGAGACCGACGGTTCAAACGACGACTTGTTTGAAATTGTTGCTACTGATGGCCATTTCAATGACCCTTTCAGAAATGTCAGCTTAAGACCTTTTTCACGCGTTGAAGCATACGTTCCTGCTTGGTTGAGCTTGCCGATAATAAGAAAGATTGTTGAGTTGGTTGCAAAGAATGCATCTGCTCAAGAAGCTAGGATGACGGAGACCGAAGATGCTGAAGAGCTTGGCAACGGCAATGGTGTTTCCGTTGAAGCCTAATTGGTATTCTGTACTCAGTCTTTATATGTGTTAATACATACTCTATTGATAATACCAACGTACAGATAGAATCACTACAAAATGTCCTTTGTCACTGATAAGTCGTAGATGTTTTGTCTATTTGTTTGCTTGCTTTGCCGCTTCTTCCACTGTTTTGGTCTTCATTTGCAAGGCATGTAATCCTTTCGTTTTGAATTCATCATCTAGAAGCTGATAAATGATGCGGTGTCTGGCAGGCATGTTTTTTCCAACAAAACTGTCACTTACAATCTCCAAACGGAAATGTGACTCTTTCACATTCGAAGCTGTTTGCATGGCCTGGTGATGGCTATGTTTATGGGAGTCATTAGCCACTTTTAAGAAAGTTGGAGATAATGCGGTTGTGACTTTTTCAATAATGGACTCTTCAATGGGACCTGTGATTTCCGACGACCTTATTATCACTGGAGAGCTAGAGGAAGACGACATTCTTTTGATACCCTGAATTGTAGCCCTGCCGAAAATCCGAAGCATGGAAGTTGATACACCAAGTACAGATTTCTCAGGTAGAATACGCAGGATTGTCTTACACATTCGACGAATGAAATGTAACTACAGATATCAAGAATGAACTGAAACAGAAGTCTCGATCAATTGAACTACTATGATTACTGTCGTATTGCGCTATTAGGTTAACCTATAAAAGGATTCGCATTGCATTCACTGGGTAAACGGTGGCGTGAATTGTTTCGAAGCTTCTGGCCTCGTTGATAAGGTTTATCTTGTTCTGAATTTCTGTTTCTGTCCTCTCTGCTCCAACTTTGTTTGTCTTTTGCTTTTTCCTTGTGTTGGTGCTGCCTCTTGTGCAACGGGGGTTGTTGCAGATCTGTTTCCAAAGAATGACTTGGCCAAGGACAAAACCTTGTATGCGATAAACCCTGGAACAGCTAAGAACAACATCCAGACCTTGTTGGAGCCAAAGAGGAGCATCAACACATCACAGATCCACGTAATGTAAATGCAATCAAACATATACTCGAACAAGCCTGGACCCTTGATATCGTTCCCGCTGCGAACGAGCCTAGAAACGCCAGAGCCAGCCTCCTTAGCATAGACGGGACGGCCACTTTTCTCTATTATAAACTGGCAGACAAAGGAAGGGATCGAAAAGAAAAAGTACTTCCATTTACTTGACGGACGGTGGAGCACATACAATCCAAGTAAGCAAGCGAAGTTTATGGCCAAGGAGATCAGATGCAACTCTTTTAGAGTCTGTGCATTGGAAGCGGCTGTCTTTTTGCTGCTCAGTGATGCCATGGTGGAAGAAAGAACAGTTGGTATGTTGTTTCGACGTCTTGTATGGATTACAATCGCGCGACATGGCAAGGCTAATCGAAGATCGAGCTACGTTTACGTCATGAACACAGTTGAATGTGAAATATACTGACACATACATAAGAGCAGTTGCTTCTGTCTCAGATTTTGTTTTAAGAGAATAATTTTTGTGTCTATTCTGTCTTCTTTTGCACACTTCTTGTGGGCACTTTGATTGGGGAAATGTACTTCGCAACAAATTGCTTGAACGTCGTTTGGTAGAAGACCAGAAGTTGTGGAGGCAACATTGGATTCGAAAGAAAACCAGCTGCTTTTGCGTCAAGCTGCTGCACAACTAACTTCATGGTTTGGTTCTCATTGTATCTCAACTTGACGAAAACAATCACTGCCACTATGCTGAACACATGAACAGCCGCGAAGACTTGATCTCTGAAGAGATTGATAACAAGGCGAGGAAGCTGCCAAAGAATGTTCACGACCATCATTACTTCACTCGTTGCTGCAAGGTAAAGACTTTGCTGGGTGAAGTTCGTCGTTAAGTAGGTAATTCTCGAACTGATCGCTGCTTGAGTTGCGATAGGGATAGGCAACGATTCCAATAAATGTGACTGCAAGTATGTTGCCACATGGAAGAACAGGAATATGATGTAAGAGTACGGAGTACCAGCCAAAGTCCCGATTTTGAATGACACCAACCAGAGGATGAACGCGAACAAGAAATACTGGACATTCTCATCTCTCAAGAGCTGTGATCTAGAACCAGCACTTGACGAAAAGTGGACTTGCTTGATAACAATTCCGTACGAAATCAATTGGAAGAAAAACGTGTACCTGTAGTACGACAAGGCTTTCGCTGGACTAAAGAGTCCAAAAATAAAAGACCCTGCAAAGTTGACCAAGCTAAGCACATGAGCTAGAAACCAGTAGAGTTGAGGCGTTTTGCTCAAGGACTTCACTGTCGCAATTAAAGATTTGGGACGTTGCGTTGTTTTCGGTGGCATTGGTAGGTGGCGTCTGAAAACACTATCAGTTATCTAAGTCGTATCTCTTTAAAAACTTCAATGCAGGTGGACTGTGTATAATTTTAGTACATTCGAACACACTTCGATAGACTTCGATCAGTGACTTGTCATGTTGACTGGAAACAAGCGATGCTTCCGCCATTAAATTGACTAGAGACAAAAAAAAAAAAAAGCTAAACAAAATTAGAAGAGCAGATTTAACGAGGAAGTAAAGTAAAAATCAAGCCTATGCAAATATGCTTAGAAGGCTAAAACCTACACTTTAGCTGTCTTTTGACTCCCGCTGGTCTCTAGCGAGGACCATGTAGCCGATCTCGAAATTCTGGGGCATTTATTTTTTGTGTGACTTTTGCTGTACCGAGAGGTACTAGTCACCATATTTGTAACTCCGCGCAATTCGGGTGCTCTCACGAAAAACTAACAAGTTGCTCCTCAACGTTTAAGTCCAAACCAATATGGACTTCTGTTTCTTTTTAATTGGATGTATGTAACGTTGTGTTTCATGTTCACACCCATTTCTTTCGTCATTTGACTAACGCATAGTTAAGGAATTCAACAAGCCTTTACCTGAAGGAGGTAACATTGCCTGTTACTGTGGTAGGTGCCACAACCAGTCAGCATACGCTGTGAGAACAATTAGTTGTGTCACCTTATTCTTCATTCCAGTGTTGCCTTATTACTTTTCCAAGCGCTTGAAGTGTGGCATATGTAACGCTTCCGGAGACTTAGATAGCGAAGGCCTTCTGAGATTAAGGCAAGGTCAACCTATCGCTATAGGTGGTTGATTGGGGTTTGGATTCAATTGTCTATGAGGGGGTAGGTGTGCTGTTACATTTAGTATTTAAAAATGGATGATGTTTTTAGATTGAGCCACGAACAAGCTCCAATATGTAATGGTCCTATAAACCTTTAAGGTCCTCATAGAAGATAAGATCATAATCTCGCAATCAGGTGTCCTTTCAACATACTTGACTCTAGCAGTTGGCTCTTTTCCGTACTTCTTCTCCATGTATGTTTGCGTCTTTGATGATCTCTTTCTCGTCCATGGTCAAAAGACTTCTTTCTTTAACTACAACCTTCCCGTTGATAACAACAGTATCAACGTCAGCACCTGTCGCAATGTAGACAACCATTGACACTGGATCACGCATCGGCTGTGCGTAAAGCTTATCTGTTAAATTGATGGTAATAAAGTCAGCTTTTTTACCGACTTCCAAAGAGCCAATTTCGTGGTCTTTACCCAAAGCCTTGGCCGCTATGATAGTGGACATCTGGATGACTTTTTTGGCAGGAACTAGTAACGGATCACCGTGAAGTGCCTTAGGGAGGATAGAGGCCAACTTCATCTCTTGCAAAAGATCCATGACATTGTTGCAAGGGCAGCCATCACATCCAAGACCGACCGGAATGTCAGCTTCCAAAAGTTCCTTCACACGAGCAATCCCGCTTCCAAGTTTGGCGTTTGAGGTGGGGCAGTGAGCTACAGAAGCTCCAGTATCCTTCAATATTGCAATGTCAGTGTCATCCAAGTGCACCATATGGGCAAGAACCGTGCGTGGTGCAAGTAAACCAAGGTCTTTACAATAAGACATGGGTGAATGACCTTTTGAAGCAAAGAACTCCCGGTCGGCTTTAACTTCAGCGCAATGCATTGTCACGCCAATGTCGTTTTCCCTGGCAATCTTCACCATTTCACGATACAATTCTTCGGAAACACCGCCTGGTGTCCTGGCGCCGAACCAAACTTCAACTCTTCCATCTCCTGTACCATTGTACTTGTTGAAACAGTTCACTGCGTTTGATAAGGACCTTTCATCCTCTACGAGACCAGGATGCATTGTGATTCCCTCCTGAGTGGCATAACGTGGCTGATCCATTACCACCTTTCCCAAACAACCTCTAATTCCAGATTCAGTCACCGCTTTAACTGCACCTTCGAAGCCATATCTCTCGGCAAATAGAGATTCCACGAACGTGGTAGTTCCCGACTTCAACATTTCTGCAATGGTTAAACGAGAAGCAACGTATCCGTCTTCTTCCGTGAAGCAGCCTTGCATTCTCCAAATACGGTCACAGAGCCACTCTATCAAGGCTAAATCGTCCGCTGCTGTCCTCAAAAGAGATTGGGCCAAGTGGACATGCAAGGAGATAAGACCAGGCATCACAATTTGGCCCTTCAAGTCACATTGAGCCTCCTCTGGAAAGTCCAGAACAACCTGATCCACTGGACCAATGGCAACAATTCTGTCCTCTTTGACAGCTATGGCACCATTTTCGATGACATCAAATTTCTCATTCACTGTGATGATGTTTGCGTTGACGTAGATCATTACTTCTAGATTTCCCAGCAAATGTGGAAAACAACATCAGTTTATATAGCCATCTCCGATAACGCGGGTATTTTGATCAGATATGCGAATTCGGAATTGTCCGAAGGGTAAGTTGCTGGTGTTTAGTGTTGCAGCATCAGCAATCTAAAGGGGATTTCTCCGTTCTCTTCGTTCTTGTTTACACTTATTCGACGTCCAGCGACTCAATTGAATCCCTATTCGGTCTTCCAGAACAAAATAATTCCCTAAAGCAAATCATTTCACTGAAGCAATCTAGTTCTCGCAGAGATAAGAAAGTGTCCCAAAAGTGATCTAATAGTGTCCCAAAAACGAGGCTAATAATGTCCCAAAAACGATTTTAAAACTGTCCGAGAAATGAAACTAAAAGTGTCCCAAAAGCAAAAGAAAATTATAAATAGTCAATCCCGATCATTCTAATGCCGTTAATTTTGGCTACCGAAATTACTTGCAAGGCATTCGGAGATGTACTTTTTTTGCACACAGAATCTTTCTGTTGATTCGTGCAATGTACTTAACAAACGATTCCAAGCGGGGTAAACAGGAATCAGAATAATTTACACTAGAAACCAAAACTTCAACAACGAAAGCTAGACATGAAGAATAGAAAAATGTTCCCTGTATTTAATCTGTCTCTGACTATAAAAGAGCTGCTTCAAATCTTCTAACGATAACGGTGAATCTACTCTTGACGGTTTAGGAACGTTGAAAGTTAGTTTGCAGTTTTATGCACTCGAATGAAATGAATCTGATGATTGATTAGTTGAATTAAAAGCTAAGACACTGTATGTATGAGATACATAGACAGCCAGATAAATCTTGATACTATATACTCTCTAGAAATTGATAAGCTTCATTGTGGCATAGCCAATAGTCACAATGATGCAATACGCAATGACGGAACTAGGAACTCCTCTAGTAATGAAGGTTCCAACAGTAAGGTACGGCTTTCCAAATTCGTCCGTCATGCAGATAGCCGTAACGTTTGGAAATCCAGAAGTTGGCAATCCCATTGCAGCAGAGCACAATAATGCGCTTGCCATGATAAGCAACCTTGGATGAGGGTCATCCATTTTGTTACCAATCTCTGCGACTAAGGGAACAACGATCAAGGCCGCCACAGTGTGACTGACAAAAGTTGCCATAATCAAAATGAGGAGACCAAATGTTAACGTTACACCAAAGAGTGAAAAGTCTTCCACCTCGCGTTGGATTTGGATGGCAATAGTTGAAAGCAATCCGGAAGAAGCTACAGCCTTTCCTAAAGCAGTTCCTCCCATCGCTAAGACAACAATGTTCCATGGGTAATTATTGAAATCTTCAGTTGTCAACAACCCTGTTCCAAAAAACAAAATGAGAGGTATCAAGGCAATGATACCCATCTCACCGAAGACTCCTTCCAAGCGTGATGCGAAACACCACAACAAAATTGTTGACATAGACACACCAACTATGAACCACTGGATCTTTGTGAACTTGTCATTACCAGTTCTGAAGGGCACGAGTTGTGTTTTCTTGGAATTACAATCAAACGTGATAAGCAAAAACACCCAAATTAATAGTAAGGAAAGGATACAGACAGGGAGTGCAATCACGAACCACTGTCCCCATGATGGAGCGGGATCCATTGAACCGATCGCGATCATATTCTGAGGTGATGCAATTGGGGACGCCATGCCACCGACGTTAGATGCGAGAGCAATTCCAAGGATCAAGGCATTAATGAACTTGGATCCCTTCGGTAAAGTACGAAGTAATGGTTGAATGAGGGAAAAACAAAGAACCGGCGCTGCAACATTGGAAACCCACATGGATGCAAATAATGCAATGCTCATAATCGTCAACAAAACCACAGGTGGCCGTGTACCTGCCTTGGCAAGGATCCACGTGGATATGACTTTAGCAATGTTGTACTTCGTTAACGAAGCAGCCAATGTGAAGCCACCAAGAAGAAGTAAAATCACAGAGTTCCACATAGTTGAGAGGATAAACTTGGAAGACTCTACTGAGTCCATAGGTGTGCCGTCAACGTTTTTGAGGACTCCAAGCATCACGATCATCATTGGAATTAAAAGGGAGGTCACAAAGAGTGGAATTGTTTCCGTAGCCCATAACAAAGAGGCACACACAAGCAACGCAAAACAATTCTTTTGAGCAATATCATCAAAAGGAGAAAAGTTAAGTAAAAGAAGCGTAACTCCCACAATTAAGCATAGCTTAACAATTGTTGGGTTCTGGAATGAGATATTAAAAGAAGAAATGGAAGAATTAGCCTTCTCGTTTGATGATGGTCCCTCAGATGCCTTAGAATTGGCAGCTTGAGATTTCCTCTCCATACCTATCATGTCTCTCCACACAGTGTTTCTTTCCCAGACGACATGATCCCTCAAATGAATAGAAAGTTCTGCTTTGGCAGCTTCTAAATCATTCCCATGGTTGCAAATAATGGCATAGATTTCAATTAGTGAATTAATTTTTTCGTCTAGCTTTTCCATAGTAGATTTTTTGAACACATAAGTTCTTTCGGGTAATTGAGACAAGTATTCATCTTTCAAGTTCGTATCTAACAGTTTGTCAAATTTCTTTAATGCTTTCTTAAAACCGGTTTGGTTTAATTCCACATAGCTTTTGAGCTCCGAAATGGTGGTGTACATATTGATGATTCTCTTTCTCAAAAGAACCCGAGTTTCGGAAAGAAGAATGAGCTGTGGAGGAAGTCTAACAGAAGACTCAAGTTGATCCCACGCTTGTGATTTTTGGCTTCTTAAAGGATATTCACTCGACTTAGTTTTCCTCAAGGCATCACTATTCAGCTCTGTATTGTGTACGTTGTCGCCTTCCTCGTAATCATCATCCTGAGTGTATTCGGTTTCTGGATCAGTAACAAAAGTGGTGAGCTCTCCAGAAGCATCAGACGCCCTTTTGCGCCGTGGGGCGGTTGAGTTCAGCTTATAGTGGCGCAAATCGAATCCAAGCAAATCTCGTTGTTCATTGTTACCAACGTTTTCGACATCATTCTCGAAGACATCAATATCCCTCATAAGATCATCTATGTCCTGAAAAACAAAAGCCTCTTGAGACTGGTAAAACTCATCTATCTTCTTCAACTCTGCATCCAATGCTGCAACAAAGACAACAGAAGGATCTTTTGAAGAAGATGATTCGTTGGAAATTAGATGTGATGATTCTAAATCATCTTTTTGACGTCTTAATGATTCTCTTTGTAATGAGTATATTAATTTCTTGAGCGTCGTATACGAAATATACTTTGATGACCACTCTGGAACGGCATTAAACTGCAACGAATGTGAGAACTTCATTATGCCCTCCGATTCTTTTTCTCAGCAAAGAGACAGAGATAAAGAGTACGTTGCTGATAGAGGACTGAGATCGACTTTCCCTATACTGGTTCGTGCACGTCAGTTCAATGATAATTTTTGAAGGCATCAAGGAAAAGCTAACACCATTCGTTCAAAAAGAATTAGTGCAATAAAGCTCTTGACTACGCATCCTGACGTTGTAAGGCAACTCATGTTCGACCTAACTATTTCTACGGGTGTGAAAATACCTACGGAATCCACGAAACAAGCCGCTCCAAATTATTTGGATTCATTCATCTCTCCAAGATCTCCATGGCAACTTTCGGTTGTTTATTATGCCCAAATGGGACCAAATAATCATGTAGGAAATCGAAGTGTAGCGCTGGAATAGACTGGCGAATGACGTGCGATAAGAAAAGGAGGCGCGCGGGTATGTACGGTGTTCGAAACACTTTTTCATGAGTATTCTTGAGGACTTACGTTTTCTTATAACACGAACCAACGTCGAAGACCTGCTAAATAGAGTCCCTTCTGTTTACCTTACAGCAAATTCCAAGAAACCTTTCCTCTTTAGTTCAACTGATAGATACATTTTATACCTGTCAATTGCCGTTCTTGGAACCTTGTTCTACATTCTCTATCCATCATTTCCGACTGCAAAAAACAAAAGCATCATGTTCTCGAAAAGACCCGATAAACATACGACTGGCTTAATTAATTTGAGAAATGATTGTTTCGCCAACTCTTCGGTACAAGCCTATTCCGCCCTACCTGGTTTGACAGAGTACCTTAACAAATTTATCGGAACTTATCGGGATACAATTAAACAAATTGACTCCCTTGGTATTGATTTAGATACAGTTATCACATCGGATGACTTGGAAGTTGGCTCTCATTCAAGATTCAAATTCAAAGAAGAAGGTGATGGCCCGGCAAAGCCAAAAGACCACTTCAAGATTAACCTCCACATAGCATTGGCAAAAATTATGAAAAAGCTCCAAGCTACCCAATTAACATCGAGGACTATCTCTGTATGGACGTTTTTACATGAGTTGGAAAGGATTTATAGTGCAAAGATATCAAGGTCGCAACATGACGCCCATGAATTGACTCAACTCATCAACGAAACATTGGAGACTGAAAATCTTCTCTGTATAAGAATCTTGAAAAAAGTCAAAGATTCTTGCTCTTCCAACATAGCAATGTCAGAAGCATTGGCTCTGCTCGAATTTCCAGACTTTCCCTTCAACGGATTAACATTGTCGCAAATGAAATGTTTGAGCTGCTCTCACGTTTCGAAGCCAAACATCACTCCTTTTTTGATGTTAACACTTCATCCTCCTCAGGAAACAAGTACAGATTTGGAGACACTATTGGATGATAATGAGTCAGAAACTATAAATGGATATCAGTGTTTGAAATGCCGGTTACTCAGAATCGTGGAAAACGAAAAGGAGTACACATCTCGAGGTAATAAAAATCCTCCTAATGAGCAAGAGTTTATTAATAAACTCCAAGAATTGAATGAGAATGATGGCTTGTTTATTAATGAAGATTTGCCTACTGACTTGGAGAATTACGTCAAGGAATACAATAAGATGGGGTTGGATATTTCCAGTGTCACTTCAAATGTTTTCCGCAAAACGCAGATATTGAAGCCTCCAAAAGTTTTCGGAATTCACTTGTCTCGCTCGGCTTTCAATGGAGTGACAATTAGTAGAAATCCCTGCCGTGTGTCCTTCAATGATAAGCTATCTTTATCTATTGATGATGAACATTTAGCCACCTTGCAAAAGTTTCAAGAATATGCTTTGAACGGGGAATTATCCAAGTCATCCATGAAAGTGCTTACTACGGATGTAAATGATATGGAAGATGAAAACGTGCAAAGAGAAGACATTGATGAGCTCGGTGAAGATGATGAGAAAAGCGATTTAGATGATTCCACGAATACCGAAGATGAACTGACAGATCTGGATGATACTGATACAGGCACAGTTTACTCGGAGCTGACTGTTCCTCCTTCTTTGGATACAGCGGCTACAGCCCCACAATCTGATACGGTTGATGGAATGCCGTACACAAAAGACCAGACAATGAGCCTTTTAAGGCACTTTCACAATTTTAAGTTTCATGATAACAATGTTTACAAGTACAGGCTCAAGGCTGTTATACGGCATCAAGGCTCCCATACGCAAGGACATTATGAATGCTACAAACGAAAACCTCTCTTTGTTAAAGATAGCGAGGGAAGTATCATAAAACTTTCTCCTGAAATTGATGATGACTACATTCAAGAAGTTGAAGATATTTTAGCAAAGCCCGTTGAAGGTACGACTCTGAAACCTAGATCACTGTCATCTTCTAGTGATGCTCTGTGGTCCAGTGAAGAGTCTAACAAGGGCAACTTCCGACGTAAGTTATCCATGATGATTGGCCGTCGACCTTCGATAGTTCAAGCGGACCCGGAGGAAGCAAATGTGCACGAGATTATAGACTCTGGATTAACAACACCTGCAGAAGTTTTGGTAGATGGAGGAGACTACTTTCATTTAAATGCTCGGGATGTTAAAGAACAGCTCAACAATATGTCTGCTTCTGAGCATCAAACTTCTAGAGTGAAGATGAAGAAAATCCCTTCCATAATTAAATTTCCATTCTGGAGAATTGGAGATGCACAAGTATCCGAAGTTTCCCGTTCTGCTGTATTATTTGAAACTTCTAGTGTCTATATGCTCTATTACGAGCGTATAGATCGCAAACAAATCAAGCGCTAATAGTCACGTGCTTGCTCATTTTATGTCTAGTCTTCTCATTCTATAGCAGAATATGTTTCCAAGTCCGAATTCTTCTCAGCGTGTAAACTCGAGTAACAGTTCTTTGAAGATTCCCCAACGCTCAAGTGGCTCCCGTCGGAAAGTTGTTTTAGAACCGGGTTTTTCTCCCCTAGATTGGGCTAGTTTAACTTCCAAGACTCCCAAGCATCAATTACGGGGAGTCCAGCCAAATACGCCACCCCCACAATATGTCCGAGTACAGAAATCTGAACTAAAAAAGCATTCGAGCCAAGGGGACTGCTGGACGTCCATAAACGGGAAAGTATTCAATATTACACCCTATATCAATTTTCACCCAGGTGGTGTCGATGAAATAATGAAATGTGCTGGAAAGGATGGCACAATGTTATTTAACAAGTACCACAGTTGGGTAAACGCAGATCGATTATTAGAAAGTTGTATGGTCGGTATTTTGGATCCTTAGAAAATCTTTAATAATGTTCAGCTTCTCCGACAATAACTTTATCAAGTGTCTTATCATGACTCTCTGTAGGTATGCTTTCTTCCAACTGTTCCTGTAAGCTCAAACCTACTAAGTACGGAAGCTGACCGAATCTGGCTTCGTACGCATTCAAAAATTCGTCATAGTAACCAGCACCATGACCAAGCCTTTTTCCTGCCCTAGAAAACGCTAGGCCCGGGACAACAAGGAAGTCCAACCCACCTTGATCCATTACATCCTCTCCTGAGTCTGGTTCTCGGAGATTATACTTCCCTTTTGGTTGCAATGCTCTCACTTCGTCCATAGTTGAAACGCTTAGTAATTTCATATGTCTTGATCTGCGTGATTCTTCCACTTGATTTACACATTTGGGTAAATAGACTTTCTTGTCGTTTTCAAAGCAATGTTCTATAAGGGGCATCGTATCTACTTCAACCTGCGGCATGCTCATGTAGAGCCCAATTGAGCGTGCTTCCTGAAACTTTGGATTCTTCATAATGGTATCAAAAATATATCTGGATTGTGCCTTCACACTTTCTTCCTTAACTTTGTTTAATTTTCCTTGAATATATGTTCTTAAACATTTCTTGGCCAATTTTTGGGACATTGCACGGTGTTACAAGATATGAGAACATAATTCAGTTCGCGATTTTTCACTCATTTGTCTTTTCGCACCAATAATCCATGATTCTAAAACATGAGCATTATTACTTTCATGGTGATTTGCAAGAGGAAGACGCAAACAGAGGAATACCGCTTGAAATCATTTACACCTGACGCTGCCAAATCTGTGCTAGCAAAACAGCAGCGTAAATAGTAACTCATTCTGAGTGTGTATAATCAGAATGAAAGAGGCCACCTAATAGAAATCTGCTAATAGTTTCAAAGAATAACGGGTATTTACAAAAATGATCAATAAGATGTATTAAGCCAATTTAATTACCTTCTCGTCAAATCTAACTGACTTTCGTCTTTCCCCATTATAATCAAGAGGAACCTGCAATTCGAGCTCTTTTCCTTCCAATTCTTTGGATGCGCTGTCTAACATTGCTTTGACATCTGCTTTATCCTTCAACGACTTGGAACTACTGGATTTCCGTCTTTTTTGCAACTCGAAATCAGATTTGCATTTTTGACATTTGCAGATAAAACCCCAATTAACACGAAGCTCTCTTTGTCTCTGCTGAACCGTATGAGAAGGATTGACATATGTTGTTGTCAACTCCTCACCAGTCCTGATATCTCTTGCAGCAAATACCTTCAACTTTTCGTATTTCTTCGCGGATAAGACAACCTTAGTATTCGGATCACAATTGTGGTTCAAATGCGACTGTAATAGAAAGATACATGAATCCACATTATTGATATTATAAGTGCCCATCATGAACATGAACTCATCATACAGAAGGTTTTTCTCCTGACGACTACGCGGAAACACATCGCAGAATAACTCGTACCCCTTTTTCCACAATTGTTCTTGCTGTTCTTCGACGAATAATGCACCCCCTTGCATTGAATCAAAAGCACCAGCTGAAGAGTTCAATGCTTTGTATCTGATCCTCTGATCGACTCTAGCCATCGCTTTGAATTGATCGCCCTTGACGTTACTCTTATCAAGCAATATGTCTGCAAATATTAATGTAATTGCATACAATGCATTCCATTGTTCCTTTATAGCAAATTCAACCAAGGAATGACAAGCCTCAGCATCGAATTGTTTAATGCTAGACCGTCCAACATGCTTTAATGCGGAATGCTGCGTTTGATTAACGCGTTTGCAATAAGAGGAGCACCAAGTTTCAGGACAAGAACTGCAATCTATGCCCCTCAAAACGGACAATCCAGCTTTTGATCTTGAAGCATCATTGGAGATTTTGCCACAAAAAGAGCACGCTTTACCATTTGTGATCAATTCAGCGTGAGCCAACAGAGGAATCAAGAAAAGTGGAGCCTCTTCCCAAATTAATTCGCCTTCCTTGATTTCCGTCTTAGCAAATAAACCTTTTCCACGCTTGGATGTCATCTGGAGTGTTAACTTGTCAGGAACCACAACATGAGGCGTTTTTAATGAAGTAATGTCTTTCGCGTACGTATATTGTTCAACGTTAGCAGTAGGCATGAGCCCGAATTTTTTTAGAAGCGCCCGTACTCTTTTCTCCGAGAGAGACCAATTAGGATGTTTTTCCTTGACGATACTGTGAAGTTTTGGCACGCCAAGGGATTCAGTCGATGGATCTTCCTTCCATATGGCAATTACAGCATCAACGACTTGCCTTTCATGGGGTGTGATTGGCTGTGGCGGTTCGGGACATTTATCATTGATTTCCACGACTTCAATGCGTTTCTCTAACTGATCTACGTTCTGGGACATATCTTGAACTTTTTTTTTTTTCGTTTTTCAGATCTTTGACGATGTACCTGTACACGTGATCCACGAAGTCTATGACAGTCGTAGTACTAGAAAAGAGCCCACTTACTGGCTTGCGACTCACATGCTAATTTTGTTGCTCTTCCCGTTTCCTTAACAACGGAGTTTCCCTCAACCACAACCTTTCCGTTCTCATTTTCGATTACACTCTTCAAAACGAGAGAATCATTCGAATTGCGGCTTTCCACTCTCGTTTTAACGACAAAAAACTGATTAGCAAACAGTGGCAGTTTGTATGAAATGCCTAAAGAATCGATCATGTAATCATCTTTCAAACTTGACTGAGTGGATGCTGAAAGGGAAGCGCATCTCTTGAAACACTCGTTCAAAAGAGTAGCAATTATCCCACCATGCACAATAAATGGATAGCCGCAAAGTTTATATCCCATATGAACGATTGTAACAGTCTCATTCGTTATATGATTATGAAATATGACAGGTTTCACTAAGATACCCCCAGGATGTGCTAAGGTATGATTCGTAAAATCTGGTGATAAATACTCGGCTTGTCCTTTCACAAGTTTGCCTTCAGCTCCCTCCAAGACATTGCGATCCAAATTTTCCCAAGAGTTGAGCTTTATCCAGTCACCCGACTTCTTGCCATGTGCCAATTGTTGATATATGGGAAGAGTTTTCAACTTGTAATCCAACTGAATCGACAAGAGTTCGCTATCATCATCCACTTGTGTGTATTCGGAATACTTCTGAAACAATATTTCACTGTATGCCAAGTAAGAACCCCCAAGGAAGAAAACACCACAAGCTTTCCAATTGAAGAAGGGCTTTTTGATATTCACGAGTTTATCGAAGGGAAATTCATTAGCATGTCTCGTTGCAAATGTTCTCGGGAAGTTCCCAAATATTCTTCTAGTGAAAACTAACCTATTCATTTGGGTATCACGTCTAGACTTAGGTAAATTGTTACATCGAAGCCCTGGTAAGTACACGCCAATGAGTATGTACTGTAGCTCTTGTGCGGGGAGCCTAATCCAAAAGAGCTAACAATTATGGCTTTAAAAATTTGTCTATGAATTTTGAACGTTAATAAGCTTTATACGTACCAGTTCGCGGAAGGCACATCTTCTAAACCAGGACTTTATTGGGAGAGTGATATCGGCATTCATTTGGAGTTTATTTACATGAGGCATCTAGTGAGGACTTCATACAATTAGTGCTTGCAAGTAATCCAGATAACCATCAGGGAACTTCGAGATCTTTCATGAAAAAGCGATTCGCTGTTGATGGGGTTAGCTACGATAATCCTAACAGAATTCTATGTGAAGACATCGCACAGGTAAGGGGTCTAGAATTTGATCTTGCTAAAATATTGCGGAGCAGCGACAAAAAATGATTATGTCGGCCACCCGGAAGGCTATCATAAGCTTGGATCGCAGTTCATGGGGAATGGTGTTTCAATACATATGGGGTATTGATAATTACTGCAACAATAACAAAGATGGGGCACATTGCCCGATAGATGGATGTCAGTAGACACACATTATTAATCTTTATAAAAATATAAACGAAACCAAAATGAGAATCCCATCAAATTTGAAAGGGAGTGAGTCCTTTCTCTGAACTTGAGTAAAACAATTTTGCTACAACAAATGCAATAGATATGACACAGATCACCAGAAACAATTCATGGCTACGTCTTAGGTTGATGCACTTCAAGCTCATCGGATCCTCACACACGATAGGATACCATGAGCGAGTAAATTTGGCATCGCCCAAGAATGATAAAGGCGATAACTGTGAATTCAAATTAGCGTAACAACTCTGAAAGCAATAAACAGAAAAACCCACAATGCGCATTTGACATGGACCAAAACTTACCCGATAACACTAGCAAAAATAATCAGTTAGATTAATGAAGTGAACAATACATTCCTTTAAATCATTACTGCTTAAATTTTAGAACATAAATTACACAAAGTAACATCAATGCCATGATTAGATAAATTACTGAAATTTCGAAAAAATAGAAAACAACATGAACGTTAACAATGAGCAATATACAATATTTTGGAATACAGGTATCAATTAAATTTACAATCAAGACTATGATTCCGCGTATGAACCTTACCGAAAGTAGATTTACTTTGAAAATCATGTCATAAACGTAGAAAAGAATGCTTAGAATCGAAACAATCTTACCAGGAACTTACAATAGCGTACCACTAAAATGTTCAACAGACCTTCATCCGAATACAAGTACACCAAACCAGCTCAGATTTTGCACAATTCACCAAAAAAATATTTACATCTTCAAAACTAATTTACAAAGTGGAGAATATAATACACATACACACTTTCATAATAAACTGAAAATAAAGAGCCAATATTTACAAAATATGGTTTCGCTCTGTTATAACCATCATTCTCATTACCTTCTAGTTACACATATCCCTCAAAAATTTTAGAATAAATACATAACTATTTCCTAGATGCAAATATTAACTTGCGAAAACGAAAAAAAAAAAACACTTAGAGCGTCGTCTCAAATGTAACTCTTATTCTCTTCATAAGCCGTTACTCATATTAACCATGAAATCAGCAAATCAGAGTCCAGTTTTCCTTGTCAAATATCATCCATACTCCATGGATACATCTTTCCACTATACCCTAGAATGTATTTCGCCTTGAACAAAAAGTACAATTCAATTAGAGTAAGAGTAAACAAATTTACTTTAAACCCTTCGCTTTCAAAAAAATAATTCATTCTATCAAACCGGCCACCTACTTAATATTTGAGTAGTTTCATATTTCAAAAGCTTAAAGAGTCTTGCGATCTAAATTCAAGGAATTAATATCCCCAACCTTCACTATACTCAAAAAATACAACTTGATGAATGACAGCCATTACAATTTAAAATTTAATCACCAATTCGAACGGCTAGATGAGAACTGGAAATCTAGGTTAACAACAGCAGCAACACATCTCTCATCTAACTTTCTACTAGCTGTAGAGTAGAAAAGTGAATTACATGATTTGCCCATGAAATAAGTATTCTTAATGCCTCGTATGTTAATGTCAAATATTCCATCCCCATGATATTTGAGGACTATTGGTTAGAAAACTAGGTATTTCTATGTAAGCAAAATATCTAATGTTTGCAAACTAAATTGTAATGTGATAGTGTTCATTATGTACCAAAATTTGAAAAAAAGAGAACCGTGGATCCACTCGATGTAAAATACAATACAAGCGTAAGAACACTATATCTTTGTTATGAACAAACCGTTCGAAAATATTCGTATTATACATTATATGATTTGAATCAAGATAACTGTATTGGCGGAAAGAGATCATACTGTATAATTATTATAAATCATATGTTGCCCATTTATTTTCTATGTATGATATCAACATCGAAATGGATGTAACTTTTGTAGACCAATAATCATGATTAACTTGTACTTTATGAGCTATAGAATTTTCTTAATTTTAAATATGGGAACACAAATGGATCATTGATGAACAGAATAGGAATATAATTCTATTTTTTTATATAATACAGATACTGTACTCTTTGAGATTTTTTTCGATCAAGTCTTCGATTTTCGAAGTCGAACAGAATAATTCAACACGCAGATTTTAATGTACAGTGAAGCAATCATTTAGTAGTACCGAGCCATATAGATCAAGCAATGAATGCATAGAATTCTTGCTTAAGCAAATAAATTCCAAGTTTCTGAATAAGATAGTGAAGAAGTATATTTGTTTCGCAAGACATATTAAAGCTATTCAGTATAGTTTCGTAGCTTTAAAGACGTAGTTAAGGATAAATTACAAATTTAGATTACTGTAACTATTAAAAAGATTCTGTCCTAAGGGGACAATTATCATAATTTAAACATGCTTCAAACATTGGATGACCACTTTTGCACTAAAAAGAATATAGAATAGATATCGAGCAACATTTGGTTTATTTGAATTACGCTGTTAGCCTGGCATTTGAAGTGCTAATTTAGAAATTTGCGAAATCAGCGCAAATCAGAGCTAAAGAAACTGAATATCCTTTCGTTTTATAAAATTTAGTGACGGAACTAGTGAGTGAATACTTGAGAGATAATCGTTGTCAGTAATTTTCACGTTCCTTTACTTTTCGTGCAGATGTGTAATTATGTTTATAAAGGGAAGATTGAACTTAATTTTCTGGAATCTGTTGCTTTAGAGTATTCATTCAGTTTTGGAGTAAGTTGGCAGTATCAGGATGCGGTAGATTCTATATACCTCACTTCGCTTATTTAGTCTATAATATTAAATTTAAGCAATAAAAGATGAAAAATTCTGTTTTACTTCATAAATGTAATCTTCTTGAAGTATATAATTATCTTAAAACCCTCAAGATATTCAAAGTTTATTTTTTGTTCGTAAGGGTGACACTTTTGTCTTATGGTTTGATTTTCTTTGTTCTGTTTGAACTGTGTCGTTATTCGTTATTCTCATTTGTCCATTAGTTGAAGATACAGAGGTCGATTGAATTGCTTTTATAGGGGAGATTTTAATTCATCTCTCCGACAGTAGTTGTTGAAAGTTACTGGAGGTAATGTGAGGCTGCATCATGAACTATTGGACAGAAGACTACAAGGTGGTCTCGCTGATAATGCACACGTTGTGCCATGCGCATATCATTTTCGTTCAATTGGCAGTTAATAGTCACTATCTGCTTAGGAATCAGTCATGTAGCGTGTTAGGTCGACCATAACGGGGAACCTGGGGGTATCCCAAATTCCGGTTATGGTACCCTCCAGATAAGCCACAACCTTATCTGGCTCGATTACTGATAAGCTTCGCCGTATGAGATGAGATTCGTACTCCTATTCACTACGTTTATAAGAATGCTGGGATTCCCGTTGCATTTGGAAGCCAGGAACCAAGATGTTGCTCTCAAATATACACTACCAATTATATTCAGAACATAACATAGAGAACCTCTAGTCATATCAGTAAAAGACAAATAATTCTTAATTGCAATCTTCCTGTTTCGTATTTTGTGCTTTAATTAAGCATTTGAAAGTTTCAAGCTATAGGCGAATTCGTATTCCTATCTTGAGGAATTGACTATACTGTCAGATTTACGATATGCGGGAAGTGTGACATCCCCACCTCCATCTTGGTTCGGGAATGCATTCTCCGACCTGAGTTACGACCCTGTTTTGTTAGGACCTTTCTTTCTATTCATTTGATTTTGTACATGAAATAGCATAATACAATATAATCCTTTCGTACTTACGATTAGAATAGTGCTTATCATTGGCATCCCGCGTGAAACTTCTAGTGATGAGAAGTTATTTCGCAAATTTTCACTCAACCGTCAAAAACAATCAAAAACATATCTTCAATATAAGATAATAGAACTCATATAAGGTTACACATAGATTGTAATTGAGATTAAGAATTGCTGATGTATAAACACATCATTATACACATCATTATGATGTGTTTGGCCACAAATGTATATGTGGGATCTTTAGCACGTGACCAGATTCTTGAACTGCGGCCCGTTTTAAGTCCGAAAGGGAAGTTCAGGATCAAACTACATGCCATAGATCAACTAGTATGCTATGAGTGCTTTCTCTGATGTGAAAGCAGATAAGCGATTTAGTATCTCAAGCTCTGCAGCAAATTTCCTAACCTCTTCCATTCAATCAGCAACTGATCTCATATCTCGTTCCAGGAAGAATTCGGATCCCTTGAGAACTCGAAATATTTCCATAGATGATGACCCTATGAGGAAAAAGATACTTAAATTACGACAGAATGACGTCTCTGATGACAGTGCAAATGAGTTTTGCATTAATGATGATAATGAGAATGATGGTGACAACGAGATTGATGATGGTAATGAGAATGACACTGATGATGATATTCCAACTGACAGGAGGCATCACTTGAGCAGAACGCTTGTTCAAAATAAGACGGATATCGGTTATCCTGATGTAGGTGTTGATGATTATATTTATGAAAACGACGTCAAGGAATCTATAGAGAATATGGCTTCGTTTGAGGTTCCTTCTGTCTTTTTGAAGCAGGGCATGTTACTTCTCAAGATTTCTCATAAATCAAAAAAGCGGATTTTATTCAAAGTGGACCCTTCTAATTTCAAATTCGTTTATAAGCAAACTTCTAAGTCAAAGACATACGAGTTTTTGGTGGATGACATAAGGAGCATCATGGCAAGAGAAAATGCCAACATATACCGTGAAGAGTTCGGAATTTCTAAGGAGTTTGAAAGAAGGTGGATTACTGTTGTGTTTTTCAACCATCACAAAAATAAGTTAAAAACTCTCAATCTCATAGCAGACACTAGTCGTGATCTCAAAAAACTACTTTTCGTGATCGAGGGATTCAAGAAACTCAAAGACAACATCTCCGAAACTCTTTTAGTGAATTTAGGAGACTTAGATGAGGTGGAAAAGACAATTGTTAGCGGAAAAGCGGAAAGTACCATTAAGCAGCCAAAAAAGCAACTTAGTCTTTCTGACGTACTAAAGTTTAGTAAAAGACTAAATGTCAACGTCAATACTGATTTCTTAGAAGGCCTATATCATTCAGTTCGGAGTGATAACAAAACAGGAATCGATTTTAAAGAGTTCAAGAACTTCGTTAAGTTGCTCAAGAAGAGAGAAGACATCTCTCCAATATGGAAATCATTAACAAAAGGAAAGGAGTTCATGTACTTAGAGGATTTCATTTCATTCGTAACAGAAATTCAGGGAGAATGCTATGACTTAGAAAAGGCTTCAAGAATATTCAGAAGATTTTCGTCAAATGAAGATCTGTCTGCATGGCAAGAAGAAGATTGGACAGCCTTCTTATTGTCGAAGTATTCAAATCCACTTATCGAAGAACATATGGACGACTCTTACTTCAAACACCCATTGAACGAATACTATATTCTCTCATCACATAACACCTACTTAATCGGAAGACAAGTTGCTGGGGATTCTTCTGTTGAGGGATACATGAAAGCACTTCATAAGGGCTGTAGGTGCTTGGAAATTGATATCTGGAATAATCAAAGCGATCCTGAGGCCGAGCCTATCGTCAATCACGGTCGAACTTTCACTAACGGTATTTCGCTACCTAGCGTCTTGAAAGCTATCAAGAAGTATGCTTTCGTTGCATCCCCCTTTCCAGTGATTTTAAGCCTCGAAATTCATTGCTCTAATACGGCTCAATTGAAAGTCGTGAAGTTGTTACAAGAGATACTAGGGGATGCCTTGGTACAAGAACCAATCAACTCAGAAAGTACTCTTCCCAACCCTGACAAACTAAAATATCGATTTCTCGTGAAAGTCAAAAAGTCAACACCGTTTTCTGCAATTGGTGTAGATGAGACCGGGAAACTCGTGAGCAGTTCCACAACAGCATCATTTAGCGAGAGTAATGATAACTTTTCAAGTAAAAGCTCCTTGAAACTCAGAAGAAAGAGTACAAACAACATCATCGATACCCTAAGCGATCTAGGAATTTATGTCCAAGGTACAAAGTTTCGCAATTTCTCGCTTCCTGAATCGAAGACGTTTAATCACTGTTTCTCTCTTAGTGAAAAATCTGCCAATTCTATGATTAAAGATGATGGAAAAAGAAATGCTCTCGACAAGCATAACCGAAAGTTTTTAATGAGAGTCTATCCTTCAAAGATTAGATTAAAGTCATCGAACTTTATTCCCATGAATTATTGGGCCCATGGGGTACAAATGGTAGCTACTAACTGGCAGACCTACGATTTGGGACAGCAATTGAACGAATCATTCTTTGCTGGATCTTACGGTTATGTCTTGAAGCCTCATTATTTGCGACATGCATTATTGAAGTCGACCATGAGAAGGACAGATATTTACGGCGCACAGAAAATCAAATTCTGCATTGACATAATCAGTGCTCAACAGTTGCCTAAACCCACGAATTCCGCAGCAATAAATCCTTTTATTATAGTTGAAATTATTGGGGCTAATTCAGTTACATGGGATCGCAGCTCTACTGTTGGAGCTACGCCGATCGTGGCTGGAAATGGTCATAATCCTTGTTGGAACCTGAGATATGCAGGGGTGGCAGAGTCTGACCATCATTTCATGTTCTTGCGCATTACGGTTCATTCTTCTACATCAGCAACAACCGTAGATGACACAAAGGAAATATGCACACTCTTAGTCAAGTTTTCTAGTATGAAACAAGGCTATCGATATTATCCCCTTAATGACCCATGTGGAGAAAGGTTGCTCTACTCCACCATATTTATGAAGGTGAATTGGTGTACTGTGAAGTAAAAAAACCCTTACATCTCAAAATAAAAAGATCTTGAAAATCCGCGATGAGCTAAATGTTATCCAAAGTGGCACCTTGAAGCATGGGAAAAATAACTGTAAGCGAAACAAGGGAGAAACAGCGTCATAATCCTTTGCATAGGGATATAACTACCACAGGTGGAAATTTGAGGGCGGTCCCAAGACGTTCGAATCAAAAAGTGTCGGCATCCAATGAAGATGAAGGGTTTCTTGATGCGGCAACTTCAAGAAAGATCTTACAACTTGCCAAGGAGCAGCAAGAAGAACTAGAGAATGAAGAAGAGAGTGAAAGCGTTAAAGAAAGAGGCTTTGCACAAACGTTGAGAGAGCAAATTGGCCAAGAGGAGGATGAAGAAGAGGAGGAGGACGAAGAAGAAGAGTATTCCGACTTCGAGGCGGATGTGTATGAGGAGGAAGAATTGCAAGTTGATGCGCAAGACCAAGAACTTTTTGAAAGATATTTCAAAGGTGACAACGCAGGAAACTCTTTCAACTTAGCTGACAAAATTCTTGCCAAAATTCATGAGAGAGAAATCATGAGAAGTGGTGAAAATGGTACAGAAAAGTCTTCTGATGCTGTATTACTACCACCGAAAGTTATAGCGGCGTACGAGAAGATTGGTCAAATTTTGTCCACTTACACTCATGGCAAACTCCCGAAATTATTCAAGGTATTACCTACTTTGAAGAATTGGGAAGATGTTTTGTTCGTCACGAACCCAGAAGGATGGACACCACATGCAACATATGAGGCTACGAAGCTATTTGTCTCCAACTTGCAAGCTAATGAGGCACAAAAGTTTATCGAAAATGTGTTATTGGAAAAATTCCGGGTGTCAATAGAGGACAGCGAAAACCATTCTTTAGATTACCATATCTACAGAGCCATCAAAAAGTCCTTGTATAAGCCTGGTGCGTTTTTCAAGGGATTCTTGCTTCCACTTGTCGATGGACATTGTTCTGTTAGAGAAGCTACCATCACTGCTTCTGTCCTTTCCAAAGTTTCTGTCCCAGCATTGCACTCTTCTGTGGCATTGACCCAATTGCTTCATAGAGATTTTACGCCTGCTACTACTGTGTTCATCAGGGTATTGATTGAGAAAAAGTACGCTTTGCCATACCAAACTTTAGATGAACTTGTGTTTTATTTCATGCGGTTCAGGAAAGCAGCACAGGAAGAAGCTATGGGAGAAGAAGTCGTTCAGAACATGCCACCATTACCTGTTGTATGGCATAAAGCATTTTTAGCATTCGCACAGAGATATAAAAATGATATCACTGATGACCAGAGAGATTTCTTGTTGGAAACAGTGAGACAAAGATTTCATCATGCCATTGGGCCAGAGATTAGAAGAGAACTTCTTGCAGGTAAGCCAAGGATGGAAGATCCTAATGTGAAGGAGACGAAAATGGAAGACGCTTTTTAATGCATGTTTTAAATTTTCAATATAAGTAATTGCATATACTAAACTAATGAGTGTGAGATTCAGATGTCCTCTTTCTGGCGTCATCACATAATTTTTCAAAGTCAACAGAAAGTGCGTAATAGCTTTGAACTGAACCAATTATCGTTAATGCCACCGTGGAGCCAATCCATAAACCATGTAAAGTACCTTTCCATGGTGAGTAAAAAGACAAATAAATAGACATGGGGATGCCAACAACATAATATGATACAAGATTAACGATTCCCCCAATTTTCGTTTGACCTTGTCCCCGCAAACAACCAGCTGAATTAGCGTTCATGGCATCAGAAATTTGCATAAGGGCGACTAGCCACATCACTTGTTTTATAAGGGCTATGACTCTTCTCGTCGTTAGTAAACAAGTTTGCGATTGGGTCTTGGAAAAGATACAAGGCTAGGAAGTTGAATATGGAAATACACAATCCAAACAGCAATGCAACTTTTGTTGTCTTTTCGCAGCTCTCCT